AGCTCTTTCAAGCGACACCCTAAATTTCTCTGTAAGTGATAAGATTATGATTTGTCAGGTATGGGGAATAGAAAGTCATCGCGGGGTAAGCAGGCTTATCGTCACTTTCAGCTTGAAATGAAATCCGTAGGCAGCAACACCCCGTTACTACGAAATGTCACGACACCGAAAATTTTGTCACCGTTCCAGAACGGCAATTGCTTGCATTCCATTCCACGGCTGTTAAATTAAACCAGAACTGTTAGGACATGTGAAGCCTGCTCGGAGGCCTGGGTATTGGGTGACGCTGTTTAACTAACATTACAATTCAACGCAGTTCGAGCGTTAGATTAATTTGAAATGGAATGCAGCTCTGGCATGCCAGTTTATATTATACCATGTGTGCGTATATCAGTCCCAGAACGTACATAGCAAATTATTTACCTCTTGGTATGCGCACGTCTGGTACGATGGCGGTGGCGCCACTAGTTAGTTGATTGTTACACACGACACAGTTGCATAATTATGTATTTGAAAGAAGCATGGAGTAAAGTAGTTACAAAGGAAAGTGAGTTAGTACTACGAGGGAAGAAAAAGAAGGTTCTTTTTAGCGATTTATTTTTAGATTCGACGAATGGTGTTTAAAGTTCCTTTTAAACGGGTAAATAATTATAAAATGCTGACATTATTATTTAATATTTTATCTTCCCATGATATGTAGAATGAAGCAATGGTGGGATCCAGCCGGTTCTACGGAACCGTCTCACGGAATTTTATGAGATCAGCGAACCGGTGAGCATTACTGGTTACTGTCAATGTTCTGTTTGTAACAGAAGCGGCTAAAAAATATAACTTTTGTGAAGGAACCGGCTGACAAAAAATTTGAATTCCACCACTGGAATAAAGTATATCTAAATGACTAAATGTAGTAGTATCGAATATATCTGTGTGATTTGCCGACAGCTGTATCCTCGCTTACGTCACTAATACCAAACTTTTAACCGCGTAGACGTACTAAGTCAACCCGAACCGGCAATATATAAATACAGATTGCTACGAATCTTACTGTTGCCATTTATATTTTGAAAATCTGTTGTAGGAAAGGTCGATACCGGTATTTCAGCAAGATGAAATATACTAAAGCCCAATTCCAACTGTTACATAAGTTATTTATGACTTATATACACGCGAAGAAATTCGGACGGGTCAGTGCTCCGATAAACAGTCGGTTCATTTTCCTATTCCTTTGAAATGAACGCAAAAATGCAAAGATAGAATACCACTTTAAAATAGCGAGCTATCAAAAAGTTTGTTTGTATAGGAAATACGTACATACGTTTGCTTTGTACTGAGTAAATGAGCTTGCATCTATTTCTAATTTGCGAAAGTCTGTAGATTGCAGAATGATTGTTTTAGGCATACCGGTGGTCAACAAGCAAATAACAGGGGACAAGTACCATTTACCAATATCCCGTGCCTGGTCAACGAACAATATTCTAACTTCAATACACGATATCTTATTTTTGTTGTATCCTAAAGTGGCCCGCGCGTCACGCACCAATGCGTTTTCAAGATCGAACATGATAGAAAACATTCTGTCATACTTTTGGTGACTTAGTAGACCATGTAGACGATGGTGATGTAAATTGTAACTATGAATGAAAGCGTTGAATTTTATATTGTCCGGGGTTAGTTTTTCAAGGTGTTATTGGGTGCGATGACAAATGTGATTTTTCTTATTAAATATCACACCAAAGCTGGTAAGGTGTGCCATTGCAGATTAGCGGGACAAGAAAGCACAGTATTCATAGTTTAGATTTTAACTATTTATGACGACACTGCAGTATCGCATGGTTAAAATTCTGGTGTATTAAACATGGTAGACTCCTATATTATAATTTTTTCAATCGCTCTTTTTTGCACAATGTGTACTTTATGATCATGACTCTTTTATTTGTCTTCGATGCTATGAGTCTTTATAATAACCTCTTTTTGTTCTGAATTACACTCACCGAGTGTTTGGTAGTATTAAAAATACAAATTCTTCCTCACGTTAGTCATAAAAGAACAATACAGTACTTACAATTTACGTCACAAAATACGTTCTGAAATCTAAATGTACTGATGTTTCGTAACGTTACCACAAGTATTTCAACCACGCATATACTTCAGAATCTCGCCCGGTACTCTAAAAGTCACTGGGATCGATAACTGGCTGAAAAACGGATTACAGATTTGCTGGTTAAAATCGCACGTTAATTGTGATCGACCGTTAAGAAATAGTTTGACCCCAAAAAACATAATATAGGTGTTGGGTGGAATTCGACGTCTTTCATTAGTTTTACATTGATTGCTGGAGAAAGACATTTGGAAAATTCGCATTTTAAATTCTTTTCATGTTACATCCCTAGCAGTATCCTTGTTGATAAGTATTCATCACAGAAACCTTACCTAACAATTTCCATGCTTAGGAACAATAGAATTATTTTCTTTGGCCACGATTATGAAGATAGTTACAAATTAGTTTTGATAACACCTCTATTGTGTATGCAAGTCGTTCCTTTCGCGCGATTATGATAACACCCTACAAGATCTCGTAATAGCTCTATACATGTTATTCAGGCTGTAATTTGGCCTGAGTGATCGTATCGGCCATGGTTACCTTGCTACAGAATTGTAATGACATTATTGAGAAAATGTTTGCCTGGCCCTCGTTTGATTTGAAGTTGCTGTTGAAGATAATCGGGCTTTAGATATAAGTGGTATTATGTACCCTCGTCATGTTGTACGCATTGTTGTAGATTCGTATCTTTACACAACGTCTCAGGTTACTATAATTCGAAAAATGTTCCAGCTCACAATAATATAACAACGCCATTGAAATGCAAACCATTAGTACTGGGTAGTTATAGTATATGGAAGTCAGTGTACGTTTTATTTGTAGACTTAGTGATACGTTTTCACGTTCGCCGTCGGTCAATCTAAAACCACCAATAAACACGCTGAAATTTGTGAAAACTGTCTAAAACCACCAATAAACACGGTTTAAAATCGGTTTGGGATATTATTCGGTATTAAGATAATACAACAATACACGAATGCTGCGAGATTATATGATAGAAATGTGTGCCGGTATAGTTAGCTATGTCTCGGCTTAGTAGGTTGTGATCAGGTTTATAAAAATTCTCACAATTGGTCATTTAGTCATATCCGTGGTTCATTAGTCATGCATGGTATTTATTTGTTGCCATCGCTTTGAGGTAGTCTGTACGCGTCCTTAGGAGCCGACTATTATTCATTGGAAGCTTTGTCATTTGTTCTCCCGCAGAGCGTAACGAGACAATTTGATTGGCCAGGGTGCTTGAAAAATTACGCTCGCATTGCAAATCATTTTAAAAATCAACCGCAAACCGATAGTTCCTATGATCGTCCTTACACTGAGGACATCGGAAAATTCAGCGTGATAGTCAATGACTCCGCCCATTACACTTTTCTGGCCAAAATAATTTCCCGTTTGGCAACACGCTGAGAGGTAAATGAGAATACATCCATCATTGGTCTATTATGTTTGGTTCATATTGTCGGCCTATTGTTGTTCGGGTAGTCGTAACATTCCAGAATTCAATTACGGGAAAATTATCTTGGCAAAATCCTCGTCGAAAGATTTCCATTTAAATGGATAAAATAGTATGCCGGAAGGGACTATCTAAACAATTCTATCTGACTTGCGTTTTATGTCGTCAATGGGTTACCAATATTATTAATGGCATTTATTTTCACGACGACAGAACGAAAGGAGTTACATTTGGTCTTTTTAGATCTTTCAGCGGCAGTACCGTAGTATGTGAACCAAGATGGCGGACACAGGAATGTAGTATGTGTACCAGGTTAGGCCATAATTTCAGGTACAAGTACTACGGGAACTAAAATAAGAAAATTGGAACAAAATTATGGCCTAACCCCTACCTGGTACACATACTACGTTCCGGTGTCCGCCATCTTGCAAATACAGAATGACGAAGCCAAATGTAAAAATTCATTGTTCTCGTTGAATACCTAACAATCCAATAACATATTAAAATTACGTGCCCTAGCGTTCCATGACTGACTAAAGTCAATATTAAGTATTGTTAGAAAATAAAACACTCAATTATGTGTACAACAAATACAATTACTCTTTAGTTCGCCAAACTTGATGCAGTGTACTGAAATTTATACCGTTACGTGGCAAAGTAGTTAATACCGAATTATCGAAATTTATGAAACTGCTTTCAACCATTTTAGAAAATTGAACATTCTAGGGCTGGCGGTCCCACGCATAATGATTCACAAATCCCCAGTCTACCTTACGCAATGGTACGGTTAAAACTTAACAACTGCTGGTAAGACATGCAACTCCAAACAAAACACGCAAGTTAACTCATCACGCTACGATGAAAGCAAAAGCGTGTAGCACCTGTTAATATTTTAATTAACGTCCGCGGGGAGCGATGAATAACTTCCACACTCCCTTTAGTGTGACTAGGTTCCCGCACTTTCAAATAAAACTCGTCAAAAGCGCGCGCGATTTTCTTCAGAACTATTTATTCAATACATTTTGCGACAATAATAGAGAACTAAGCCATATTTACACTTGATTATGGAAGATATGCGCATAAAGCACATCTTGTGTACACGTGGGATACATGACCAATTTTAGTTTAACGCTCATAGTCGGAGCTAACAAATTTATGATCACGTCGGAAAGGTATTTTTCGTCCGACCGAAGTTAATAATTTACCGAACGAATGAATAAAAATGGTTATTTGATCAGATGTATATTGATCGCTGGGCTTTATTTCTATTATATTGGTTCGTGTCGGGTGTGATGGTTTGGTAGTAAAAACTGGGTGCGATTTTTTACATAAAAGTAATGTTTTATGTGTAATATGCGCGTGCTTGACGATAAAATCATCGTACGGCGACTATTTCCTATCGGCTCCTTTTATTGTACATCAGAACTGACTCCTTTTATGTACTTTTCCGTATTACAGTATATTATTTAGACGGTTAAATTGTTTCCGTAGGCCGGAGAAAGATGTGTTTGTAGTTCGTGAAAGTGTGAGCTCTTGATCACCGCACATCACATTGAGTACAACATAATAAGGACGGCTGCATTGAGGATAAGCTCTATTTCGAAGGATGATGGACCATTATTGTGAACGGCCATCTGCGGATATGAATTCACATGAAAATTACTGGACTGACATTCATGCAAAGAAAGTGAGAGTTAACAGTGTTACAGTTAAAAGAAAAATCGGTCGGAGAGGGACTTCTACAGATTTCAATATGTGTAAAACTAATAAACTTTATCATAACCCTAATTTAATGTCCATATTTTGGATAAGTTTTCTCGTGATTCACTTATGTGCCTTTGCTTCTACGAACGCTGAAAATTTTGGCATTGAAATTGAACCTAGTCAAAAACTTTTTGATATTGATCTTGAAAAGTTGGATGATATCGACGATTTCTCTTCGACGCCGACAAGATTTGATTCGTTCGGAACAAATTCAAATATTGGCGGAAGAAACCTTCATATGTTTGCGGTGACGGGCCATGTTTTCAATCGGTCTTTGGCGGAAGAACTACTGAAGTTTGACAAAGGCGTGATGTCTGAAGGCGACACTTTGAAGGTGAGAATAACATTTTTAAACACTTATTTCTTATGTTTGGGTTATATAAAGGTTTGTACACGATGCGAATGGACGAAAATAACCCGTCTCTATCGTACTTTCGGTGTTATAGCTTTCTAAATGCGACTGTGACAGATTCCTACCTTGTTGCGTTACTCATTCTAGATCAGGTGTAGGCAATTACTTTTCTGAGTGGGCCAGTTACAGATAATAGACTTGGTTACTGGGTCGGAGCTTCAGAACTCATTATGAAAAACTATGAATAAAAAACAGTTTATTCACAACAACTAGGCTAACGTTGATATAATAATGAGAAGCACAATGTAACAATCGGGGTCATTATGACGTGTTTTTCATGGATGTTTTCAACGGTAATTTATACTTATAAAAACTATAGTCGTAATTTCAGCAGACACAAGTGGGCCGGACCCGGCCCGCGGGCCGTGATTTGCCCACTCCTATTCTAGATTGCGTACTATGCTGCAAGGATGCACTGATGTCATGTCAAAATGGAATTATTTTCAAGTTAAAATATTCAGTTCCACTGAGATAATCAATTTGTCATTCTGAACCAGAGCATAAATAATATCCAGTGCGTATAAAGATAACGTGAGTGATTACAGTAATCATGAAGCCCTTAAATGATTACTCTTTCTAACTAAGCGACGATTTTCGCCAGTATTGATTAGATTTCTTGCCGCTGCCTTTTCGGATAAATGCGACGGTCCATTTACTTATGAATATTGGCATAAAATAGGTAAGTAAAAGATTTTATCGTCATATTTCCAGCAACTTGGAAACAATAAATCGATATTAGCACATATAGTGCAATGAATGGAAAGTCAAATGTCACTAAAATAACCCTACCATCAGACGAAAGGTTGTTTGGGCGAAATGGAATGTCAGGCTGGGCAGTTCAAGTTGTCTGGGTTTTCAGCATCTTTAAAATTTTGTTTGCATTATCTACGTAACTCTATTATTCCGAGCGACATTTGGCTGTTTTAAAATTTTGTTGTTGCTACCCCTTTGAGTTATTAAATACACAATCTTTTTCAGTAATTGTTTTTTATAATTAAAGCTAATTATATCTACATAAGTAAATAATAGATCCAAGTATAGGAATAAAATCCTATTTTTACCTCGGTAATTATTTATGTATTTGAACCAATACAGGATATCACGGAAGTCAATAACCTGTAAATAACACTTAATCTAATATGTTAGATTTGTGATGCTTTCCGGCAAAGTAAGTGGTACAACGGATATGTGAGATAATTAAATGTTGCTGTACACCATCTGTTATTAACTGGCCGTTAATTAAAAATGGAGAAATACATTACACTGGTGTAAAACAGTCCTTTTTTGCTGACTGAACCAGACCGAACTCGAAATTGCCAAATTTTAATCCGAAGCCGTTCCAAGTTTTCAAGGGGTGCTCCTCCATTGCCTTTGAGGTTGAGCGCAAATAGCGTAAATAGCTCAACCTCCAACGATTAAATATATAATAATTATCGTGTTCGGTAATGAAAGTGACATTGCATATTATTTATCACTTTTTCATCAATGGGCGCATAGATTATCAAAATCTGCTTTTGTATAATCAAATCACACATGTTCATAATATAACTAGCGGTTTATGTCTATTTGATACTTCCAATATACTTTTAATGGGTTTTCATGTTTCTGTCGTTTAATCGACTGATTTTGTTGAATGGACCGTTTTGTTCAATCGTGTAATTTAGGAAAAGTAAACTGTAAAGTCAATCCATTAGGATTAGTGTTTAAATATACTTAAAATTATTTAAACATTCGTACGATGTACGAACAGCTTTTAATAGTGTAGATTCTCGTCGCAAACGTGAATATCAAAGAATTATAGCACGTTTTCGGGAACCGAAATTTCCCGTAATCACCGAGTAATTGTTAACGTTTAGTTTTTCATTATTTTCTCGGAATATTAGGCCTGTTGTCTAACACTAACTAATGAATTTAATGTTGAAATCCTTGCCTTTTAACGTATCATGAGCGAGTTGAATATAAGAAAAGGGTTTACAAATATATTCACAAATTCGAATACAACACGATACATTGACGTTTATTGACTTATAAAATGAAGCAAAATTTATCGTGGAATTCAATTTTCTTTCATTACATCAATTTTTTTTTTAAATTGGCATTTAAGAAAATTACTTCGCAATTTTTCTGAAACATGTTAATACCATGCGACTATTAACGGGGTACAAATAAATTTCTCGGTAAGTTGACAACGTAATTTCATCCTTGCTCATTTCTACAAGATTACCAGCCCTAAAATCTTCGACAATGATGCACAAATTGTTGTGAATATCTCATGTTTTATGTAGCTCTATTTGTGTGGGTAAATATCTTGGACGCGATTGTAATTCAGCTTTTTTTTTTATCGAGATTGAAATCTCTAAATTAGTCATTATGCAATTTTGAGTACAGAGATTGTCTCACGGTCAAATTCTCATCAGGTTATTTATATTCGGTAAACCACAATTGCAAACTATTAAATCAGATATTTTTGATACGAGTTTTCTCAAACAAAGTACTGAGCTTACAAACAAAATTGTGTAGAGCACTGATAAAGTATTGAAAGGGCGGCTATAGTAGACCCTATTTATAAAAAGTATAAAGTCAAAGCATAATGAAACACTAGTAATGTGCTTGATTTATATGGCCCACCTACGGAATCTTGCAAATGGAGGATGCAAAAAGCAACTCGACAATTCTATTATCAAGATTCTGGCAACGATGACAAGATTGTTGTTATAAACTGAATGTTAGTCATTGTTACCTCCAAGCTTTGTTATTTAAGGGTCATCCTCAGACCCACTTTTATGCGAGTAAGTGGAAACGTTCAGTAGGTTGAAGATTCGATTTGCTAATGCGCGTTAGTCCACATGGCATGATGACCAAAATTGATGGAATTTCAGTTTCCCTATTCCTAATGATTTTGTTTCAATAACTATTTCTATTCAGTCAGCATGAGTTCTAATACTAGAGAATTTGAATAAACCAATTTTTCAAATCAATGTACACATATTCAATTGATTTCAATGCGAACAAAGCCCTAAAATAAATACCTGACGAAAAACCTGAACAGAGAATCAAATGATTGATTGCCGATGTGTGATTTTAGATTCAAGGAGAAACGCCTATTTGCCGCTGAGAAAAATTCCTATCGTATATATTTCCTGCCAGGCTTAGTTATGAGTGGTGGTGAATAAATTGGTATTATTTTACTGTTTGCGTTGGATATATTTTTTTTGCCATATTTTATTTAAGGAATTCCAAGTAGCTTATCATATACCCGCCGTTACCCATCCTACATTAAGAGATATGATTGTCACAGGGAATCCGTTTGAATTGAATGATAACTGATCATCAATTATGACTTACTCATATATTTGATACCACTAGTCAGAAATTGTTTTTTACTTGATACAGACACCAAGATTAGATGAATGTTGATGTGAGGTTCTTATCAAGGGAATATGGAAGAGTAACTATAAATATATTCCCTTTGTCCAGAATAGATAATTTTGTGTCTTCGAAGCGATTTTAAGACTTTGCTTTTTTGTGGAAGCAAGATTTTTCATTCCTACAATATTATCTTGGATTGTTATCCTGCTCCCGACGCTGTTTGCGTTCGTGTCGAACGGATAACATTTCGCATTTTGGCCGTTTGTCCAAACGTTTGTCCAAAATCGATCAAAGGGGTCGTCGTAAATAACATGCTTTGAATACAAAGCAGTGCTTTGGTGTATCAAACGTGTGTCAGTGGTAAATTGAACTCCGGATACGTTATGTATCAATGGTACATATTTGATCAGGAAAAAAACAGGGATAGAATTATAAAGCAAGATTTATTTGACGTAGATGTTTGATTTTCGATATACGTAGATCCAAATTTCAAAAATTTTGAACAGATCGAAAAAGGGTCAATATATCACTTTAAACCATTAAAAATATAAAATCTTTTATTTTTGAAATAGAGTAAAAACTTATACTGTAAAAATTAATTCAAGTAGAGTACAAATGCCAATTACTGTAAAATACAAGTAGTTTTGTAGAAGTATTTCGAACAGTCTTCATAACAATGTACATTTTGTACAATTCACCTTTCGCTGACTGCTTCCGGAAGACAAGATAGTTCTTCTGCTGATGTGTTTATTATGTTGGGATCTTGTTCCACTTTCGTGTAGAAGGAATAACCTTTGATCTATTTTAATGTCGCTGTACTATTTGTATTACAACATGCGACTTGGTGTTTACAAGGTAATATTAATATGATTGCCATATATTCATCAGAAAGTCATTTCTCTTTGTTGTTCTGAATCTAAAACACAACTAATTTCGTTAATGGAATGCGGGAGAACATAAACAGGAATTAAAGATAAGAGACCCGAAGGCCTCATTATACATTTGATATTCATATTCATAGTGATATTCATATTATAGGTCGGTATCACTGGATTTGTATGTTAGGGTACATTTTGAAGCAATTTAGGCATATACCTAGATAATAATAAACCTACATTTTAGCATATGAAAAATGATTAATGTTTTTATTTGCATGTAATAAATAAATTCACTGCTCGGACGTCCCATTAATTTAATCAATAGGGCTTGTCTTTATAGGGACGTAAACCCTGTATGTGTTTTGACATTGCTGGCGTTTTCGGTTTTCGATACTATTAAAAATTCATGCTTATACAAAATAAACAATAACATTTTGAAGTTGGAGTTTTACGTCAAAATACACCATTTACACATCGTACATATCTAGCTATTCAGTGGGTAAAGGGTGTTGATTAGATAGGTACATACTTTATTTTGAATCTAAGTCTGTTCAATCACTATCTACATATGTGGTAAAGTAAATTGAATTAGAAAACTGCAAACACATTCAACGTTCCTCACTTATTTTTCTACTGAACAGCTGATTCTTCCTTACCAGTTTCTCGTATGGTGTCTTATTTGCTACCATGTTATCAGAGAAAATTCACCCGAAGTGTGTTTTAATTAAGGAATGTGAAAAAAAGAATGTCATATCAACTGGTAAATATGATGTACAATATGTAGGATGCCGACGCCATATATATTTGTGTATTTTTCCCACCTCTCAAAAATATATGTTGTATCTGTATCGTGTTATGTCTGTAGCCGAAATTTAATTTTTGCTTGTTTCCCCTCACACTGCCCTCTGAAAGTAGTAGAAAAGGGTTTAGGAACATGAAGTGAATGTACATGACATTATAACGGTATTCGTATTCATATACAGTATTGTACTTGTTTATTCAACCAGCTAGGTTCTTTGTTCTTCAGTCATTCGAGCGGGCAATCATAGATAGCAAATTATTTAGTATTAACAATGGTTTTTGAGTCACTCTGGGTGGTACTCTTGTCTTGGTGTTTTGGATAAAAAGGATCGCCTTCTCGGCGCGGAATAGACGTGAATACATAATGTAGCAGACGTCGAATAGTCGACACAAACAGAACTATATAAATTAGAATAATAAAAACGCGAGAGACGACGTGCTGACATTTGAGACGATTGTGTGTGTTTGTAGTCAACAAAGGTTTGAGCAATTATCCCGTTCTTAATGGGTTGTTGACGCGCCCAACCATTTCACTCAGTGAAAAGAACCGATCAATATCCGCTTGAACGTGATATTAAAAAGACCTGACAGGATACACTCATGAAAACAAATATCCAAGTGTCCCCCAATTTTGTAAATTTGAATGTGTATAGGGGTGATTTATACCGTCTTGTTAATGCTATTTGAATTGGGCATAACTAATTCTATTACATTCAGTATTGCTAATACAACCGTCAACCGCTGCTACTATTCAGTCCACGAGATCGTTTTCTTAGATAAACAATATGTCGCGGACTGTTTGGCCAACAACAGATTAGAGAGATTTCGGCGGAAGTGCCGGTAGGTGATCTTGGACTCAGATGCGCTTGGTCTGCTGATTTCCTTCATACCATTTTTATAATGAACTAAATAAATTGGTTTGGCTCTGTCGGACCGGAAAGTTGTGGTCTTTGCTGCCACTTTATCTGCGAACTTTTGAGTGGCTACTTGTCTAAATATTTCAACGCTAATAAAAAAGGTTTCAACCTAACGTTAAGCAATGTTATCACAGTTCGGAAGCTTGCTTTGTAAAGTCTTTTATATAAACCCACCACTCGAGAACAAAAGCATGAATTACATCTAATATGACGTGAAGTTTTTTCGATTTTCAAAAGTGTACTTTACAAAGCTTTTTATATGTTTGTTGCCAAACCGGACGTCATCTTAAGTACCGGAATCATATACCTGTTGTTTATTGCACAAATATAACTTATCATATTTACGCGTGGATTTTGTTGTGTATACACATAAATAATGCAATTTACTATCATAACTTGACACTTATGTCATGTCAAAGTAACTTCAGGCATTTTAGCAGATATTTGTGGTTTGAGGGAATAGACAAAATTCACTTATGTTCATACATACACTATGTTCATATTCGGGGTCGACAGAAATACCGTACAACTCCTCTCTCGCCGATTTAAATAGAGTTTATGAGCAGGATAAAATTTGTGTGACACTGATTTTCAGAAATTGCATGAAGGTTTGCGTATAGGTATATGAGCATCTCGACAAATCCGGGCTGAATTCGATTTGAACGATTGGTTGGGGAGTCCCAACACGTGAACGTATGTGCATAATTAAAACAGGACATGATATAAATCTGAATCAAATCCATAGCCAACTGACCATTCTGAAATGTCATAATTATTTTCACCCAAATTAGAAATCTTTGTTTAGGGAACGCACGCACTCAAATTGAAAATTAAATATTCGTTGCCTAGTGCCGAGTTTCCTCGAAACGCGACGCTCACTGATAAGTGTGTACTGATGCGGACATTTTGTAGGTGATATTGTATATTATGATTCCGATTTGTAAAATTAAGTACATTATTATAGTTGAATGTATTTCATATTCAAGTGAGCGCCATATTACCATAATAGCGCCTTTGTTTTACAGTTGATAAAACATTTAAAACGTCTTGAATTGTAATTTGAAATATTTTATTGCAAGCCTGCAAGCGAATTTGTGCGTTATTCTATAACTAAAGCTTTTCTACAGCGTGGACTTATTAGCTGAGCGTATTTCGTGCCGAAAATTTAACTACCGGAAAATTACTGACAGTTGATATTATTTCTTTTAAATTTCGAACATCGATCATTATCTCTAACGAATATTTAATGATTTCGTAATGGCGTTGATTATTGGAGCATTACGATTTTCCATAAGAGAATATTTTTTTTTGACAACGAATAAGAGACCATCGTCTTGAATCGATTATTGAATTGATTACGTAGCATGAAAATGCCCATAGTCGCTATTACGCTGAACCATTCTTGAATACACGCACATTATTTGAAGTAGGAAATGAGGTCGTAATACAACACCAAAATTATTGTCATGGATCTCTGGATGTCAAGTTCAGATTTCACTCTTAACCTGTATATATGATATCAATTTTTGTTGGAGGGGAGATTTCTGAGCTTTGTTATTCCAAAAAACATTCTAGGTCTAGGATATGGGATATATATATTCGGAATTCCCATGCTTAAAAGATTACTTCCACAAATAATTATTTATATTTTTGTAGCTTGAATTTCACAACGCAGAAATGTTAAAATGGACGTGCTAGAGGCGTTTTTGGTTCACTATACTTTCTAAAGTCTCCAATAGTTCACAATACACATTTTTGATCTGAGTGTCGAATGTTACGATCACAAAATGAAAATATTTTCTAGTTATTCCCAGAATCAGTTTTTTAGTATATCGAATGAACGTAATTTGGGTTGCAATTTCCGCGATGTTAATCAAATCTCCAATGAGATGTACATTTTACACCCGTTCAGAATGTGTAAAGGATAAGGTTGTATAACAGACACGACTATTCTAGTCTAGCTAGGCGACAGAAAGTATCGCCTGGTGTTCGTTGGTGAAAGCTGAATTATTATGTTCAAATGTCCTAGTGGCCCAAATCTTAGTAATACAAGTTTCCATACATATAGGTTTATTTTGATAACTTATCTAATTCGTGTAACGCTCACAAACGCTACTTTGTATAACGACACACTGTTCGACCTTTACGTCATTGCTTCCATCACAGCTGATGTTGTGCGAGTCGATTAATCTCATTAGATTAGCGTATTATCTTCTGGATAAGTATATAATCTTTGTTGACAATAAATCACATCGTGTCTTAGTAACCAACAATCACTTGTGTAGTCATGCAGGGGTCGTGCAAAACGAAATTTCGATTTTTAAAAATGGCCTAAGGAAAGATTACTTTATTCGGCTATGGTCCGTACTTGCCTGAGCGTAGAATTACTTTAGGCTACATAGTTAAAAATTTAGCGTAACTGGGCGGGGGATGAGCTTTTAATAATGATGTATTACATAATGCTATAACGCGCATATTAGTACATAGCTATCCCTAATTTTTAAGGGAGAAAACAATCTAAACTGGAATATTTTTATTTGTAGTACCTTTTTTCCTTCAATGAATTATTGTGTTCTTAATTAATATTTTTTGTCGTGTTCTATACATTTCGTTGAAAAAGGTTTTAAATAAATTTTCAACACAATTTGCGATGTTCAAAAAAATATTACTTTAGCTGTTAATTTGATTTTTTATGAGTTTCTTTACGATCTTAAAAAATAAAAACAATATTTTAAATTTTTTACCGCGTCATCTAAGAGGTCTACTCATTGGCTTTGTTCGTTTTAATGTAATTTACCATTGGATAGCTCTTTCTTTATTGATCTTATTTTGAAAATGGCAATCTGAGTCTTTGTTCGTCTTTTATTTTATGTCGTGCAATAATTGATTCGCACTGTGGGATCAGTTCAACTTTAATTGGATTTTGTTGTTTGTTCAAGTTTAAGACATATTGATTTTACAATGATTTTGATATTTTTCTATTCTTATTATAAATTGATTATAATTGATATTTTGCCTCACAATATGTTAAATACGACATTGATATATTTTAGTCAATTCGGCGCTTCAGAAGTGTGTGTACCAATATGGAGGTAACTAATTTGGTTCGCCTACTTTACATCAAGTTATGTAAAGGGGCTAGAAGCCTATGGGCAGAGGGTATGGTATATTCACTAACACAAACAGTCCCCGAACTCGTAATAGAACTAAAAAAGGAAAATCGGAATAAAATTATGGCCTAATCCTGTTCTGGTACACACTCTACGGGTGTACCGTCAAATTAGCCAATCAGGTTAATTGTATATAGTTACCAATTTAAAAACTACCCACATAAAATAATTCAATTGTTTGACCAAGTTTTAAAATGTAATTCCCCAATAAATTGAAAATCCATCTCAAGTTTAACGTAGGGTAATTCAGAATTTTTGTATACATATATATAGATACTCATATGTGAGTTCCGATATAATGTAGTGCTTTTAAAAAAAATCATATTTATATCTAATAGTTGTATATAGTTTAGTGTGTTTCTTTCTTCTGCTCCTTTCTAGTCGGTGCCTATGTGTTGGTGTAAGTATGCACCGGCTGCGGGAACTGTAGCAGTAATCAAACGTCCAATCGATTAGTTCAGAACTATAAAAGTCTGACCACAGACAAAAAAGGTTATATGGTCAGACAAATGCTAACAAAATAAAATTGCCAGATATTGAAACTACTTGTATGTTATATTAATATTTCAAAAAAGCAACAACTATCTAAACATTCCTTCATTCATTTCAGGTTCACTTCCCGACTTCTCAGTTACCTGACTATGAATGGATGGTATTTCATGAAGACTCCGGATTACTACAGGGCGTTCCACTACCCAGACACGAAGGTGTTAACAATATATACGTTACCATCACTCATGTCAATACTCCTACAAAATCCAGTCTAACTCTTCCTTGCACAATTGAAGTAGTGACCGAAAAAGCGGCTCTCGAATTGCGGCAGGAATTGTCTTATCTTCCGAGGCTTAAAATCGACACCCCTTACATTTGTCCACATCATGAACCAGTAGCTATGGCCACAGTTGTTATGGAAGTAGATCCAAGTGCCTTGTCGTTCACCGAGAGGTTACGGTGCCTTTTAAGTCTTTCTAGTTTTCTTGGCGTCCCTTATAAAGACGTGACGCTGCTTTCACCGGAAAACTCAATAAAGAAAGAGAGCCCTTTCCTGTCTGGACCTGGTAATGTGCCAAAATTCCGAACACATAGAGGAGATCGTGACGTCAGCGATTTGATGACGTTGTCGTGGCCGTTGGGTTGCAGTTCTGACATCATCGGTGACATTCCCGGACTGGACAAGCTAGAAACGACAGCAATAGACGGTTCTCTGGCGCAAGCTATTGGATACGGCGTTGTAGAATGGCAAATTGTGAATAAAATACACCAAGTAAATCGAGTACACAGAACGAAACGGTTAGTGAGCATTTTGGATTTTCTAGCTCTCGCCTGTTGTTTTTTACCTTGTTTACATTTGATCACATTCGCGTATCTGCTGTATTACATGTTGTTTTCAGTTACATATTATAAAACAGCCTTTGTAGATCAATATTAATAGTTTCAACTTTGCACTTGTAATATTTTTAGGCAAGTCGGAAATGCCGACAGTCCATATCCAAGAAGATCTAACCAAGGAGAAACAGAACAAACCGATTTGATCAACCCCAGCGGAGCGAGGTCAAGGGTCGCGGTCAACATGATCCGCCCCAGCGCAGTTGTTGGAATACCGATCATGGCTTCCAAAATGGTGACACCGCCGTTGGCCAGAACACAGAAAGTCGTACCACCCCATACTCCATATATAACCAAGCCTTCGCGATCCAAGACGCGTGCACCACCTCAAGTACCGACTAACGAGGCACCCATGATGTTGTTCGGTATGGAAAATGTTAAAGCAATAGAAGGAACGTACATGGAATTCAGAATTCCTCAGGATACGTTCATCGATCAAGAAGAAGGAATGACAAGAAATCTTGAATTGCAGGTTATTACTGATTATATATATAAATCTTCACGTAAATTTAAAAAAAAACTGTAATCAATCTTTTTTTAACTACAAAACTCCGTTTTAGGTCTTTTGTGTAAATCCACATACTAACTAACTTATGGTATTTCAATAAATTAAAATTGACAAACGTGATCTTATTTTGAAATGAATTATTATGGATTTTCTACGTTTAAAACATTTGGTCGTCAACTTTCAATTTTTTCTGAAAAATGTTTTCATCATTCTGTTAACAAAATACTATTTCAAATTGGTCCAAAATTTTTCCAATGTGGAGGGTGTAATTTAACATTTTTTAAAAACTGAAAAAAAATTCGCTCATCTCTCAAATCTAATCTTTCTGCGCAACTGTTCAAAGCATAGCGAGTCCTATACAAAAAGGTCGTAGCTAAATTGGAAAGATTCAAAAAATAATTATTATAGTCTTCAGAAGCTGTCTTCCTCATCTATGAGTTCTTTTTGTCTGTCTATGAAATTAAAGCAAAAAATCATATAGATAGATCATTGAAAAATAATCTTACATACATCGCTGTAACGAAATGAATTTCAAAGTAACTATTCAGTACTACGGACTTTTTGTATTGAATTTTCGCTTATATTAATCCTGAATCAGAGTGTATTTGCATATCTTCAAGCTAATATACGAATGTAGATGCTATTTAAATTGTATTTGTCCATTAACACGCTTAACTATTAATCTCAAGATTAATAAACATTGCACGATCAAGTGATATAATAATTTTCTTTCCGCGAATTGAAGAAATACTATACTATACAGATATTCACGTATCATCACTTTTTCATATACCAATGCTCATTTTTTGATCTAGGTAATGGATTTAGTAACCAACAAATTTATACAAAATGATGGAGATTTTCCATTGTTTGACCAAGGAGCTCAACTAATATACGGTGTTCCGGATGAAAATGCTCCGTAAGTATTTTAAGCAATTTGTTTATTTGGCATGAATGTTAAATTTTGGATCTTTCGTACATCAAGCTATTTGAATATGAAAAGGAATCTCGCAAAATTAGTAGTTCTTGTTCTTTCTGAAATCGGGTTCATCCAGTTGGCATCATAAAATTTGAAGTTTCTAAACTAAAGACAACGTTCAACATATTGATAATTGTATTTAAAACAGGGCCGATAGAGAATATATGCTTGCAGCTAAAGACAGTCAAGGAAAGTCTGGCTCGATAAATTTCTCGATTTTTGTCAACCACAATGTTCAGAAAAAACCAGAGAGTCATAAATATACATTTGTATTTTCTGATTCTCCTGAATTTGGCGAGAACGAAATGCATTCACTGTACAGTTCATTCGGCAAAAAACTTTCTGTCGCTCTTGCCAAAAGCGAAAATATGCCCGGAGTGTTATCGATAATTAAATCAGGGAAAACAAAGAACGGTGAAAGATTTATTACATGGTTCGATCGAGAATTCAACGACAAACTATCCTGTCATTCTGCTGGAATTGGAATTAAACGAGAAGCTAATTTAATGATTGGAAAGGATGCGTCCACGGGCAAGAACAAACCAGCAAAGGAGTTCGCCATGAAGTTCAAACCTGAATATAGGTTGAAATCGATTAAGATTGAACTACTTGGTCCATGTGAAGGACACACCACCACTACGATCATGACAACAACGACGATGACACCCACTACGACAACCTCAATTGCATCAACGGATGATTCTATTGTCGAGCCAACAGTAACAATACCGGCCACGTTGAGCTTTCCCACAACTACCGTTACCACCACTAAATCCACTACAACCCAAACGTCAACCATGAAACCAGATATGACAACTTCAAAAATGGGTCCACGTATTGAAAAATCCTTGCCAAAACTGCAAACCGAAGTTGGAAAAATAGTGAAGTTTATTATTCCGCCTGAGTCGTTTGCCACAACCAATCCCGACGAGTTAGAACTCCGTTTGGACGGCGACACGCCTGTATGGTTAGGTTTGGAAGCACGGACAAGGACGTTGTATATCATGCCAACTACAGATGATTTCGCTTCCATGGATCTTCATAACAGCACTCATCATATGTGGAAAGGAGGGATAATCGCTCGTAATAAAGAAGGAGTTGATTCTGAGGCGTTACCACTAGAGATATATGTTCAGAAGGGAACGAGTGATAAAGATATGAAGGCGAATCACAAATTTCAGCTCAATATAAAGAATTATGAACCAACAGTAGGTTTCCATAATCATATTAAGCCCAGGTAGATTTGAGAGAATTTGGTTGTGATCACACTCCTGTATTTTGACCCATGTTTAAATACCAATTCATTTAATATTTGACCATATATTAATATATATTCATTCAACTTTATTTGATGACCCAGATGCACTTTTCACTCTCTTAAATTTAATTTAAACTAATGTTTTTCCATTCGTATGATGAAAAGCTGCTTTTATTTTTAAATCATGCCAAATATATAGTATTTATCTGCAGAAAGTTATCAATGTTTTTATCTATTTTGCAGAACTTTACTTCTATTGATCGAATTCGTCTAATTGAACTTATTTGCGACATATTTGGAGACGCAGACGCCAGCTCAATTTATATTTGGCCATTACGTAAAGGATCTTTGCTTTTCTCGTGGCACAATACTACTCTTGCATACATTGATCCTTGTCCGTTCAAGAAGATAGCTGCAATAGGTAGCAAACTTTTTGCTGGAAATACTTTCGAACCCAAAGTTAAAGAAAGGTAATCATATTTTCGTTTCATACTTCATTTTATTTGATTAGTTAGTCTGAAAAGTAAGATACCGACCAAAACAAAAAAGAAGGTTTTGTATCTTTTGTCCAAGACGGCTTAGCCTATTAACAAAAGGCATGTATCATGATACATACACATCCATATGGAATGTTATATACGTGTTTTTTAGTTGAAATTTTTGTACTTTTTTCCGTCATATTTTAAATTTCTCCTTACAGATTTAAGGATAACAACTTCACAGTACAGAATGTTAACCTCAGCAGACCTTCTTGGTGCGAACTCACTCCGAATACAACGCCAAAAGACAGGACAACAGCTGTTAATGTGGCGGTGGCAGGAAATCAGGGAAAATCAACAACAATAATTATTATCGCAGTTGTTGTCGTCTGCTTAGTTTTATTAATAATCATATTGGTTTTAAAATGTCGAATGGGAAAAAAAGCTACAGCGAAAAAGCAGGAAATAAAAGAGAAACACGACAGGGAAGAGGCAGCAATTGCTGCAGGAAATCCTGAGCTGTTGGACACGCCCCGAATCAAAAAGGGCGTTCCGATTATATTTCAGGATGAGATAGCGATGGAACCGAACGGCAACGCAAACGCATCACCATCCACGCCTCTCATAGCACATAATCACCGTGGAAACGGGGAAAACAGGTCTCCGGCAATCGTCGATGATGATCAGATAGTACACGAAGAAACGCATTTCACTTCTCCTGTTTCACAGCATCCCATGACACCGCCGACCCCCATCATGTCAGGCAGGCCGCCACCTCCATATATCAAGTCTCGTTGACGTCACTGATTTACGGCATAACTTACCTCACACCTCAAACGCACTATGGTGCAGTCACTGCACGAGTGCACGGTAATTTGTCACCAAATGATTCGATGACGCTGAAGAAAGGTCGAAAAAATGACAAACTAAGGAAGGTTGAATCACATGCAAGAACCTTAAAAGTCTCAGGCGCAATCTCAAAACTATTTTCACACACACCGAAGTTCACTGTATGCTTTGTTGAATTCTTGCTTTAATGTAACTAAGCAATCGATTTGCGGCAGTTCCATCTTTTTACTTTATTGCAAAAATTGATTCAGAAAATTATAGAAATTATTCGCAGTAATTATGTCATATTCAATCCAATAAATAATAGTAAAATAAATAATAATAGTTTCTTTATGAAATAAGAAAAAAAAAATGGTTGCAGACAAAAATTACTCACGGCCTTAAAAAAACAGATTCTTCCACTTATATTGGTGGGAAAATGGCGCGATCTTCAGAATAGCAAATCATCGATTCTTGAATTCCTATTTCATTTTTTTTGTTTTTCAAGAAATTGAGATAAGTTAGTAATTTATTAGATATTATTTTTTAAATCAATACGTTATTTTTAATTACTTATGTTTTACGTCACTCTGCTATGTGCTATGGAACGCTTTCTGAGCATACCATAATATTATCATGAAAGTAATGAACGCCTTGACTCTCCATTAAGTATCTCATCTACCATGCCTGTGAAATTAAGATATAATAAGGTTTTTGGGCGATTAACTTTTGCTTTAGCCAAATGGGAAAAAAAATACAAATTGGGTTCTTATTTTGTCATTTCGAATCAGTTCTGCTCATTTTATCACATGTTTCATGTCACCCATTTCATTTATTATTATTATGTTATAATGATACTTTTAATAATAAAACACTGTTCATTTCTCGTCCATGTGTGACTTATGTATTAAATGCATTGTGAAGATGCGTGAAGAGAAAATGAGACATTCGATTGATTATTTGTTATAATAGGCCTATATCTCGATAACTATAGTCAATCTAGTAACGTGATACATACTGCTATTAAAAATTGGGCGCTCTAGAAGTGCGTGTACCAATCAAAAAGTAACTAATTTTGTTCGCCTACTTTACATCAAGTTGTGTAAAGGGACTGAAACCTATTGGCGGGGGGTATATTCACTTGGCTAACACAGGTAGTCCCAGAACTCTTCATAGAGAAATAAAATAAGAAGAATTGGAATAAAATTATGGCATAACCCTAACCTGGTACACACACTACGAGAGTACCAAAAATTGTTAGATGGATCAAAAAATTACATGATGAATAAAAGATAGAAATCAGTACTAGATCGCCAAAGGTATGTATATACTGTATAAGCGATACTAATGGTAGACATCAGTAAAAGATGACCAAAAAGGTAGATATCACAGGTAGATGAAATTAAATGTGTCGGCCTATAGTACGGGAGTTCACCTTTGCACCCGTACTATATAAATATATATACTATCTCTGACGATTTAAAAGCATACCAATTTTCGTCATTAGTACCTGTTATATCTACCTTTAAAGGTGAAAGTTTCTTGGACGATTGCTGAGCTCCCTTTCTAATTGTCCCCCTCTATACAAGCTTTCTTACACTTTACTAAACTGTTCTCAATTTCCTCCCAACTTCTGGCATTTTATTCAAACATCTGGACAATTACTACAGAAATCAATCTAAAAAAATGCAATTCTCTTCTTCGGCTCGGAATTCCTATAGCAAAATAGTTCGACACCGAACTCAACTTAGAAAAAAAAATTTTTTTATTGGCAAAAACTCTAGCGTAAGCAAGCCTTAGAAAGCTAGGAACGTTTAAATGAATTTAATGCTTTTTGTAGGAAGTTTTCATTTGCCAACTTTGAAATTCTAAATTACGACTCACGAAGAGTTTAGAATTTTCAACTCCGGAGGTTTGTAAATACAACTCCACTCGGTTCATGCAATGCCAAAATAATTGCTTTGTTCCATGACAAATTCACCCCGTGACACAATTCTGTTGGTGTTTTTAGTTGTGTGCTTATTATGGAAATGGAAAGAAGTAAAACATGTTGAATCTCTGTCAGGCAATGCGGTTTAAATATTCCAACCGAAGTTAGCAAACATCCGAAGCACCGAGTTGCAAAAATAATCGGTCGAATAAAGTGACTGAATAGAAAAGCGTCACTGTGAAACAAGAGAGCTTTGCTCAAATATATGGACATGTCACAAAGTCTCGCTATTTTTTATTCTGACACATGAAAAACGAACCTCTTGATGTTCACATAAATTTTTGAAATGAGTAAAAGTAATAGCCTTCTGGCAAAAAAATCAATCTTCAACCACTGAAAATCTCAAAGCAATTGATCCAGTATTCGAAGAGAAAAGCGATTTCATCATGACGAGGGAGAAGAATAATACTAACAAGAACAACAACATAATATTGAAACGATCGTTATGTACACTGACGTGTCAAATGAATAAAACAGCAATATTCTGAGTGAAATATTGCTTCACATAGTAGCCTACTCAGATAAAATTTGAGAATGGAATGCAATAGCTTTCTAGCGACTCCTTTCGTCTTGAAATGGAAACATTTGAAATTAATTAGCTTATCTGTAGATTGATCCGCAGGTCCATGTCGTGTTCAATATACGTATAGACAAATAAGTGATGGAAACAATCAAAATATAAAGTGAATCGCATAATAATCAGCTGTCGAATTCAAGGCACATGGACAACCTTTTTTATCAAATTGAAATATTACAAAGAGCAACACTCCAATACATATATTGATGAAATCCATTTGGTTGCGCAATCTTCCCAAATTAATTAAACTTAAAAAAATTAATCAAACGTAGAAAATAGTAGGCGCAAATAGTACAGGCAAATTTGAAAACAACACGTAATAGGCAGGACTTCCATAAAATTGAAACCAAAAGTAAGTACGATAGTGAAGTCGTATTGCATGCAATAAGTACAGTTGCACATATTAATCCCCGTCAGTTATTTACCGAGAAACAATGTTTCATTGTTCGACACAATTTTAAGTTATATTTCATTGCAACTCGGGTCGAACATCGCCTTTACCTGCAAGGATAGGATAGGATTTACATATTTATCTCGGGAGAGGGGAAAGCCGATAAGACGACTCCACTTTATGGCGAACCGCGGTCTCTCGTCCTGTTACCATTCCACGTCGGGCATGGGATTAGTTAGTTATTTTCGGAAGCATGGACTTGATGGTGGAGGAAGCCGTAACCGACCAGCGGTCACGTGAACCACCTTACAGCGACGAGCAATCCTCTCGCACATAACCATCGCTGCATGGGATTCGAACCTGTGAACCCACGCAGAGTAATCAGAGGTGCGGTGGCGAGCGTGTGAGCCACACCGCCGCGCCAAGAGCGTCTATTACGATTCAGGCTAATTAAGCAATTAAGGTCAATGGGAAACGTGCTTCTTAACTTAACCGCGAGAACAGTTCTGAAGCATTAGTTCAAAAACAAACGATTCAATGCAACGGCCAGTATATATTAAAAGCCGGTACATTCCCAACCCGTACGGACATTTTCACCCAAAGTAGGCTACATTTTTATTCATGGACATTTGCACAGATGGACCTCTTGCGTATATTTGCATTCAGAGTCAATTACCCTCGCGAATATTTGTGTTTCGGCCAAAAATAGTATTTGGCCCCTACGTTTTACAGTCATCGCAAGTTATAATTCCATATTTGCGGTATATTTTCAGCGTAATCAAATTCACGTTGGTGTCCAGCTAGTATACACTGGCAATTATACCGTATGAAAACTATCCGCAAATGAACACACGTCACAGTCAACCAACCCATTGCACAAGAGAAGCGTGCTTCGATAATTATCTTTTTTTCGTAATTTGTGTTCGATTGATTATTTTTACCCATTGGAAAAAAATAAACTTGACTTGGTGAAAACAAAAATAATCAAATGAGATCCAAAATTGAGAGTGAATAAAGACCTCGACTTTGCGAAAGCGAGATTAATGTCAAAGTTGTGCACGTTTGCAACACTTGTCCTTATTGTATTGTTGATTCATGAAGATAACTAGGCCTACTGTTGTTTCCTTACCTGTTTCGAGATTTTGCTTGATCTGAGTTAGTGAATGAAAATCCAAATTAAACGCGTGCGAATTTCGAATCCACCTCTCGGCGGAGAATGGCAAAAAAACGCGTTTACTTCAAAAACTGGTGTTTGTGAATGTAAAAGTTCACGGGTACAAATATTCATCGGTCAAATGTTTGTGGGTACAAATGCAGGCTCGGCGGTGTGGCGCATCGTGCTAAGGCTATTTGGAATACCCTCGCCACAGCTCCTCTGAATACCCTGCGTGGGTTCGAATCCCGTGGGGACGATTGCCTATGCAAGAAAATTGCTAGCCTCGTCTCCGCCTTGGGGTGGTTCACGTAACTGTTGGTCGTCTAAGGCTTTATCCACTATCATGTCCATGCAAATACCTGGCTAACTAATCCCATATTCTACATGAACTGGAACATGAACACGAACCGGAGAAAGGCCGTGGTTTGCCTTTCGATTAAGCCGTATTATTCACTTTCCTCTCTCCGGGTTAAAAAGCTAAATCCTATCCTGTATACATACTGCAGGTGAATATCTTCGTGGGTGCTAATGAAGACCTACTCGGGTGCAATATGTGCGCGGGTGAAAAAGTCAACGGGTGCAAATGTATTGATTGCAATTTTCTGTGGGTGCATATATGCACGGGTGCAAACGTTCAATGGTGCAAATGTTCATGTACATGCAATCTGTACGTGGTTACCAAATGTATGGGTACAGATCTCCACGGATGCAAAGGTACGCGGGTGCAAATGTACGTGGGTGCAGTTATTTTGAACTTTGCGCTCCTTTTTTAAATAAAGATTTTTTATGTGTTCAACATAGATCGAAAATGAGAATAAAAGCTTAAAAGCATTGTCAAAATTTTCTGTAAGGCGCAAATTTCAAAATAATCCCAAATCGACAGCATTCAAGCGTAAATATTAAATTAAGTTGTACATTCTGGAAATTTATAGCAGATAGTATATATGATTTTTTCTAACAGCGATGACAAATTCACAATTCAAGCCCTGCTTATAGAAGATTTATAACTAATTTCTAGAAAATTCCTATTTGTCAGAGGTGAACCTTAATTTGCAGGAAAAATGGAAAGTTTGTTTATTCCATCGCAAGCACTTGTACTTCTGAAATCTCTGGCGAAATCGACGTAACAGTATTTAAAAAGAATGTTTGCGATTTTTATGAGGAATGTCTATCGTATATAGAGCTTTATGACGAAGCCCAGGTATTGGTGATGATCAACGTAATTGTTGAAAGTACAACAGCCCGAAAGTTTAATACTATCGTGTATTTTGTTCGTTAAGTTTGGCCGAATCCTCATTTAATTGGGCTTGTGTTTTTGTGTGCATGCTGGTGGGCAGGCACATGAGATACTTCATGTTTTAAACTTTTCTATAGGTTTTGTTTGCCCTCCAGAATTATCCATTTTTAATTTATGTTTGTTATGAAGTTTTCGAAATAAACTATCTATCTATCTAATCAAGTGCGTTTTGTCCCAACAACAACTTTACTTTTTCAAAACTATCACCGTATATCAAAATGCCCACAACAGTACCAGGCTGGCAGTGATGGAAACATACCATAATTTTCACACCGCCGCCCCCAGAAAAATGTTCCAATAGGCCTACATACGAGCGCCTTTGATGCTTATTTGGAAGCGTTTTTTTCGAGTGGGGGGTATAACGCTTTGATGCAGACCGCTTTTATTGTTTCATTACCATATTTCGATTCCACATTTTAAACTATTATTTACGCCGTTTCTACTCTCTAGTGTCCTTGTTAGCTGATTCTTTGTCGGTTGTACAGACACTTTGTACACTTTTATAGACAATTTGGTGCAGACAACCGTGTCTTAACTATGTATAACACGGTAGGCCTACTGTATAACTATTGTGCTACAGCGACACTGCGAAGTTTGCGATAGACAGATACGGTTGGTGCGGACCAAACAAATTCTGAAATTACAGAACCATTTTACCGTTTTCGCTCAGTGTTGACGTGACTTTTGATACATCGAACTTCAGACTGGATAGATCTGTAGATATTATGAAAAAATGATGTTTGAATAAAATACATTGTAAAAAATTAAGATAGGCATACCAGCATACGAACAATACCGGTAGTCAATCTCATTCGAAAGAAACTAATTATGCCTTTGACATTCAAGTTGCATATCCGGCATTCCGGTCGACATAATTCATGCAGATTCTGCTAAAGTGTCAAGAGTTATTAAGAATTCAATATTCAGATATTTACATTTATTTCAGTACCGCAGTACCGGTAATTATTTTAGGCTATGCCCCAATTCCTCCAGGCAGCCAGGACTGCATGATGATACAGGGATACGGTACGGTACCGGTAGCTCGTATGCAGCATTACCAGTCAGCCAGTAAGGAAGTCTGGAAGTAAGTGAGGCACACAACTCGCCCACATTCAGACATGAACTCCTCGCTTACCGACAGGGTTTAGAAGATATGATTTAGCCTACATAGGAGGGTTTAGTCTTTAGATTGCCGAAAGGAGGATTACATACCCGGACTGCCGGAGAAGGATTTACATACCCCTGTACCCGGGTGAGAGAAAGGCAATAAGACGGCTAAATCATATTGCGAACCACGGCATGACCGCCACTGACCCACTACCACACACGCCAAGGATCACGCTTTAAACCTGTACACTTTAAACCTTACGGTACTTGATGTTTCTTTTGCTTTCCCGATTCTATAATTAGTTTTATTTATTTTGTTTTTATCAATTATTTTATTGTCTATTGCTGGTTATGGAGTCGAAATGAACTTATACTTATCAATTACCAGATTACTGTTACATTATTCCTGTGATTTGTTTATTGCATATTGGCATGTGTTTCAAATAGCTGAATAGCGCCAGAGTGTTGACTTTGTTTTTGCTGCAATAAATAGTGCTCTGTCTCTGTGTTAGAGTTGTTAACCCAAGATGTGAAATTATCGTAAATATAGTTTTCAAGGTTATAGAATTCGATATAGCAATTCTGATCTTCCACTTTTGACACTGTCTGACTGTCTTCAAGTATTGCTGAAGATAGTTTACAATTTTCCTTACATGCACTTATAATGAATTTTTTATGTCCGAGGGTTACATACCTACTCAAACAGGTACAGAATTATTTGTGATTTACTGATTGAACAGCATATTTTCTGTCCAGCATTTCTGGTTTCCAATATTCTATCCGGTTTATCAAGACTACCTAAAATGACATCATAATATGCAGAGGCGAAGGGAAATGTCATCAATGATATGTCATTATTAGATTCAATACAACTTCAATACAGTCATAATGAAGTTACTAGACACAATTTTAAATGTTTTAACAACTTCTTGAAAGAAAGATGTGAATTAACAATTGTATTATTTGTCATTTATTTGGTTGCCCGCACGTTTTATGTGGTAAATACAAGTGAATTTCGTCATGATTGTAAAGTGGGTGAACCACACTAATTCTACACATGGATCACCAAATTTTCAGTTTAGAATTCATATTGAACTAAACTATTTTATTTACATGTGAACAGATGGGTTAATATATTATTCAGCCTGCTTTTCATTTTGGTTTATAACCACAATCTTTATTCCATCTGAGTCTTGACTGCTGAAGGGTAGAATAATGGCGACTTGCAGTTCTTTTTCTGGGACATCATTTGGGAAGCTCAGGGAAGCAAAAATGTGTAAGTATTTTTTGTGATCGATAACTGTACATATATGTGTATATCGGATTATCTGAAACTGGGCCCTCAACCCTTCTATGGGGCCACAGAGCGGTTGTCTGGGGGCCATGAGCGAATGCTTCCACTAGATATCATTTGGGATGGCTAGTAAGTAAATTGATTGTAATGTGTTTCATTATTTGACTGTATTCTTTTTCTTTCCTTCGTTGACTTTTTTATCATTGGACATGGCATATAAAATAGGATTAATATATTCATCTGGGGAAGAGTGAAGCCGGTTACCAGTCCATGTCGGTTATGGGATTAGTTATTTTACATGCTGTGACTCATAATCCACTTTAGTCTAGGAATAATGTTCCTAATATTAATCATATAGTCTATAATATATTTTTTGTGTCCTTTACTGTTATGACAGGTCCACCCGACAAGTTAAATGCTATTCTAACCAAAGTTTTTCCGAAGAAGTTCAACACCAAGCCATCTGGATTAAAAAGGTAATTAATTGGCATATATTATTATTTCATTGTTTCTTTCTTGTTCATTGGTATTGGCGGTAGTAACATCCATTTACTTTATGAAACAATCCTGCATAGACGGAGAAGATTCACGTTTGAGTTGTGAGTAAATCACAATCGTAACCTCGAAACAGCGAAAGTCGCGACCCGTAACCCTGTATACTAATATATACCATGTGGTGCTCGCTGTCTACCAGATATGGTGTATTTTCTTTATATGACAAATTTACGCATTATTTGACAATATACCACGTGTTGCTCGCTGTCTACCAGATATGGTGTATTTTCTTTATATGACAAATTTACGCATTATTTGACAATATACCACGTGTTGCTCGCTGTCTACCAGATCTTGTGTATTTTCTTTATATGACAAATTTACGCATTATTTGACAATATACCACGTGTTGCTCGCTGTCTACCAGATATGGTGTATTTTCTTTATATGACAAATTTACGCATTATTTGACAATATACCACGTGTTGCTCGCTGTCTACCAGATATGGTGTATTTTCTTTATATTACAGATTTACGCATTATTTGCCCTGTACAAGTCTCTGCGCAAGCAGCTACTGCTTGATAAGTGGCTACTTTAATACCTACCCCATTTATTTCACCCTGGGTGTGGTGGTGGGCACATGATTTGATCCGAGATATACTTGGTACCATCATAGAAAAATATTAACGCTTTAATTTAACCACTTGGTCACTGCACCCGCAATCTCCCGTATATCAAAATTAAACTTTGAATCTGCAATATTTGGAAAATGACTGCGTTATAGTGACATTCACAATTTTTGTTCTCATGTCAAGAATCAGTGACTGGAACAAATATTGTTAATTGCAATTATACTGTTTCTTCTGAAGAAGTCATTCTATTCATATTCAGTTCAGCGGTTTAGTTGTGTATAGCAGTGAAAACACTTTTTGTGTAAATAATACAGAATTGAGTTGATATACAAATAAAATCATAAAAATATTCAACTATGGTTTACTTTTTTTATTCTACAAGAATCAAGCATTATTAGAATTCGGATAGCTGATTAATATCAACCAAAAATATATATGACAATTGTGTTATGCCAATTTCACCATATAAATTTCGTTTCATTTATTATAGTAATGATATGTTGGGATTTCACAACCTGGAAAAGCACATCACAAGTACCTTGCTAAACGCAGAGGAAGCTAAACCAGAGATGATATCTTCTTCAGGTAAGGGAACTTTCCAAACAGAGTATTTTCCAAATAGCGCAATATAAATCTCATCTTAAAAAGTACGCTATATGTATTATGTTATGTATACTATATGACAATATGCAAATTGCAGCAAAATCATGGTTTGCAATGTATCTTATGTAATATGATTATTATTTGTGGATTGTGTTCAAATATTTAATCAACTGCCACGTTCGATCAAAGATGATTCAAAGTGTCATCATATATTCAAAATTCTTTTCATGCTATTGATAACCTTTGCACAAGAGTTGAATTGTTCTCTTATAAAATAAGCGTATTCTTCAGACCTGAATCTCATTTGACAGATTTTTTCTTCCCTTATCTCCAGGGAATTTTAATATCTTAGTGTTGAAGAATATGACATTTACAACTTGACATAAACATGACCGTACATGATCCTATCTTAGCAAGATTTTTGTTATATGTTCTTTCCCTTTGTTTCCTTTCAATTTTGAATAATTCAAATTTGCACCAGTAGTTAGTTAGAGCCAGAGATCTCATTTACCGAATAATTGACTATTTCTTACTCTTCATTGTTATTCATCAATTCCATAAAAATCTATCAAAAATAAAAAAAAATTTAAATTTCGACTCGAGTCACAATTTCTTTACAACACTGGTTCACTTCACCCAGAGTTCTGCGAGTTCAGTCCGCGAGGGTGTAGGTGTATATTCAAATTCGAAAGTTTATATTACTATGTGCATATTGTTATTGTATTGAATACAGAGGTATAATATAAACATATAATAAATGATTTTAATGAGAGTTTCGTTAAAGACCTTCAGGGGTTCTGCTCCAATTTGTTTGTTCACATTTTTTTGGATTGGCGATTTTTATTATAATGAATAGAGCCCCGGTATGTTTCTTTGGCGTTCCGCTACACCAGAATCCTTGAAAAGCACTATTCTACAACAATGGTTAATTTTGCTAATAAATACTAATTTCATTATACTACACTACAAATATTACTTTTTTCTCAGTAAATATCCGTCTTGACTATTTTTTTAAACTTGAGTTCTATTTTTAAAGCTCTTAAGTGTTCCATCAAATATTCGATCAAATGAAGCAAGTCTTGTTACTTAAACTTCATCAATTCACAAATAAGGAATACTCTGGGCATTTTCATCTACTATGCATCGATTCAAGCAATCGTAAATATTTTATTTAGAAAGTAAAGCTGGATCAAGTTCTGGTAGCGCTGGTACGAAGACTAGGAGTTATTTGAAAGGTATTTTTGGTGAAAAGAAAGTGGATCCAAAAGATTCTGAAAAAGATAAAGGACCTGACTTTGAAAGTTAGTACTTCCTTATTTGTATATTATCTATTTCGATTTCAAGAATCTTACAGGAATATTTTTTTTGGTGCTCCCGAAGTATGTGAACCAAGAAGGCCGATACCCGAACGTAGTATGTGTACCAGTACCAGGTATAATTTCAGGTACAAATACTACGGGAGTCACTTGGCTAGTCTTCGAACTCGTAATATGACACATACTACGCTCCGGTATCCGCCATCTTGGTTCACATACTTCGCAAGTACCTTTTTTTTGTTTTGGTAAAATCATGTAAATCATGTGAAAAATAAAATATTTTGAAACAATGAAAAGATGACAATTTATTATTAAATTGACCTTTTTCAAAAAGCAATAATTCAAATATTATTAAAACTCAATTCTGGGAACAATCCCAGAATTATTATTTATCTATGTGCAAGACTAAATCATTGATGATTGTCAATAGACTTATTATATCATTCAATTATCACCTCAAACCAGCTAGCTGCATTTATTAACTTGTAGGCTTTGCTAATATCTGTAATTGAAAAATACTCGACTGGTGCTTGAATGTTGAATTGGATATTTCAGCTTTCATACGAGTGAAATTTGTGGGTTACATTATTTGTGTGGGAGATCGTATATTGCTGTCATTTTCATTAGCTATACAGGATCTTCGATGGCATAGTTTGTACATTTTTTAAAGAATAAATAATTTATAATGTGGTAGAGTTTGTTTCAAATAAAATTGTGACCTGTATTGTCGTCTTCCACGCTAGCTTATATTAGATCTTCAAAATTTGTAATTTTGACTAACTTTTTCAAGTTATTTTTTTATTACATGCTATGGATATAGAACTTTTTTATTTAATATATAACAAGAGTTTCAAGACCAAAAGGGTGAATGTTGAAATGTTGAAAAAGTTTTACTCGAATATGTCATAAAGGAATTGCTGCCTTTTATTAAAAGCTGGTTTCTAATAAAGTTTGAAGGATCATTAACTTTAATATTTCAATAAAAATTTACAGAAGTCTTAAAATAAAATAGTTTTTTTATTTTCTTAAAACAGCTTCCGCCGCTTTGGGTTACCATAATCAATTTTTTTTCCCATCCGAATAAATAATTTTCTTCAAGACTTACTTTAGCCTTAAAAGTTGCTAATTCAAACATATGTAAATGGATTATATGATTGATTAGAGTCGCTTGTTCCTAGTAACTGCTCCTTTGTCTCTGTCTTGGTCAATGTGGAATCATATGCACTCCACTGACTGTAAGAATACTGTAGCAAGAATTAAAACAGCTAAATTTAATGATTGTGTGTATAATCTCTAAATCGTTCCAACAATTTATTTTGTCAAATTTTTGCAAAGTCCTCAAAAAGTTGTTGTGACTCTTTGTTATTGACTCTTACAAAGTTCTTATATTAACTGTTGTCACTTATGCTTTAAATTCATTGGTTATCATAATTATAGATTTTTTGTTCTTTACATGAATGTAATGGAGTATTTTGTTGTTTAGGCTATATATACAGATATATGATTTATTTTGATTACACCAAGTTAAAGATTGTACACATTGTTTCAAGAGAATTGACAATTTCTGAATTACTAAAACGTGTTTCTACTTCAAATTCTGTTAATGCTAAATTACCTAAAATTTCGTTTATTTGTGTACTGATAGTTCACCATTGTCTGGTTATTACTTGTTCCTGTGCATGATGCTACATGTTATTGATTTTTCCCAAAATTCCCTTTTTCATTCTCACTGCTAATTGGATTAAAATAGTCTAGTCTTGTTATTACGTTTTGTTTTCAATTCTTAGTCTAAATATAGGTGTAATATACATTTAAATTATTTAGAAATATTGATTTTGGAAATTACAAAACAAAGATGTTATTTGTTTTTTTATTTATAATTAAATGAAAGATATCCTCCTCAATTGTTTTTTAATTTTATTGAATCGTTTTATTAGAAAAACATGCGGAAGGGACATAAATAATGAAATAAATGAAAAATTTTAAAATGTAAATCATAAGGCGAGCAAGATTGAATCTAACACATATTTTTATTGTTAATTAGCTTCACACCCCCTCAAAAAATTGTCTACACCCCCCACACGCCCCCTTGTTTGAGAACCACTGGTTTAGCATATTTCATTATGAAATATCAATCTGAGAAATAAATACGAATTTGTATTGGGAATTTAGGTTCCAACATAAATTATTATTATAGTGGCCTCAGTGACTTATTGAAATCTTACTAACTTAAGTAGCTCAAAGTCCTTGTTTTCTATAAATTTTTGTCATGCTCGTTTTCTATAAATTCAAATTTTTATTTTGTTCCACATGCCTTGGGGTGTCCTAAATCCAATTATACACTTTGACATGATATTTCTTGTAACAAACAAAAAAATCTTTCGAAGGTTAAATGAGTTTTATTCATGTCAAAACAATTTGGAACAAAACTCAAAATAATAATATTTGCAAAAAATGTTTTACGATTCAATCGTTTTTTTATATCTTCAAAATTGAAATTATTGACAAAGAAACATTGTAGAAGATCGAATTAATATAATTCAAATGTGGAAATCTGTATTGTTCACTATTTAACTTCACTTTCCAACTTCGCAAAAAATTTGAAAAGTTCATTGAAATTTTCATTATATCTATATCACAGGCTCAATAATATGAACAATACACATTTTTGTTTGAATTTTCAATTTTCCTGGTTTCCATTAATAAATAGCAAAGACAGTGTGCCCTATTGTTATTTATTTATGATAATATTCTAAAACTCCTAGGGGCATATATTTTGTAGGATTGTAGGATTTTGTTTTCAATAATGACTGGACAATTTGTATAACAAAATTATGATGTATTCAAACTAGACCTTAATTAAAATTATATATTATGCTATACCAGTATATGAATAACACTTCTATGAATTTTGATTCTCTGAATCTCTGTCACTTGGTTAAATTAACTTTTGGGTGGGAGATTATACCTGTATATCCCTGCATATCCTTTGGCGTGGAGGTGTGGCTCATTGTGCTAAGCGTTAGGAATACGCTAGCCACCGCACCTCTGATTACTCTGCGTCGGTTCACAGTTTCGAATCCCACCAGAGGAATGGTTATGTGCGAGAGGATTGCTGAACTCCTCGTCGCCGTAGGGTGGTTCACGTAACCGCTGGTCGGTTACGACTTCCTCCATCGTCAAGTTTATCCGAAAACAAGAAACTAACTAATCCCATACCCAACATGGAGTGGTAACCGGACGAGAGGCCGTGGTTCGCCATATGGTTAAGTCGTCTTAACAGCTTTCCTCTCCTCCGGGATAAATATGTAAATCCTATCCTATATTAGCTAAGTTTGAAACTCAAACAAAAGTTGCCAAACTAAGGAGTTGACTCACTATGTGCCTAACTCTGATCGCACTCAAACAAAATGGCATTATGCTTACGTAATTCTAACAGCTACAACTCGAAAGATGCTAAGTTCTCATGATAGGAGCGTAACAGCGTAAATTCAAGAGTTCTAAGAGAGAGTCAGAATTTCAGACTTAATTGATTAACGGTGCCAATCGAATAATCAAAGTGAGATTGCATGCGCCGAAGCTTTCGTTGCCAAAATTTTTCTTTTTCAGAATTGGTTTAGAGCTAGAGTCGGACTGAAAATTAACTGCAAGCGAGTCTGAGCTAGTGTCGTTTTTTGCAAGGGTCGTGCTTTGGAGCCAGACTCGGTTGGTTAATTTCCCCTTACCCCATTGGCTTGCTTTTAATACTTCGCATATTAAAAATATAGCAGTTGCAGAATTTTGTCTTGTGCTTTACCACCGTTGAGAGTTGGAATAGTATGGGATTCAACAATTTATATCATGGATCATACATTTTTCTATTAACGTTTCTGAAATTCCATATGATATTTTTCTGTTTAGTTGAACACAGAGATGGGAGATTAGGACCTCGTCACGTTACTTTTCAAAATCATCCCCTGGAAACTGCACCTGGAGATTCATTCAGCGTCATTGGAAATATGAATTTTCAATCTGTCAAGGCAACTTGCTGTGTATTCAAAGGTATAATATGAAGTTCATAATTAATTTATTCCTTATTATTAAGCCCTTATTCACATGATGCCCCCCCCCCCCCTCAAAAAAAAAAAAGAAAAAAGAAAAACCGAATTCATAAATTCATTAATAACTACTATGAAAATGAAGAAAATTTATTAACACCTGTACTTTGAGAGTAATCTAGGACAACTTTCAACATTATTTTCTCACTCTACAAAGTTTGTGTTGCTATTGACATTTTATTGATCTTATGTAACTTTGCTCACAAATTTGTTTTCTTTACTTTTAAAGCAAGTGGGGTTGACTTTGCTTTGAGAGAATTCCCCAAAAAATTGTTCATCAGTTATCATCAGAATTTAATTTATTATTTCTATAGGCAAATGGATGTATGAAGCAGTCCTGGGTACATCAGGTTTAATGCAGATAGGTTGGTGTACAGCTACATGTAAATTTACTCGTGAGGAAGGTGTGGGCGACACAATTGATTCATATGCATTTGATGGATACAGAGAAACCAAGTGGAATAGTCGTGACAGTGCAAAATATGGGGAAGTGAGTGAATATTTTCTTACCATACCTTATGATATAAATTGTGCCTTTTCTGGAAAACATAAATTTCGAAAAGCCAGGTAATATAGGAAAAGTATGGGGAATTTAAAAATATTTTTTATTGTTGTGAAATTTTTTATAACGTTCAAGTGGTAGCTGTAACTAAGTCGCCATTATTTACAATATGGTTAAGTGAGTTTTGAGTCTAACAAGTATTTTTAGGGTTTTGTAAATCCTGGATTTGGAATGGTAGCTTATCCAGTAAGACTTTGTGTACAATGCTCAATCTATATTTTTAAAAGGGCTTTTCTTAACAATTTGTTCTTTCAAATTTTTCGTATATTTTACCTTTTTTAAATTGGTTAATGGTTATTGCATTATGTGTACTAATTTCAATTTCTTTTGTAAATTAAAGTTTTGTGCATAAATTGGATTTGCCGTAGTTTATATTTGAAGTTTTTCAGTGAAGTATATTTGTGTACTGAGCCATTGCTACAGCTTAACCTTTGAATATTATTTCAGACATGGTCTGCTAACGATGTTGTGACATGCTTGTTAGATTTGGACAATAGAACCGCTTCATTTTGTTTGTAAGTATATTGATTATGGACAAAATTTTTATGTATTTTTTTAATCATAGTTCACAAGTCAGTAATGATGTAAAACTATCAAACCTTAATAGAAATATATAGACTTAGATTTATAAATTTCTTGTTTCTTTCAGTTATTAGGATATATAGCCTATTTGATGAAGTCTTCTCAAAGTACTGCAGCTTATATTTTTACATTGTTATATATTTATTGCCAAATTATTTAGGTAAGCCAGATTATGACTCCTACTATAAATCCTATCTCCACTGATGAAAAACATGTCAAAAAAAACATGTTGGAAAAATGTGGATGGAACGTAAATATCCAAAATAAAGAAATGTATATGGGCTATTCCAAGTGACACTACAGGACAATTCCAGAAATTTTGCATGTTGTTAAATTCAATATATTTTCACATTTTCAGCTACATGTTTTGTTTCATTGTCCAATCAGTTGCTTTATTGAATATGTAAAAAATTGCACAAAAGTTACACCCAACCTTACTTAGTAGATAAAAAAAATATAGAAAAATATAGCGTGACACTACAGGACGGCAAATCCACCATGCACTAACAGTACGTTGTGTTGTGCTGTAAATTTTTGCGATGGTACAGTAGGAGACCATAATATTTTCTGGTGCAGTAGCTGAACTACCCCTCTATGTGTTGCTCAAGTTACTTAATGTAACACTGTAAATCCATGCCAATAATGTGCATATTGTATGTGACACTACAGGACATTTTTCCACTTCGGAATAGCGGCCTCTATCATCTCCTAAAATTCTGGTAATAAACCGTTAAATGGGTAAAAAAATGTCCTACAGCACTGCAAACATTTAAACTTTATTAATTTAAATCCAGTGCGTCAATTCCATATGAAATAACTGTACCACACAAGACACAATCAAACACTTTGTGTCAGGAATCATCACAGAATATGTCAATTATACCAAAATTTCGACATTCCAGGCCATTTTTTATAAACCATCAAAAACCTGGGTGAAATTTTAAATTTTTCGATGAAATGAATGCAGTCCAATAAAATTCCAATGTCTTTTGATATCAAAAATAAAAAAAAATTACTTTCACTACACTTTTTAAAAAATTGATGGAATTCAACTTTTGCTTGGAATGGCCCATATATCCTAAATCTGGCGAGCAAGATCAAATTTGATGAATATTTTAATATTTAATAACTTCATGCCCTCAAAAAAATGTTTACATCCCCCCTTGTGAGGTCCCCCCACCTTTGAGAACCACTGGTTTAATTGTTCCTTATTAAATCTCAATATCACTCTGATTCAAGTTTAATAAAAAGAATAAAAATCATTTTGCAAAACCCTAGGGACATTCCTTTGCGAAGTCTTGTCGTCATCCAGTTTGATATATTTGAATACTAACTTCTAAGCATAGGTTAGAACGAACAGATGGGTGATATGATTACAATAGTGCTCATCAGTTATAAATAGACACCCTTATACTTTTGACTTTTGTATTTTATAACAAGGTAATAGATTGTATTTATGTGAATAAAGTACACGTAACATTTAGCGTAGTTAATTAAATTACAAATTATATTCTAAACTTGGTTCAATACAAAATCAGAATTCTATAATAACTATTTGGAGTTGGGCATCATCTAAATTATCTAGCTAATCATAAACTGAATAATACTTGTATAAAAATGTTCTTTCAACTATCCCATATTATCGAGATGTAGATATCAGAGTACTAAATCTCTATTAGTTTGTAGGTGTTAATTTGTATACCAATATAAAATCAGGGATGATGAAAAAACTAAATAATTTACCATTGAGAATACATTATTAACAAAATATACTCTATCAATTTGTATTTATGTAGACAAATTTATTCTTTAATAAAGAAGAATTATAATGAAATATAACTATTTTCAAATGGTTCTAACTAGGGCATTTAATAGATTGCACTTCTGATTTTCATACATAGGCCTATAATAGACTTTTCCTAATTTTAACAGAAAATGAGTGAAAATTATGTTCATCTCAACTATTTTGCATTACCAAATTTCATTTATATCAATTTACAATGATTTGTGCTAATTTATTTATTGAACGTGACTCAATTTTGAATATGTTCGAAAATCTATATTCGGAAATACTATTTTGGAATGTATTTAGGCTCGAGAAATCATATTTACAAGTGAAACAGGTTTACAACTACCAAACTATTGTACTTAACTTACATATAACAATCAATTATTTCAGAAACGGAAAAAATTTAGGTGTGGCTTTCAGAGACATACCCATCGGACCTGGGATTGCGTATTTTCCTGCATTCAGTGTCGCATACAAAGAAGTTCTTCAAATTAATTTTGGGGCTCATGTTATGAAACATCACACACCCGGATATCTTCCTATCCAAGTAATAAAATATTTATTAAATATTACTACTAATAATAATAATGCCAAGCTGTTAAATTTATGCTAGACGGTGTGGTAATCGTGCTAAGCGTTAGGGATACTCTCGCTACTGCACCTCTGATTACCGTGCGTGGGTTCACAGGTTCGAATCCTGCGGGGGATAATTATGTGCGAGGGGATTGCTGGACTCCTCGTCATTGAAGGGTGGTTCTCGCAACAGCTGGGGGTTTACGGTTTCACAAATTGTGGGTTGAACTTACAAATCCCCTACCCGTCATGGACTCGTAACCCAACTAGAGGCTGTGGTTTGCCATGTAATTAAGCTGTCTTATCGACTTTCCTTTTCCCCAAAATAAATATATGTGAATGCGTAAAATTTTATTCCTAATCTGAAATGGTTGCATGTTTGATTATTTACTACAACTTTCTTTATTCTTACCGTAACAACAAGCATTAAATATATGTGGATATATATATTTATATATCGATTTTGTTTGGCAGTTTGACAGTTTGAATCCCATTGGGATGATCTCTTGTCAATTAAGCATTTTTGTATCAGTTTTGAGCATTTGTGTAACAGAGAATGAATAAGGTTTCTTTTCTTATTTATTCTTATATTAAATCATCCGAGGTTCATGTCTGTTCAGATATCTTTTCTCAGAATTTCACCATGAATGCTGCCAGAACCTCTTAGTATTTTTTTACATGAGTCCGAATTTGTCACTTCTTTTCTATATTTCCACTGGACAAAGCTCCACACATTTATCTGCTCAATTGTACTGATGTTCTACCAACTATGGAAAATCAGGATCCTTTCAGTTTATCATTATTTTCTAACTATTTATACAGTAGTCCACTATTTGAATTTAGTACTCAAGTCCACGAATCTGAAAACAAGTAACTGGCAAACTAATTCCATACCCGACATGGACTGGTAACCGGACGACAGGCTGTGGTTCGTCATATGATTAAGCCGTCTTAGCGGCTGTCCTTACCCCCTGGATAAATATGTAAATCCTACTCCAATCCTGCTGTGCCATCTCTCAGTCACTGTTAATAAACTTTCCAATATTACTTACCGGTATTACAACCAAATATTATACAATCAGAAAAGATATATTTGCACATCAACCATTCTGCAATCACCAGAAGCAAGAGCAAGCAGATACAAAATCAGTGGAGCGTGAAATAATAAATTGAAGTGAACAGGCAGGCAGTTGCCAGAAATGAACAAAACGAAATAATGCAATATCAACAATCACCACCATGCATTTTATAGACTATAAAAGGCTCTACATGAAAAGCCACTAGATATCAGTTTTTATTATCATTATTTATTAGCAAAAAATATATTTTCAGAGTCCACCAGATTCTCTTGGGAATGCGTCTACTCTTGTTAGAAGCTTATCGACATTAATTAATGTAAAGACTGAAAAAAGCGTAAGTTTTATTTTTTATATTCAAATCAGAATTTCATATTCAGAGTTTCAAGAGGGTGTTTGTTATACATGGATTTGATAAATATTCTCTTTTTTACAGTGTAGGTCAGTGAGTCCCAGACTCACTTTATTATCAGTGAAAAAACTCACGGCGCACTTACACAAAAAAAATTGATGTTTTTAAATAAAAACTCAATTTTGTGATTGTTAATGTTTACTTTATGCTTTTTAAAGTTTGTAAACGCTTTTCAAAGTTTTGTAAACATGTAGGCCCAAAAATAAAGGCAATGTCAACTCTTCTTCCTCATCTCTGCCTGAGTTTTCCTCGAAATACTAAAAAAATCATTCATGTTCAATAAACTCTGTTCATCAGATAAATAAACTGCAGCTCACGAAATTGTAGCAAATAGTGTCTATCTCTGTTGTTACGTAACAGTTATGTAACAATAGAAGCAGAAACTCTGTAACAGAAATCAAGCGACGTAGAAAGGTAGAATAAATTGATCCATTCACATACACAGTCTTTAAAATAAGAAACAAAACATCTATAATAAATACAATATTCTAAATATTCAATCATATATTAGTTTTGTTTAACATAATTCTGGTAATTTTCGGGGCTCACTTAGCAAATCGCATTTACCGGCCCTCCTTCGGAAACCGAGGGTGTTGGTAGTAATAAAATAGTTGTAAATACAAGAGGATAAGTTTCAATGTTTTAAAAATTCTTGTTCAGTTTGAGGGATGTAAATGTACAAATTGGCAGATTGTCAATCATTTATTACTTCCATAAGACTTCCAATGTATTTCAGGTTCTATCAAGTGCCCTGGATCCAGTCACAGAATGTATAATAGGAGCTCATATCTTCAAAAGACTTTCTCCTATATTGGTATGACGGAATATTTTAAATTTTTATCTCATTGATATCTCTTTATTGATTGTATTTTTTTATTATCGCTATGTTTATTTTGTTTTTCTTCAATTTTACAGCAAGAAAGCTATAATGTTGAAATGTCAATGATTCCGTTTTTGTATGAACTGTCGAGCAGTCCTGGCCTATTAACACAAATTTTAGATTGGATTTGGAACTTCATGGAGGTATTTTGCATATTTACCTGTTTTTCTCTCCTAATTTTCTTTAAATTTCTTTTTCATCTCATAAAACATAAACAAGCATTCATTAATATGTAAGAATCAACAATGTTTTGCAGAACCTTTCTGGTGCAATATGCAACTTTTGACCAAACCTTATTCAACTATTTTTATATTGACAGTCAACACATTTCCCTCTGAACAAGGCCCTGTAAAAGCAGTCACCCTTATGTATTTGCTACTATTTTCGAAATGTCAGGAATTGTTTTAGTTTGGCATTACACCACGGGTTAGGCTTTAGGCATGAAATTTTCGACCTTGAGGTGTGATGAGCCACTAGAGTAGCGCTTACAAACCTTCTCATCGTTATGGACCTTGCTCATGATTTGACTGAAAGTTGGTTACCCTTTTGATGAATCCAGTCAAAACTGTAACTAGCAATTTCTTTTGTATAAAGTAAAGATTTTTTACTAAATCTGTACACAGGAACTGCCTTACGAAAATGATATAAGAAGTTCTATATGTACAGCTTAAAACTTTCAGCATAAATAAGATAACCAGGTGCGGACAGCATCAAGAGCTCTATTGAATCATTTTTCTGAAAGTGAATAAAACCATTATACGCAAGATCTTGTGTTACCCCATAGCTTGTTTTACATAAACAACTTGAACTAGACCAGTGGTTCTCAGATGTTATTGTACCTCTGACCACCCTGTACATCCCCCATCATCTCATAGCTATACAAAAAAAATGTAAATTTACCAAGAAAAGTTTATTACTATAAATTATACTAATGGACTAATAGTACAAACATGGTGTTTTTCAACAAAATAGATGAGATTATTGATCTTCGGCAATTTGTAAATATTTGGAAATATTTCGCTCATTTTAATTTTCTATTATGCTCATGGACCCTGTTTGTCAATTATTGCACAAGGCCATAGCGCTACAACAAGCACGCAGTCCTCGATATTCATGTTTCCTATTTTGTAATTTTAGGAAAATTCTGCGAAACAATGTGTTGATTATCTTCTTGCATCTGTGATTAGACATTTCAAAACTGCTCACATTCGTCCAGATTTCTTGCTTCAGAAAAAATATCTCAACTTTTTATTTGGAATGGCAAAACATACAAGGACAAAAACTCATCTGCTGGAGTATTCATTATATCCTTTTGTATATTCATTAAAATTTTGCGTTAATGAAATATAGCGACATCATTATCTGAATAGTGTGCTATTCTAAAATCCATTTTGCAGTTATTGTTAGTGTACCTACGAATTATTTTGATAAAATGTTGTTGAACTTGTTATTGGTAGATAATGGACCAATCAAAATTAAGCATGTAAGAAGGCGTGGGGTTGAGTGGTCAGATCATATCTTTTCTAATTATGCAATTCCAATTCTCCTAAATTTTTAATTCTAAGCCTCACCAAACCGACAACAGGTGACGTTATTTACTATGATTGTCTGAATTGCAAAATCACTCACGTAGTTGTGATACATAGGGATACTTTTTTATCAAATTTCTCTCTATAATTTTACCCCTAATTTTGTACACATGAAATTCTTTATAAATTTTTTCTATTTGTCCGTAACTTTGTAGACATAATATTAGTGGTGGTGGCCATATTAGTCATTTGACTCCCATGTCCATACATTTTATTTACTTACTTACGGTGATGGCAAAACCCTAAAAATCTGCTGTTTCTAATATGTTCTAAAGGAATAATTTTCGGATATGGGGTGTTTTCATATCAAGTCGAAATAATCTGTTATTCTTAAAGTAGAATTCGGAATGTGGAATGTATGTAACCAACTTTTTATCGACCCTAATCATTTTGTGATCTTCCTGTTTATATACCCTTGCTTTCTGCTTCATTTCTTTATCTTCAGTATTATATTTCTTAATTAATGATTACTTCTGAAAGATCAGATGAAATACCATATTTATTCCACATCAAACAACCTCCATCTAGTTCAAATGCAATGGATAATTTGACAAATAGAACTTTGAAAGAAAGAATCACAGGTAAACATATAGATATCGGGCTTACAAATTAATTTACCATTAATCAATACACGAATATTATTGTTTCTTGGAAGTCTCTGAATTAGTTTGAACTTTCTTAATTTTTTTAACTTTCTGAAATTTTCCCTTTCTTATCAATATGTAGTCTTCATTTTGAATCTTTCTCATTTTACATTCATGAATACATTTATTTTGTTGCTTTTTTCAGCTGTTGAAGATATTCAGCGAGACATTTTGAAAGCATTTTTAGAAGTTGAAGATAAAGATAATGTGAGAATAAATTTTAGATCTCCTTTATGGTAAATAAAGTCAAGTGCAATTTTTAAAACTCGCGTATTCACTTGTATTCCGCACATCATAAAAATATGAGATATAACATTTTTGCAATCGGCTCTGTGACAAACAAATTCTAGGACAGGATAAAAAAAAGTATTCTATTAATTTGAAAATGAAAATTTGTTCATTTTTTATATTGTACATTTCTATCCTAGTTTTATCATTATAAATAGGGAAAGAATCGTTTTACAAAATATCATATATAGGCTCGGCGGCGTGGCACATTGTTGAGAATACGCACGCCTCAGCACCTCTGATTATCTCGTGTGGGTTTGAATCCTGTGAGGATAATTTTGTGCAGGAGGATTGCTGGACTCCCCCTGCCGTAGGGTGGTTCACGTAACGACTGTTCTGCTACGGCTTCCTCCACCATGAGTTCCATGAAACAAATAATAAACATTCCATCTGAAACAAATAACTGGCTAACTAATCCTATACCTGACATGGACTGGTAATCGGTTGAGAGGTTGTGGTTCACAATATATTATTATATATATTCTTCCTTTTCAGTACAACTGCTGCAAATTGTTTGCTGAGAAATTCCGCAAGATGGCTCAAAGTTTTGTATCAACCACAAGGGTAAGCTAGCTTATCATTTTATTAATTCGATAGTTTTAACCCAAAATGGCAAAGATTTAGTAAGCTGTTTTTCAAAAATGAAGAAATTATATAGTTTTGATTTTTAAAATCCCATAAGTGAATGAGTTCCCTTCATTGCCGAGCATGGCCTTGCTTTGAGGAAATTCCTTCAGAAAATCTTGCATTCAGACCGTCGCCAATAACTTTGCTCAGGGATGAGTCACATTCATTTCTGAGTGACTGTGCCTTGGCTTTGAACAGGTTTCCTCAGAAAAATTATCAAATCTTGCAGTGCTGAGCGAGATCTGATGGATCTATATTTGAATTTGACTCACTTAATAAACTATGATAAAAAATTAGCCTTTAAAAAATGTGGTTCATATTATTATTTTTATTGATATTTTTTTTGCACAGGAGCAAAGTGCTTTATGCCCAGCAATCGTCATTCATTCATTTATTCAAAGATTAATCGATGTTGTTCGACAACAATGGGATAATTCAACTGTGACAAGAGCAAATTATATACCTGCTAGTGGTAAGTATCATCTGTGATGAGACCATCACCCTTACTACAACGATAAGGCAAATGCGATAGTATTATCAGTCGAATACTAGATACTTGAGTCTCACTTGCATGCATGCCTATTTTCCAAAATTCCAAAAAGATCCGCGGCACACCTGAGAATCTCTTGCGGCACACACTTTGAGATACGCTGAAATAGATCCACTTTGGTGGGCAATTTGCTCTTTATCTAGTCTTTCTTTTTATAAGTTTAATATTGTTACAATTTCTATTTTCAGAGGGATATCTACCATCGGAGTTATTTTATACTGGAATGGTGAACTACTCTGATACACAACGAGCTGGAGGACTTGCATCACACCTTGTTCAAGAACATAGAGGTTTAATTGAATAAAACTTATTGCTTTGAATACTAGACGTACTGAATAGCAGGGCTCTGAGTCGAGATTTGAATTTTCCCAGAGTGTGATTTTAATGATAGTCGTCAATGTCAAAATTGAGACAATTACAGAAGGCTAGTCAAAATTAAAAACTGAATGGTAATTCCACTTTCACGGGCGCTCCAGAAGTATATGTTTCAATATGGACTTATGGAGGTAACTAATTTTGTTCGCCTACCTTACATCAAGTTGTGTAAAGGGACTGAATTCTATGAACTACTATATTCATTTGGCTAACACAGACAATCCCCTAACTCGTAATATACTCGGAATAAAATTATAAACTAACCTGGTACATATACTACAGGAGTACCCTTTCACGTAAGTTGATGTCTGTTGGTCAGGCGAAGTCGTGAAGACTGGGGTACAGATAGTCTATTGTGACAGATTGCAAACCCGTACTACAGCGTTTTGGATTTTGTGTCCATATATTTGAGCATCGCTCTCTTGTTTAAATTATGAATGTCTCTGTGTCAAAGACCATTATTACTATCCGTTAATGTCATCAACAAGACCGAAGTTTTCCTTCAGAATGTTTGAATAAAATGATATTTACAACTCATAAACCTTTTGAAATTGACCATTTATTGTTTGTATTTTACTGAATAAAAACTTCTATGAACTGATTATTTTGACACAGAATTGCTGGAAAAAGAAGGCGTAAGTGTGACAATGGGAAGTAGAAGTGCACATTCTGATTCGTGGAGAGAAGATCACAGAGCTTTTCTACAATTACTTGATAGTAGTCCTGGCACATCTTTGTCAACTTTTGACGGTTTGTAACTATCATTGATTTCAAAACTATTTGGAAAGTATTTTTTTTGTCGATTCAAATGAGATCACCAACATAAACAAATTATTTACGTCAACTAACGTTCTAAATATTACTTCAGACTCAGAAATGGAATCTTATAATCCAGTAATGAGATTGGCTCGTGCACTTTTACAACAAAGTTCAAAACTTGGTTCATCTTCTGGTAGTCCTTCTGTGTCAAGAAAGAAAGGTGTCGGTGATGAAGATCAATGGTTACCAACTTGCCAGTATCTACTTGAAATCACAGATGGATGTGTGATGCTTTATGCTCAGTCAATACATCAGCAAATGGATAAGGTAATTAGGATAATAGTTGGTTTTACCCTAACTCATTGGTGACTCTGGGTGATGTTATGATTTTTTCTATGTTCGGAACGAAAAAATTAATAAATTTTCTTACCGTGATACATCGAAACTTTCTAGTCTAATGAGATTTGCCAACCAATCAATTTTTCTTTTTCTTTCTGTGTTTATTTTCCTTTATGTGACATATTTATACACTTTTTGCTCCAATGAAACTAAGCACAACCAGCTACTGCTATATAAGGAGCTACTATGTTTTATGGACCTGAATTGTTCATTACAAATAATTTATTACACTTTACACTCTGAGTGAAGTAGTAGGCATGGTATTCGAACCCAAGAAATTACTCAGTAATGTCTTCATACGAGTCTGACGCTTTAACTTCTAGGCCACAGTCCACGCTGAATGGTACAGATGAATTTTGATTCATAAAACATACTTTCATGATGCTTTTTTCTTTAGATTGTTTCAACAAGAACAAAATACGCTGATTTTAACAAAAGTTTAAAAGAAACTGATGTTAAACTGAAGAAATGTAACGACCCGCAGGTACAATATTCATAACTTGAATCTTATATTTATTGAATGAGAAATGCAGTTTAGACGATGGAGGTAAAAACTAATGTAATGGAATGTAGAAGATTTTAGCTTGTTTTCTTCTTTGCTGGTTAAATCCTGCTAGGATCATTTTCAATATTCTCTATGTTAAACTCTTGTAGATCTAGAGTAGGGCAAACTACTCCTGAAGGGTTCAAATCATTTTGTTTTTCAATCGGGCTACTGGTGTTGCCTTAAATTTTTGCATTTAATCAATTCTTTATTCACTACTTCTATTGTATATCCCTAATCCTTGTGAGTTCACACTTTTATGTTAATTGTTATGGTTCGGTAATCGAAAGTTAACCACGCCCTCTAATTAAATCTTCTAATTGGTACGGTACTCAAAAATACACAAGCACACATTTTATACCTTCATTACCTTATGGAGGGATTATCAATGTTATACTTGCATTGGTCGCCCAGTCTAAGTTTGAAAACTTTTTTGCCACTGATCTGGACTACTTTACAATCTTGGATTTGAATAAAAATAATTTATCGATGATGAATATTTGATTTGTGTTAGGTTTGTGCCAGTTATATAACTTATTTTAATGTGACAAAGTCAAGTCAAGTTCAGTCATGTTTAATCTTTCCTTATCTTTGTTAATTTTCTAGTTTGAAGAAATCAAGAAAAGTTTGGAGCAATCTAAGGTTCTACTTCAAAAACATGTCACTGAAATTCAGAGAAGTATGGATTGGTTGAAAGCCACAACTTATGCACCAGTAAGTAGATTTTTGTTGTCGAGAATATCCTTGCATTTATGCTCTGAGTAAATGGTTTATTATTAATAACAATATCAATTTGGAAATATGGTTCTTTTCTCCCACTTTTTATATTTGACCTGCAATTTGGAAAACTCAAATAAAAAGTCATGGTATGCCATAATATGGATGAGCAGTCTTTTTCCTTCCTCTCTCTGGGGATAAAACTGATATCCTACCATATCTAATTTGATTTGACATCTCAAAATCGGAATATTTTCTTAAAATGGCTAACGAATCTTTTCTGTTTCAGGAATCTCAGCATAATCTATGGTGGTTACATCAAGTATGTTTGAAAACTGTGGAAAAAATGACAACTAAAGGAGCACTTTTCTCATTTATACCTGAATTCTATATCACAGGAGCTACAAGGTATGATTTGTCTTGTTTGATACTCTTGCTAAAATCAAATCTTAAAAAAAGTGCTCTGTACTTCTGCGATAGAGTAATATTTCCTGTACCTTGGTTGGTCTTTTTTTAAATTATCTGCTAGCTAAACCGTTATTATCTATTCAATGGTGTTAACTGTCAATTAGATTTTTGAATATGGAATATTAAATATATACACTATACAGGGTGACCCAAAAAACAGAACCCAAAAACTTTTTATTATCAATACATTTATAAAAATGAAGAAAATTTATTTTACAACTGAACCCCAACAAGTTTTCCTCCAACGATTCAGATATCTAGGACGCTTAGCACAAAGGTTACGTTTGTGATTATTTTTGGGTCACCCTATATGGTAAATCAGGGAGGTGCAAAATATGTCCCACTACAAATGGGCCACTGTCCAGCCCGCGAAACCTATTTGAGTGCCCATGAGGGACTTTATATGTGTATGGACATTACAAAAATCTAGAAAATCATGCATAAAAATTATCTCTCTTTTGGCATAACGTTCTGCTGTAATCAGTTCATAAAAATGCATAAATCAGCTTGTAGATGATTTGCTAAAATCTGAGTTGTTTGATGGTTCGACCCTCAGTATTACAATAATTTTACGTTTTGGTCCATTGCCAGAAACTGTTGTACACCCCTGTTCTAAATTGTGTCAACACAATATAAATAAAAGTCGATGTTTATTCAATAAGTTTGAATTTGAAAACACGGCAAAGTCAAGATAAACAACGATTTGATTGGATATTTATTCAGCTTTCAGAAAATTAAAAGAAGGCATTTTTTGGTTATTCAGTTCTACTCGGACTCCAATTACTCGAATTGATATTTTTTCAAGTTAAACCTACTCAAAATTATTCCTAAAATAAGGATTATATCCCCTTTTTCATTCATTTTTGCAACTTGTATTTTGTAACTTCACATTCCCTCTCTTCTGCAGATTATTCAAGTGCTTGAGAGAATATTTTCATCCAACACAATCAATCGATTTATTGCCGAATCACAAACAAGTTCTAGTTAAATTTGCTTTATTTTTGAGCCATCATCACTGTGATACAAGGATAATACACACTGGTATGTTGCTAATGTAATTACGGGAGTAAAACATTTGTAGTGGTTATGCTTGGAATATATGTAAGATAGGTTTTGCTTATAATGTCAGCCAGTACCCTTTTTAACAAAGAAATTTGCATGCCATAAGTTATTTGTTATTTGGAATTCACTACATCAAAGCTGATTTTCTGATCTTTGACTCCTTCAAATGTCACATCAATCGCAATTTGTTGGCTCGTAATGCATCCACCTCAAATCTATATCTATAGAGGCTCTTAGCATTTCAGTGGCCGTAGTTTTAAGCAAATTCTGTTAAAATATGCTTGTTAATGTTTTGTAAGTATGAAATCGTCAACAATATCACATTCACATTTGATTCAAACCAATCTTGAATCATGAAGCTTCATTAAAAATTTTAAATGAAATGGACATTTTTGTGTAGAAATATATTATCAGGAGCAAAATTGTTGCTATCTTTTTAACGAAAACTTTTGTAAATGATAAATTCATTAATCTATTAAAATTGACCGATTTTTTTCACCTTTATTCGAATCCTTTTCCATCTCTGTTTGCTTGTTATTTATGGAGGTCATGCTTGAACCATCACTAGGGTAATGTTGAAAAGAACTTCTATTACTTTCAGCCGTCACAATGAGGAAATAATAACTGACTTTGTAACTTTAAAAGAAAACTATTGTTGGACCTATTTTATTCAATCTGCATTTTATTGCTGATCAATGAAATTTCAGATTTTGTTTTACACCTACAAAGTTTCGGGTTAAGATTTGCAATAACAAGTTGATCTGATTTCTGTCTTTTAGATATCAAGACTTTGTTAGCTAACACGCTTGCATCTTTCGTAACTCATCCTTTACAAGTGAAAGCCATAGAAATGATGCCTGTAAATGAGTAAGTTTGTTTATTGTATTTTTTCATGTGTGTTGATAAATTTATATTAAGTTACTATTCATGAATTTAAAAAGTAATAAAAATGTGATTTGATGGGACTGTAAAATGAAACTCTTCTTCCTTCGAGACAAAACAACAGAATTATAAACTGCTTATAATGCATTTAAAGTATATCGTATTAGCTGTTTACGACTTGTGTGTCAATCACAGTGTACCAGGTATGCCACCAGGTATATTCATGTTGAGATCATGTAGAATATAACCGGTGTAAACAAGACATTGTAATTTGGTGTATATCGTTTTTTTACACCTTCTAGGATATGATTAACATATCTATCCCGTTGGGAGTCGGGGAAGAGAAAAAAAAGTGATAGGACAGTTTAATCATATGGCGAACCATGGCTTCCCGTCCACTTACCAGTCCATGTTGGGTACGTTAGGCAGTGATTTGCTTTCAGATGCATGGACTGATAGTGAAGGAAGTGATCCACCTTACGGCGACGAGGAGTCCAGCAATCCTCTTGCTTATAACTAACACCACACCACATGGGATTCAAACCTGCGAACCCACGCAGGTAATCTGAGGTGTGGTGGCGAGCGTATTCCTTACGCTTAGCACTTGACGCCACTCCCGCCGAGAAGCATATATCCAAAGCACTATAATTAAGTCGAGCCTAGTTATTTGAACCAAATATGCGTTGTAGGATGTCATATAAGTAATACGGTAACTCTTTTTCATTGAAGTCTGCATTCCACTTCTATACTATGCATAAACTCAATAAATATTCGTGAATGGTTGAATTTTGTTTGAGGTGAAAGGCTGTCCTAATCTTGTAAAATGACCAAATAAAACGGGTTTATCAAAACTGGAGATTTAACTCCATTATTTTTAGGAAGAAAAGTCTTCTACGAAGTATGTTAACAGCATATGATGAAGATAAACCATGGATTAGCATGGGTCACAGGATATTAGCTGCAATGTGGAGAGTAAGCATTCATTTTTTAACAACCTCTTTATACACTGGGTATATTTCACATGTCCCATGTCCTGCCATTATTGCTACTTAAATCTTAGGTATTTTCACATGGAATATTGTACCCTAACCTTATAATAACATTACCTGAACAGCATGGAAGTTATTGTATTTCACAAAATCATTTCAAATATATCTGCTCTCTAGAAATTAATAAAGACTGTAAATTACGGACATAGTGGTGTAATTGTTAGAGCATTCTACCTCTGTGATTTAACCCCATGCCCACCATCTCATTCAGATTGTGAAAGATTTGGCGAAAAATTATGAATTGTAAAATCTGTTTTTCACAAAAAGGACCCCCTTACCTTTACATGCTTATATAGAGCCTTGTTTGGAGTGAATGTATGGAAACTCCTGATAGAAAAAAAAAAGCACATTGCTTGGTATCTCATGCTGGATAAAGTTTGGCATTTAGAAAATTTTAACATATTGCTTCCGTTAAATACAATTTCTATAGTTCGTTATTTTCCAAATTTATTGATCCTTGTTGGCATCATAGGCTGTTGTTGTTGGCCCCATATTTATATATTTATATATTTTTATGCCTTGTTTGTTTTATTTTTCCAGGGAATGGGTTTTGCATTGAGGTATGATCATCCACCATATTTAGCAAAAGTCAAAAGGTTGCTCAACAGAGATAAAGGTAGAAGTTTATTATCTGGATGCTTTTACAACTGGAGTAACTTTTGATGTATTTATAATTTATAGTGAAAGTCAAATATTTTTATGAATATTATGATTTTCATAGCTGTTTTTTTGCTTGTATTGACTTAAACATCGTGTCAATTGCTATTTGCTTACATGTAATGCACTATAATATAATCTAGATCAGGGTTTCCCAAACATTTTGGGTCGAGGACTTCTATTTATGAATCTTAGTTTTGACGGACTCCCATGCTATGCAGTCTCAATTTCTGTGTCTAATCAACGAGTAAGGACAATGTTTCATTTCCAACACAACAACAACACAAACTCTATTGATATTGTTGCGAACCCCCTGGGCAGACATTATAGACGGACCCCAGTTTCGGAAACCTTGTTCTAGATAACAGTTGAAAAGTCTTATCTAATATTTTGATATATTTTTCAGATCCATATGCTTCTGCATCATTGCTGAATGAACTACGTGATGTAATGTTGGATGATAAAAAATTGTCATCCGATTTTGTGCACAGCATTATTAATCATCTCAACTGGTGTTTTTCTGAATTTATCGGACAAATGCAAGAAGTAAGATTGTTATTGTCATGGTGTTGTTTTTCTTCTTTTTTACTATTTCATCTAAATGAAGTAATCACTTATATAAGTCTTGTTTGGAAAGACTGGAAGCTCATTCAAAATAGTTTTAACATAGTTTTTATTTCGTTCAAAAACCTCTTACCGTATATCATGCAATTCTAACTCCAGTATTTTGTATTGATGAAATGAGTGCATTTTATATAATCCCTGATTTTGATATTGGTTTTCTCATTGGGTTATATTACAAAACTAAGAATTGTGTTGGTGGTTGGCCCATTAGGATTGCCCTGTGCAGGTTTCAATCCTGTGGGCGCTAATTATGTGCTGGAATTACTGGCTTTCTTTGTTGCTACAGGGGGGTTCACGTAATTGCAGGCTCTTGATACAAATAACTGTTTAACTATTTGCATAGTCTGATAACCGGGCGACAGACCATATGATTAGGAAATTTATATTGAATTTATCAAGTTTTTCTAAACTAATTTACAATGTTGTTATATTTAATGTCTTGCAACAGGTTCATGTCCAAGGATCAAAAGCATCCCCAGCTTCTGGTGGATTATTGTCTGCTCTCGATGCTCAGTCTTTACGGCAAGTACGAATCGTTGACATGTTGTTTGAGATATCCGTTTCATTGCTTCGTGTTCTGGAACTAACAGTTACACTCGCACCAGAAGTCTACTTAGACTGGGAGGAATGGGATAAAGCAGAAGTTCTATTGAATAGCTTGATTCGGGTATGTTCTGTTATTTCTATCTATATTCCTTATGTTCATGACTGCTGTTTTTGTATATTTCAAAGATTGTCCATTCGTTTCATATTGAATGGGTAGCATATCAAACCTTGGCTATATTTACAGTGCTGTAACTTTCAGAGACATGCTCTAATATGGGGCTTCTCAAACTGGGCCCCCATCCTCTCTGGGGGCAAGGAGCAGTACAATGGGGTTCTTGAACAAAGGGCTTCACTATGTACCATTCTCAATGACTATTTTAATTTAAAGTAAATTAAACTCTGATTTGTTTAATTCTTTTTCTTGTTGCATAATGTGGTGGATAAAATAGCAGATGGAACCCACAGGAAGCAAAACTAAGTTTTTGGTTTAGAAGCTTTTTTTGGGCATAACTATTGACGGATCGGATCATTCTAGTTTGAGATAACCAACGATCAATATAAAATAATAAAACAAGCCAATTTGTGGGTTAGCATTTTTTTGTGGCTATCTTAGCAATGAATTATCACATATTCATTTTTAAATGATTTGGTTGTTATTAAAGGCTGTTGCTCAGGATGGATTTTAGATGAAAAAAGTTGCCAAATTTACTTTTCCATTTTTCCAAATTATTCATACTTTTGTGCTACGTTACAGGTTGTCAATCAAATATTGAACAGAGTCACTAAGAAGCAAAATATATTTGATCGAGTTGTAGCAAGCAAGCATCCAGGTAGTCTAAAATATTTGTCATATTCATAATTGGTTTTTCTAAAAGTAAAACTAACCAGAATACTAGGCTATGACATTCCTTTTCTGGACTCTTTGAAGTTTTATGTGCGAGAAAACCATACTCTCGTATATCTTGTAAAGTTAGGAAGAAGTTGAATCAACATTACAAAATTTCTTTACAACTTTGACAATGGAACAAATATTCATCAAAAGAAACCTTCAGTTTGAGTTGACTGTAAACTCTCGGTGTCCCATGCTGATATCAGTAAAAACGCCCCTCTTTTTTCACCATTGTGGCCAAATCTTACTAAACAATAAACTTGCAGAACAAAGAATATATATATATATATATCTGCCCAGAATTCTGTTCATAATTAATGTTTCACAGTATGACTCACCGAACATAATATTTGTTTTCTACAGGTTTAAGAAGCGTAGTTCACTATCCTTTACTAATTGCACTTACCGGCGTTCTCGTCAGTATTCTGAAAGAAAGAGAAGATCCAGAATGGTGAGTCTGATTATATATTATAAACTGATAAATATTGGTCATGCACAAAATTAACTCACAAGTCTAGCAGCTATAATTGAGGTAGTGAATAGTCGATTTCAGGTATATTTGTATCATAGTAATTAAAGCATAACTGTTATGAAGCCGCCGGTCAATCAATGTTATATTAAAAGCCAGTGTTCATAAAGTTTGTAATGTAAGTTTTATCTCGAGTCTATTTATCTTCGAATGTCAGATGAATAAGTAGAGTCTTATTTTCAATATGACACATTGCTCGACCTTGGCATTTGTTTATGAAATTGCTGCTCAGTGGATTAGCTGTACATGTAATAGTTATACAATGCTATCATTCAATTTTAAAATTCTCATATATAATATACTTTTTACAAGTAACATTACTGTTTTCCTTACTACATCTTGTGTATTTCTATATATGAACTGTGGCAAAGGCGTTGGTCTGAATACTTATTTCCTCTCGTTCATCATTTTGTTGTACCATAGTATTTAAAGTGGTGATTCTTTAAACCTGTTTGAATATTTTAATATTATATAGTTTTTCTGTGTTTAAATGCTTCTTCCATATGGTAAATCTATAAGTATCAAGCTTACTATAGTTAAAGTTAAATAAGACCAAGCGTATACAAAACAATAGTATAATTGATAGTGTGATATATTTCTGTCATAGTATTGTTCTCACAAGTTGAAAACCTAGTTCATTAAATCTTCGTGATTGTTGTCATCGTGCTATCAATGTTTTATTTCTGTGAAACATGCCTTTCATGGTTTATTGCGTAGTATTCGCAATTGGAAAGTTCCGTCATATCCGCCATTACAATATAGCTTTCACAGGATATGAAGGATGTGAAACCGGAAACGCTTCCTTTCTTTAATATGCAGTAAAAGTACAATATAAGGGGCTACTTATTAAGTTTAAGTTCGCGGCCTGATCTTCGGTTATGTCTCTGTTGATCTAATGCAGTTATATTGCTAGATTTAAGTCGAGTTTTCAGGAAAACTCAAAATGATAGCTACAAAGAAGTTTTTATGTAAGGAATTATATGGTATGTATAGATATAGTGTAATCATTTATTTTACTGGCAAACTATTGCCAGCCATTGATATATTATACAAAGAAGTTTTTATGTAAGGAATTATATGGTATGTATAGATATAGTGTAATCATTTATTTTACTGGCAAACTATTGCCAGCCATTGATATATTATAATAAATGCGCACTTCACTAATTTTCTGTAGTAATTATTAGAACAGGTATTTAAATCTTTTAAACATATAGTGTGGTGTGGTTCATTTTGAGCCCTGCTTGTATGCTCATTGAATGTACCACATATCTAAGCAGATTATCCATGCCTTTGTTTACATACTTTATTATGGCATTCTAATAATGTGTGACTTGTATTATAGTTTTGCGTATAAAACAGCAGGTTCAGAAGAGGCATTGGTATGAGAACTGATATTGTTCATTGGATACCGGTAATGTATTTTATTGTACAACTACCATTACTTTGTAATACATGTAGAATTGAGTGAGTTGTAAAATAATACAAATATAAGTTAAACGGAATAATTTATGTAGATTACCTAGATCAAGCGTATTCAGACACAGGTTTCAACTATTTCAACTGACAAAACGAAAGCGATAACATGCATATCATAATAATAATGCATGTAAAATCAATGTAGAAGTCAATAGAAAAGAGGCCAGCAAATTGTTACAAAAATACATTTATTATTAATGTACAGCAAGATTTTTAAATCACATGGAATATGTTTTCGTTATTGCCACTATAGATTCCTTATAAAGAAAGAATAGGTAGTTAGTATCGAATCTCAAGTAATCTCATCTGATAAGTTCTTTATATTAATGTAATTTATCATTATTTTCATATTCTAGGTTGGCTATTTGAGTTTATTACTATCATTCATAATTAGTTGAGTTATAAAATGGCTGCAACCAGTCTATTTGTTATGGAGAACAAGGTGTTTTCTGCTTATCTTTTTTATTGTGCTTTGATTCTCCTTAAACTGTTGATTATGTCACCAATCACCATCACATATCGAATGTTGACCAATAGTTTCATGAATATTGAAGACACCAGAGCACCAGTGCTTGGCACACGAGACCCAGACAAACAGAAAAGAGCATTGGTGCCTAATGAATCAGTGAACCGAGTGAGTTACCGTAATTTGTAATCTACGAATGTTGAAAGATAATCATGTTTTTATTGCCAGACTTATTTAGTCAAGAATGTCAAAATTTTATTTGTCCCTAATTTTAGTAATTACCGGTATGTGAATATTCGATTTTAAGTAGATTTTGTGTTATGTTCACTGATACAGTTTGTTACTGTCCTAAATTTGATGATAATATTATATCACCTTCCATAGTCAACAATTGTCCTTGTTAAAAGATTATGAGGTCATAGCCATAGGATCCAATGTTTGTTATGTCAGCGAACAACCAAATAAATGACAGCAGCCCGAAATGAATTCATTTGTTCAATTCAGTATTTTTTTAGTGTTTGACCATGTGTCCATTATGAAAAAGTACTAATTGTGTTCCATAATTTTACTTTGGATTTTCCAATGAGTTTGGATATAATTATATTTATTGTCTTATGATATGACATCCTGAAATGATTCCTGACCAATTATCTATGAATTTATGTAATTCTTATCACTGCCTTTAACTAATGATACAACTTAACAACTTGTGATGGTGGTATTGTTCCAGGTGAGGAGAGCACATCAAAATGACATTGAATGTATTGTTCCATTCACAATTCTGGGAATGTTGTATGTAGCTATCAAACCAGATTTTGCTACTGCTGAATTCGTTTTCAAGGTAAATGTTAATAAAGAATGGTGATTCGCTCTTTTATTTGTAAACATCTCCCTCTCTTACCTGGCTTTAATTGTTCGTCAATTATCTTGCTTCGAACAAGGCTCTGCACAAGCAGGGGGGGGTCTTTAACTAGTTACCTGTTTACAACTATTCTGAAATGGAATGGTAAGACACCAAGGGCATACCATTTGCCTTATGATCAGGCCCCAATATAATTATATTTCAAGTATAGATCTCTCAAGTATATTTTCAGGTTTTTGCTGGCGCTCGTATCGCTCATACGCCAATATATATATTGGGTGTACCACAACCTGCAAGATTTGTGGCGTTTCTGGTGGGATTCGCAGTCAACATGTACATGGCTATGCAAGTAATCATGGCAAGCAAACCTGAACTGTTTCACTGAAAAAATAGATATTAATTTTATTTTCAAATTCTATTATGAATAATTAAAAAATAGATTGCAAATTGAAAATTGTTTGACTAGCCTATATCTCTAATTGTATTGGCTGAAGCAAATCTATTCTATTGTAGGAAGTTGGCCCTTTGTACTGGGTAAACGTTTATAAAAAATTAACTTGCGATTTGATACCGGCAGCTTATTTCAATTTGTTTTTTTATCGCTTGTTAGATTGGATTTTAATTGCTGCCTTATTACAATGTTATTTGTTTGCATTGACTTTGTGGGTTTCTCTCAATTTGCTTCAATAAAATATTTGGAAATCATGTCTAATTCATTGCAATTTCTGTGGTATATCTGTCAGTGCGTATCCAATCTATCACTTCTATGTATTAAATATTAGTATAAATCTAAACGTTAGTATAGTGTATTTATTTTTATCTGTTTACTTTATAGTTCTTTGCAGAGAAAACAGAGTTGTAATATTAAGTATACTTTTGTTATCGAATGTAGGACGCAAACACCATGTTTATTTGTACAAGATGATAATTTTATCCACGTATTTTAAGCCGCTATGAGTCAGGGTTACGCGAGACTGACTCCCTATCCCTCTATGCTTTCGCGCTAGTGTATCCGCATACCTTTAATTCGACGATGCTGTAGCGGGAATCAACATGACCAACCCTATCTGAAGCAGACTGACATTGAGCTGGAGCGTATCCTGTTTCTAGTCTTCTGTGATTTTATTAGTGTTAGCCAGTTTTGTGTTTTCGCGAAGCTCTCGATACAGTCGCATCGCAGAACAAAAGGCGCGAGATTAAGTTGTTGATTTTTAATGAGTTTTACAACGAGATTTTTTTATATGATGAAATGCTAATACGCTGTGTCATGATCACCAAAAGTGCCAATAGGTTTATAGGAGCGCAATTCGGCCGAAATACAGACAACTGGGTGACTGTTGCATGAGCGTTACGCGTTCTTTATAATAATTGGCTCTCGTAACATGGTTTGTTTTGAAATTGAATATCAGGTTAGCCAATATACTTCAATCAATCAAATCATTTATTTTGGTTTATCATTAGTTTGTTATTCATTCACGCCAGTATCGCTGTTTACCGGCTGGGGTTTGACTGATATATCGAGTACGTAATACACGCGATGTGTTTTTCACCCGCAAGTTACGTCAATGCTCCTAAAAGGGAGTGCCTCATATTTTCACGGTTCGTGATTTGGATTTTTCCTAGGAAATTCTCTGATTATCGGTTCGTTCTGATCCTGTTGGCAAGAATAACAAGTGCAAGGTAGATATTAGGTTTCAAGCCATTTTTTAGATTAGGTTTTATATTATTTTCATTTTCGTTTGGCAGGGAAATATATTATTGTATGGGGGTAAAATATGTCGGTATTTAGTCTAGAAAATGCAGCCTTTGTGTCTTTACTAAAATATGGAAGTGTGGTGCTTGTCAAGTTGGTCGCCATGTCCCCAATAACAATCATGTATCGGAAAATTCACAAGTCAGTTGCATCAGAAGAAGATGCAAAAATGGCTCAACCAAATGATTATGAAAGGCAGAAAAAACTTATGGCAAAGAATACCGAAGTTGAAAGGGTAAGTGAATATACCAGATATTTATAGCTGTTGAAACTTATGCAAAGTTTTCACTTTTTAAGTATCTGTAATTCTTAGATATTAACTAAATCATCACAAAAGAAATTGCGTTATTATACAAATATTCCCATTTGGTAATTGTTCTCAACGGTTTTCGTTCTTCCAGTTTTACCAATTCGTTTCTCCTTGGGTTCAATTATAATTTTGCTGAATGTCTTGCCATAATTTTGTCTCGCTAGGTGAGCAGTGTCTTTCGTGTGACTTTAAATTATTTTTTGGTCAGTATTTCGGCTAGTACACTTTATTTATTGTGTTAAATTCTTTCTCTAGGCACGATCAGCTCATCTCAATGACTTGGAAAATATTGTTCCATTTTTTCTCACTGCGATGCTTTACATCACTATCAAACCGGATGCGTCAACGGCTGACTTGCTTTTCAAGGTAATTTTTGTAAATCCTGAACTTGAGCAGTTTTTATATTACCTGAAGTTTCCTGTTTTATATCTGCCTACTGTTAAAGTGAATTGTTCCTAGTCATGAAATACATAGTCGGTTGTTGCTTTACTTGCTCATAAACGTTACGTTAGGTTCTTGAAAAAATTGGGTTTTGTTAGAAATTGACCTTTGAGATTTCTTTTAAAAATGTTTTTATCGTGCTGTGTATAATGATTATCTTTCTAAAATCACATAAATGAATGAAACGAAAGTGGTGTTTTTTTTAAATTTAATCGATAATAGTCATTTTATCCCTTATTTTACAGATATTTGCCGGATCCCGAATCCTTCACACAATCGTGTATCTTGGGAAGGTCCCTCAACCATCACGCGCGTTGTGTTTCTTGGGTGGAATCTCCGTCAATTGTTATATGTTGTTTCAGATTATGAATGCTGTATTTTTGTAGAAGTTTGACCATATTTAGTGGAAATTCGGCCCGGTGTTTTTTATATTGCATTTGGATAATTATAAAAATAATAATATACTTGAAGGATTGCGCTTGATTGCAGTATATATCCTTCCTATGCAGTTGCTCCAAAAATCAAAGCGGTAGTCAATATGTCAGCCTTGGAGTGTTCATGGCACATGGTGATTAGGACCTATTCCTAACTGTCATAGGGAGTGGTTTCAGAGAATCTAAATTTTATGTCATTCTGCTAAAATATACTTTTACGTGAAACTGCTGCTTGAAAGTTATTGAGAAAAAGAGAAATTTTGATATCAGCCGTTGTTACGTATTTTACTGATTTCGTTCCAACTGCCTTGTTTAATAAATTTGATTTTTGCTTACAATTTTTTTTAATCAATATAAAAGTTTGCAACCATGTCTGATTCATTTCAATTAATGGACTATATTTATGAGTAACTTATTTTCAACTTCCGTGTACGCAAAATGCATTGGGAACGGGAATTATAAAACGACACTGATGTGGCTTTATTTAACTTGTTTACCGAAGTTCTTTGCTGTCGTTGAGCAAACGTTTATTTTAAATCCAATATTTGGTTTGTCATGGTATGTAGGACACAAGAATGTAGTCTATGCTGACTTGTACTTTTTGAATATGCGTTCCTAATGATAATGTATAGCCTCGCACCAACGGTTTTTTCAATCCGCTCGTAAGGTAGACGGGATTACGGAGTTGAAAATTGTGTATTGGGTACGGAAGCCCTCATTCAATCGCTTATGTGTGATAAAATACAATACCAGTATGTTCATTCTATAGGTGTTAATGTTAATTAGTAACTTATTTATGTGCAGTTAGTTATTCACAAGTTGTGAATAATCTCAGGTCGTGCTGATAAATTGAATTAGGGCCTAGTCATTCTACACGTGCATTACCTAAATTCCACTAGAGTGAAACATTGTGTAAGCTTTAATTTTGTAGTTTTGCTGATGCGCCATGACCGTGGTTGTTCGCAATAATCTCGTTGTCGAGAATTCCGAGTTAAATAATAGGGTGACGTTTAAGGCTTAAAAGAACCTAAATAGTTTGGTCAGATACTTGAAATTTTATTCTTGAACATTTCCATCAGACAAGATACTATTTTTATTGAATTGGTGCTCAAAATGTCTGTGTATAGTCTTGAAAACGAGGCATTTGTGTCTTTACTTAAATATGGAAGTATTGTGCTTCTCAAGTTGGTAGCTATGTCTCCAATAACGTCGGTTTATCGGGGCATTTACAAGTCGGTTGCATCAGAAGAAGACGCGAAATTGGCTGAACCAAATGATAAGGAAAAGCAGAAAAAGCTTATGGCTAAAAATCCCGGAGTCGAAAGGGTAAGTAGACAAGCTAGACATTTTATGCACATGCCTGCAGAAGTTTGGTTTTATAATGTGAGGCCGGTTAATAAGTTTTGTCGTTTATTATTTTAGAACTAAATCAGCGAATATAAAAATTGGAGAGTATGTACAAAGTATTAACTATTCCGGTTAACTAAGTCTGTTGTGTCAATTTATAGTTAAATTAACAGTTAGTGTTACGCGTCAAATTCGCCTATATCTGATTCCAACTAATTCTACATGCCAGTCAACAATGTTAATTCATTTAATTGGGCTTCTCATTATTACAATAGCTATATCAGCTTATACCACACATTATAAAATTTTCTTCTTAATTTAGGCACGATTAGCTCACCTCAACGATTTAGAAAATATTGTTCCTTTTTTTCTCATCGCGATGCTTTACGTCACTATTGCACCTAATGCGAAAACAGCTGACTTCATTTTCAAGGTAATTTTTGTACACCTGAACATTTTTTCCTTTAACTCTACCTCATTTAAGTCATTTGTTCTTAATCATTAAGTACTTAGATGGTTGCTGCTTCCGAGTGTGCATTCAAGGTTGCGTTATCACAATATTCGCTATTTAACCTTGAGTGACAAAATTCAATACTCTTTTCTGAAATACGCACCTTTGATTGAAACTTGGCAAAAATACCTTGAAATGTTTTTGATATTTTAAGGCACAGTCCTAAATCTCGACATTTTTGTTGCCAAGTTGTTTGAACAAGATACTATACTGACTGTTTGATATACCCGTTTTCTTATTGAATATTTTGGTTGGTAAGTTTCGTATTAATTTTGTTGGGCTTGGCAATAATCAAGGCGCTTTATTTTACAGATATTTGCCGGATCCCGAATTCTCCACACCATCGTGTATCTCGGAAAAGTCCGTCAACCAGCACGCGGTCTGGCTTTCATGGCTGGATTCTGCGTCAATTGTTACATGCTGTTTCAGATTATGACCGTCGTATTATTGTAGATGTTTGAATATATCATCGACAAGTTTTATGTAATTTGATGTTTCTACTTCAGATAGAACATGGTTTTGAATAATAAAATGTTTTATAATTTAAGCTCTTGAAAAGGAATAAAACATTATTTAAATAAATAAATAATTATTTTTGCGTGTGACTCAGTCCCGTCCTCTTGTGTTGACCTTTAACATTGGCCAATTCTCAGCAGCGAACAATTTCTCAACTCCTATCCTTATCCGGCGGGTGGTCGTCGTCTAGTCCGGTTTTGATCTCAGCTTGCGTCGGTAATTAATATCCGTTATACTGCCGCCTAGTGTATTCGTGTCAAATTAGAAGTTTCCGCCATATCCGTATCTAACGCCCTAAGGGTATAATCCGTCGGTCACACGTATCTAGTTTTAAAAGTTGAACCTTATCGAGGAATTTAAGTTCCACAGTACGATATAGGTTCAAAATTGGAATTTTTGTAGTAGAGACTGATTTATCTATGATTCGGAGCATTACTGAAAACAACTCAGAGATCCACAAATTCTGCTTAATTACTATCGTGGTAAAACTCTGAGAAGAATGATAAATAATACAGTATTCAGCCTAACAAATGTGACGTTCCTGTCGCTGTTGAAATATGGAAGCGTATTGCTTCTGAAGATGGTTCTTATGTCGTTAGTAACCGTAATATATAGAATAATCTACCGATCTGTAGCTTCCGAGGAAGATGCTTTGTTTCGAGTAGGAGGTGATAAAGAAAAACGGAAAAGTCTTTTGATGAAAAACTGGAATGTGGAAAGGGTAAGAAGTCATTGATGTCTGTCTTTGGAAAATTTCCTCCTATGCTACAGTTGGCTTAACTCACGTAAAGAATGTTTTAATAATTTGCTTCTGCAACGTAGATAAAACCGGTATGTGGTATCGAATTTTTCAAGAATTCGCTTTAACTGAAGTTTTCGTAAATTTGACAGGTTCGAAATGCTCACATGAACGACATTGAAAATATTGTACCTTTCTTTATCATTGCAATACTGTATGTTACGATAAGACCTGATCCAGCAATGGCGGAATTCTTGTTCAAGGTAAATAAAAAGTTAAAAGTTGTGAGACGAACAAATATACACCAACCGGAACATGCATTTATAGGAATCATATAGACGCAGTACACGACTTATCTAAGTGATTACTGTCTATCATAATAATTGAATGAACAATTTCTTGTAAATAAATTTGCTATTTGGTCAGTATTAGATTTGTTAGATTTCAATAGATTGCAGACTAACACTCTGATAATAATTGCACAATTTCTCAACAGTGTAAAACTTGATCTATATGTTAAATATAATACATCACAAATTCTACCTAATATAATTTACATTTGCTAATAAACCTTTCTGTCGTCTGATTGTTTTCGTGTCATTATTAACAGTCACCAGCCATCAACGATGGTCACCGAAAATAACTGAATCTATATTACAGGTCTTTACTGCATCCCGAATTGCTCACACTACTGCATATCTTGGTAAAATCCGCCAACCTGTGAGAAGTCTTGCTTTTATCGCTGGTTTATTTGTTAATATTTATATGATTTGGCAAATCATGAAAAAAGTGTTTTAGGACGAGATTATTTTATATGCTTCAAATAAATTTTTATATGCATATATTGAGAATTACATTTGCACCTAGACTTTGTTATGTATGTTTCACATTGAGATTTCTGCAAATAAACATGGTATGTTTTTTGAAGAACCGATTTCATATCGAATCTATATCAGTGATGATTACTATTGTCTTAATTTAGTGGAATTAGCTGAGACCAGGGTTGGGGTTTGGAAGAAGAAAAGTTCTCTTCAATTGCTTAATTGCAGAATATACTTGTTTCGCGACATATTCTCGAGCTTCAAAATGGCCTCAGTTCGATTCGTGCTAATGTTTGTATCTATCTCTATAAACGCATTTTTGTTGCTTGGCGTTCTGTATCGTGTAAGAGACTAATGTATTAAATGATATGAATAACATTTTTAAACGAAGATAAAATTGATAAACAATATTACTGGCATTTACTGCTAGTCTTCAATTGTAGCGAAGTAAGGAGTCGTGATTTGGAGGTGATTCCGTAAAAAGTTTCTTGACTCTCATACAGATTTGCAGTACAATGATTACTCGCATGGATGGACAGCGTGTCGTTACTAGTGGTTGAAAAGCAAATAATCTCTTGTGTGTTTTAAACGGATTACCTGTGTTTGCATATTCGTTGGATTGTTTCATCAACGGCGTTCACCAAACTTTTGTACGATTATTAGTTAGTTTTGTTAGTCAGTATAAAATGTCTGTGTTCACTACGGAAAATGATTCTTTTGTCGCTCTTATCAAGTATGGAAGCTTGATATTGTTCAAAATGGTTATGATGTCAACTGTTACCTCGGTATACAGAGTATTACATCGTTCTTTAACTTCAGAAGAAGACGCGTATTTTGCAGTCGGTAACAATAAAGAAAAGCAAAAGAAATTACTGATTGAGCATCCGGACGTGAAAAGGGTAAAACGCTGGTATTTTTTTATCCGCTAGAGCGTAAAATATGGATAACAAATGCCGCTCGCCAGTTTACGTTATTATTTTATAGATGTATAGGGCCCATATGAACTTGAGTCGAATATGGCTCAATTGAGTATGTAACATCTTTTTTAAAGGCATTCACATTGTGACCAACCTAATATCTTACTAGTCGATTTAAAACTAGGTTCAATGCAAAAATTTTGCTATAAGGAATTGTTTGAATTGAATGGTGTCCGAATTTATAAGCTGTGATGACGTCTTGCTTCCCCGACTTTTGTAGGCGCGCCTTGCTCATCAGAACGACCTGGAGAATATCGTACCCTTTTTCCTTATATCACTTCTATATATCTCAATCAAGCCGGAACCCAAATTGACGGAGTTTTTGTTCAAGGTATTGTAGTGTTGTTTGTCGGCTTGTTGCATAGAAGCGTCGTGCTTTTATGATTATAATGTCATCTTTAGGTTTTCGCCGGTTCCCGGATTCTGCATTCCTTCGTCTACATTGGGAAAGTTCGTCAACCTGCCAGATATTTGACCTTCTTATGTGGATTTCTTATCAATGTTTACATGCTTGTGCAGATTTTCAGATGGGCTTATGTTTTGTAGAAAACATTCTGTGACTTTTTGTCTAATCTGAAATTGCTGTGAAAAGATGTTCATGTTTGACAATATTGCTGAAGATATATTTCAATTGTAATCTTGTGAAATTTCATATATGATATGGACGATATTTAATACGTGTTTTTGTTCGTTGTTGTAAACTTTATGGGGATCAAAAATTCAACATATTCTGTTACTTGAATAACATAAACGTAGTAAAGTAATCTATATCGGTGTTTGACCAACATATCAGAACGAGTCATTATAAACATTAATAATTTTTCATAGCAGTTATGACCCTGCGGCGAGACATTGAAAATAAAGTATTTGCAATGAAGTGTGTAAATTGTATTTCGCGATATGCTACAGTTGATAGCACTTGGGAAAATTTTAGTCATTTTTGTTGCGGAGATGAACTGGGGCGAGTTCGCCGACATGAACTGAGGACGAACTCATTTATACTCGCGCCTTTTATAGGGGTCCACATTGTTGTTGGTCAACAGCGTATGACCAACTCATTGTACAGTCGATACTGAGTGGTCAATTCCATATCTCGATATTTTTGTCTAGTTTCAGCATCAGACATTTTAGAGTAAGTATAGGACAAAGCGTATCAAAATGCAAGTTATTAGCATAGAAAATGAAGCATTACGCGATTTGATGAAATATGGGAGCGTATTACTGCTGAAAATGATTTGTATGTCCATACTGACCTCCGCATATAGAGCCGTATATCAGTCTTTCCCCGTGGAAGAGGATGCCAAGGCAGTTGCTGGTGAAGATAAAGAGATGCAAAGGAAGTTATTGGTAAAGAACCCTAACGTAGAAAGGGTAGGTACTCGGGAAAAGCGTGATTTTAAATGAATTAACTTACAACGTAAATTAGTTATCATCATTATGTTTTTATGTACAGTCTTTTCAAAACGCTCTCTTACTAAACTCGATTTGAGCTTTGCGTTAGAAGTTGACTTAACACAAAAAAACAATTAGACTACATTTACATATTAAAATAAACATATTTATCCTCTTGAGAATGTTATCTGCACATATTGTAGTTTTCACATTTTTACTGCTTTTGCACAGATACGTCTCGCGCATTTGAACGACTTGGAAAATATCGTGCCGTTTTTTATCATTTCAATGCTGTATATTGCTTCTGAACCAAGTCCTCAAACAGCGAAGTTATTATTCCAGGTGTGTTAAACTGTTGTATCAAATTCAAGTCATGGCTGAAATTCATTTTTTAAAGTATCCGAGTTCTTTGTAGTAATCTGGGCGCTCCAGAAGTATGTGTACCAATATGGAGGTAACTAATTTTGTTCGCCTATTTTACATCGAGTTGTGTGAAGGGATGGAAGCAGTGATGATCTGTAGCCGGAACGCACCGGAACGGCGTTCCGGTTGTTAGACATATTATTGTATTTGCGTTCCGGTTGTTGAAATAAAATTGTGTCATAGAAAGTTTAGTTCTAGTACATCTTGTAAACTTACTTATTAACTTACGTTTTGTTACGCCATAATTTATTTTACATAACAGCAGACAAATATTTAGTGCACAGCAATATCGTGTAATGGATGTTTCGCCGACCTTTGACCCCGTGAAATTTCATCCTATACCTTTCTAACAAACACATTCGTATTGAATTGGTATAAATATTTTTGTAATTTTGAACAGACATATACCAGCTAATTTCTTCATATTTCATTGTAGTCCTTCTGCTCTATCTTAGGACAGACAAAAATTTGTGGCAGCGTCCTCGCCGTGTTGTAAATATATATTACATTTTCACAAATTAGCTGCGTTCCGGTTGTTACGATTTTCCCAGCTCATCACTAGATGGAAGCCTATGGGCAGGGGGTATATCCACTAACACAAACAGTCCCCGAACTCGTAATAGAACTCAAATAAGGAAGTTCGAAATCAAATTATGTCCTCACTCTAATCTGGTACACAAACTATGGGAGTATCGTAATCTGCCATTGAATCACATTCCTATATTTAAAAATTGAGTTAAGATGGTCTATTCAGGAAGGAATATCAACGCCTAATTGGAGTGAATTGTTATCGACGGTGTTGTGATTGCTAATATTTTAATTTGTATTTCTTTGCTATCAGCCCGTTGGTTATTTCAACAGAACAGAAGTTTGCTCGACTTGATAAATTTAGGCTACAGCTTGAAATATAAATAAGCTACAGCCAGATTGGCCCCAATGTATTTAAAACATGAAGCAAACTCAGCTAATCATTTATTAATTTTTTTTCTTCAATCTTTATCTTTTACAATTCAGATATTCGTGGGAAGTCGTTTTGCTCATACTGTAATCTACCTGAACGGAGTTCGCCAACCACTTCGTGGAATGGCCTTTACTGTTGGTTTTCTTGTAAATTTTTACATGGCTATTCAAGTGCTGTTAGTGTCAGCTTGGTTGTAGATTTTTAAACTCCATAATAAAAACTTGAAATCGTGTTTATGTGTGTTGGTCAAAAATGTTCCATATATCTGGGGATGGGGATAGTATAGCACGGTCAAGAAAGAATAGGCATTCTATCGCTACCATACGGTCACGGCACGGATGTGATCGCTCGTGTAACTGAAATATATGCGTTTGTTCTAAGTCTCTGACACACACATCTGCAATGGTGTGTGTCGAACCATCCTCTCTGTACTGTTGGTCAGTATCGGTTTGAAGAGAATCGTTTATGAAGTACCAACATTATGAAGTCGTGTTGATTAGTAGACGCATAGTAGAAAATGATTGGTATCCATATTGATTATTTTCCTCTGATATTTGCACTATTTCAGCACTTTTGAAATTTGAATATAACACAGCGAATAGTGTGAACGTTCAACTTTGTTCATTTCAAATGGGTTGTAAATTATCTATAAAACGTTACCCTACCATTGATTTTGAATTATTTGTATAGCTTGAATTAACAAAAATATAATTGAGTTTCTTCGTGTTATACCTTTCTATTTTGTGTCTTCGAAATAGACTGAAACGGGACGTGTAGTGCATTTGAGATGCTTTTAAATCTAAACATGTTGTTTTTTAAGAAAATATGTTAGTGATGACTTAGTCTATCCCCTGCTTCTTCGGCAACTTTACCTTGACCGTAATCGAGGTCATAACGATTGTAGTAGGTGTTTGTGTGATACATACGGTACACTCCTTTGGAATACGATGTATCAAATTTATTTCACAGTCGAGAATAAAGGAAATCGGGAAGATTGTGGCAAATCCGCCAACTTTAGCAAATCACATTCAGCGTCATGAAATATCGAAAAAAAAGTTTCGTTCGCCTGTTGACATCCGCCTAACTGGTGGTGTAGTCATGGAAAGGGTTCTTCATGAAAAGTTGACCCATGGGTTATATTATATAATTTACTCGTTACGGACCTTCTCATCAGACGCTATTTTTGAAATTTTGAAGGGAAGTAGCGGCGAATTTCATATTTGTAACAATAATTTTAGAAGTTGTTGAATTGGCCTGGTTTAGATCTGAAATAGAGATCACTAAACCTAAATTTTGCCGCCCAGTTGTGTTAATGACAAACAACTAACTTGTCCATACTAGTCAATCATATCGAAGAACATTTCACCCAAAGTAACCACTATAAACCAGTCAGTGATTGTTAGTGGCCTCGCTGGATTTACGTTTGATCCAGGTGTATGCCTGGGCCACCTACGACATACAGTAAATATATTGTCAGCAACCAAATAACCAAAAAACGTATTTGTTCGCTATTACGTCACGCTTCGCATTACGTTGTGTTAATCATGACACAAAGATGCACGCTTTTCTAGATCATGCTTTTATAGCCGGAAGCATCGTTTCTCGGATCATGTGCCGTTCTGTAATTGTTTGTTACTCGTGGCCCTGGCAATTATAACCGGTATAAATATGCCTGTTTTTAAAACTTTGCACAGTTGGAAGATATTCAATTTTTCTGAGTAGAACTGACGCAGAAATCTACGGAATCATCATGGATAGTGCAACGATACCAGCTTTATATTCGCTCAAAAACCCTGCGTTTGTTTCCTTGGTGAAGTTCGGAACGTTGATAGTCGCGAAAATGGTATTGATGTCCATTGTTACCACGATATACAGAGTGATATACAACTCATACGTATCTGAGGAAGATTATGCACTTGTGTATCCTGAAGACAAAGAAAAAGTCAAGAAAAAGGCTTTGGTTGCACAGAATGCAAATGTTGAAAGAGTAAGTTCGATTTTTAACTATTTGAACGTGTTGATATTTGTTTAAAAATAAATTTCCCATAAATGTATTCAATGAATGATATTTTATTTTTGATGAAGGTACGCAGAGCCCATCAGAATGATTTAGAAAACATTGTTCCATTTGTGTTGTTGGCAATGTTTTATATCGCTACGAATCCAGATCTCGCCACAGCGGCCCTTGTTTTTAAGGTATGTATTGTATTGATTATGGTAATAATCCATTCTTTGTTTTGTGGCGTCACCGGTTGGCTAAAATAGAATATCCGCACAATCAATTTGGCATAACAACTCGAAGAATCGATAATGAAATCTTACAGTAAATGTAATAATATGGCCTAGTTTTGCTCTAATAGTATTCGCGAAAACAGGGTTTATTATTCGTGCGCAAAGAATAGGTATGTCAATTTGTTTTTACTCCAATTGATATAAATGTCAAACGCAGATTCAATATATGAATATAATTCCATGAAACCACGGGGTTTTTTATTCGTGGGACAAGAATAGGCATGTGAATATGTTTTCACTCTAGATTACAGTCAAATGCCAATTCAATATATAAATATAATTTCATGGGTCTGCTTAGCCAATGATACTCGATACAAACGACTATTCTGCCAACGACTTTTTTTTATAGATATAAATAAGTTCACCCCCACCCCATATTGTGACATACGTCTCTTATTTTGCTTCGTATACATTAGAAATAACACTTTTCTCCGCTATGATATTAAAATTGTCCCCATCGGTAGCATAGACAGTGGTCATAGATAGACTATATATATATATTTGCTCATTTAGGCTTTTTATGTATCATTGTTTGTTCTATTTTACAGAGTTTTGCTGCCATTCGTTTTCTTCATACAATTTTTTATATTGGCAAAATTCGTCAGCCATCTAGAAGTCTTGCTTTTTTTGGAGGATTATTGATCAACATGTTCATGGCACAACAAATTCTCTTTTCTCTTTGTGATCTCGAAACATAAGGAATACTTGAACTCTTGTTTCAACAGAAATTTATTTTTCGTCGCTATTAAAGCGACAAGTCGAACTGTGCCTGCTAATTAGCACCGCTAAAGATGTCTGTCAATAACAGGTGAACCATAATATCCAAAAGATATACTGTTTCAGTGTATAGGTCGAACTCGCTGTCTTGCCCGCCCGCTTTCGATTTTATATATGTTTTTAGATCACAATGTTGTGCCGGCACATTACAATCGTTAAGTTGTTATATGCTCTTCTTTTTATCGTGTTTATCTTTGCCTGTTTTTATATAATAATACAATCATGTAAAAGAAATTGGTGACTTTTTGTGTACTCGTAGTCGCCCGGTCGGTCAACATGACCACAATAAGCAATTCTGGCCAAATTGCTACGCTTTTCGATGATTTTTCGACGAAAAACTCACTTGCGCTTTGCTATCGCGGTCGTAATCTGTACTTCCGTGGGCAAGCTGACGCACTAGTGGGCGCACACTGACGTGCGATTATCGCTGTCAATCGTTGTGGGATAATGCGACCATACTCTATACCTCGCTGTACTGCGTGGCTTTGGTTTCGGCCATTCTCCTTACATCGATATATCGGTTTTGGGAATTCGATCGTCTATGCTTCAGAAAGTCTCAAAACTGAAATGCTGGAATAAATCTTTATTTGCATTTTAATTTTTTAAAATTCAATTATTGATGCACAGAACCTGTTTGTATTGCGTCATTTTTTCGAAGATATCGGTGTTTCAAATAAGAAATATCGAAAAAAGACATCGATACATATTCACTTTCAACATGATTCTATATAATATGTAGATTGGTAAGATTGATAAAAGTGGAGATTAGGAAACTAAAACTCGTGTGTTCGTGTCATATATTATTTATTTAGCCGGGGTGATCATGTTTCTTTATCTATAATTTGGCATCTTTATCTCAAGAATCTGACCGTTTTCCGTATTTAAAGTCTTATCAATATTTATTTCAATATGATGTATTGAATGTTCTGTTCCTTATGTAACTCAGTGTTCAGAATATTTTAGATTAGATGTTCTGGTACGTCTATTTGACTGGAAACGGAATTAAATAGTTTTCGTTTTGAACTGGACATTATGGCATATTGCCATGTATTCATGTTTTATTTATCGTATTGCAGTATTTCACTATCAGATTTAAGGCTTGGAATTCCTACATGGAATTATTCCAGAGCAAAATCTTCAATCAATGATCATGTTCTTGGTGACCTACTGTCAGGGCTGCCATCGATATGAACCCAAAAACAAGGACATCGGGGAAACATGATAAACAAAATGTATTCATACTAGTGCGATCTGTGTGTAATCATACTTTGCACTAGAAAGGATTTGCTCCAGCAGTTCTTTATTTGTAGAAACTATCTGCTCCATCTCACTTCTAAGTTGAATTTTGATTCAAGTTAAACGAACTGATCTTTGCCGGTAGGATATTGTTTTGTCATCGTGACGATTAATTTGCTGTTATTATGTCATAAATGCGCGTAGGTTCTGATATCATTTTTAGCAAATCAATCATTCGAATTGACAGTCCAGCAAGTGCCCGGTATGAGAACCTCTACCCATTTCATTAAATGTACAATTTTGAGTCGGTGGATTTCTTTGAATTTCGTGAATAAAATATATATATCGTGGTTTTGTTGACGGAGATGAACGCCACGATTCAATTACGTTCAATTTCTGCTTTCATCTTTTGAAAAATTCATTTCGTTTGGTTATTCACGTAGAACGACCACATTGTAGAAATTGAATTTAATATAACTGCTTTGGATAGCCATTTTGAAATAAAAGAAACAGAAACGGCCCGAACAGCGATCCGATGCTTTCTTCGTTGAAATTTGCAAAATATAAACTTTTTCTGGTTTATAGGTTCCAATTTTCAATAAAGCATCCATATGGCAGTCAAATTACAGTTACAACACGACACGACTCAATTTGCATTATATCAATTTGTAATTGAATAAATATGGCCATTTACCGCTGTTTAATTATGGATAGGAATCGCCTCGTTTCATGATATATCTGCGAAATAATAGCGACAGAATATCAGTTACATAACTTTTTCTGGAAACTTATCTACACATCATTATAATTAAATTTTGTTTTGCATTTAATTACAATCGCCTGAAATGGAGATTTTAAGCCGTTTCTCAAGTTATATTGTTGTTACTGCTAGTCGAATTGACTTGGTCGCGCTTAGTTAATGCGCCATGAAAACTTGAGTTTGTCCTATATGTAGGGCATATGCTTGATACCCACCCGTTGAAAATGCATTACGTTTTCCGCTTTTTTTTAGATATTCTCGAGTACCGAAAATGAACTGCATACTGTACTTAAAATCTCTCAATAATGAATAAGTTTCACGTTTAAATATTAAAATCACGATGAGCTTGTTTAACATGTTTTCGAATCGCTGAATACGAATATACATAATTTATGGAAAATAGAAAATTGCTATTTCTATTTTAAATTCAACCTACCTACTGTCTGAAAAAGATGACCTATGTTGAATCAAACATGTATACAATGCGTGATTTACAAAATAATTTATTTTGTACTACAATTTTTTGTATTTTCGGAAATTTATTCATCTTGGTGCGTGTTTTAGAGTTCATTACGGGAATACAGTTTGCGAAAATTTATCGGCAGTCAATTTATTGATGAATATAATCACGAATACTCCAGCATCGTTGAAATAATCTGTTTTAATTAAGGTCTTGAATATTTGGATTGCCTTATGTTAGCATAATTCTAACCTTACTTTACGATTTACATTAAGCCCGCATATCTACACCAGACATCAAATTTCTGTATGAACGCAGTTTTTATTTTTATAACAATCATAAGGTTCTTTTAAAATGTAAGATACATAAAATAAAGAAAGGAAGAAAGTAAAGAAAACTGCGCGATTTACAGTCAAGATATAAAGGAACAAAATGACATTTGCATGGACCAAGCGGTTAGCACCAACCAATCTTTTAATCTGCGTATGTTGTAGTGTTGTTAGGTCTCCTCAAATACATTCGTACATACATGAATACTTGCGGAGATTCTATTGCGCCTAGATTCTGCACAGTGTATTCTCATGGATTCAATACAGTGCAGCCTTATTTTTACTGCATTTGGAACGTTCTATATAAAATCTTACATCTTCGTGTCCACCAACTCACGACACCCCGTTTTCAATTTTATATTCCTTAGGCCTGGCACCAGTCTGCGCGTGTACTACTGTGGATATCCCCACAGCGCGTGATGGCCTTGATTGCAAAGGGGGTGTTAGGCTCTTCGGAGATGACTTTTTTGTGTTCCCTTTCTCATCACAAATCACAATGACTGGTGTGGTCGGACTTTGCTGGATACGACTGAAAGTCTGCCGAGGCACATTGTGTGTTTTCGACACCGATTCACGCGATAAAGATGTCGTTAGTGGCGTGGTACCTTCACTTTCAGTCGTTTGCTGTTTATCCGGTGTTAAATTTCTTATCCTATCAAAAATATCTTTATATGGTGACAATTCACTTTCTTTCAAACAATCCTTCAGTAAATGTATTTGTCCGCACTCGCATAATATGCCTGGCTCTTCAGTGAGCTTTCTTCCAGTAAACGCTGTACTTGAGCTTTGGTCACCATTGGTGCCCATTTCAATATTTTCTGCAGATGAATCACCAGTTTTTGAAGGATGTCTACGAAAGCATACAGTCTTTACACACGATATAACGTTTTCATAATATAGGTAGACGATGACAAGAACGATTGCCACTGCGAAGCTGATTAGAGTTGTGATACCTGAAAAATTTTGAAATGTTATAAACCAAATCATGTGTCAATTTTTCGGTTTGAAGCGCATATAGACTCATTTGTGCTTTGAGGTAAACTTGAAGATTTCGAATAAACAGTTTTTCTTGCTCAATTTGTATGTTAGGGTTATATTTGTTTAGGTTCAAGTTAAATAATACCGAAATCTCGTTTAAATCCGCGATTTGCTATGACCATATTAGCTAGCAATTCACAATTTAGTTAATATTACTTTGCATTTGAATTTATTATATTTATATACAGACAGTACACCTCACTAGTATGCAGTATTGTAACCTTCCTTAGACCTTGGTTCTATATATGTTGCCCCCAAAACAGAACCAAGGCCAATTGGAACATATTCTAAATCTAGAGAGAACGAAGCTTTTTTGCAAGGCGTCCTAGATTGCTGAAAACTTTTTTTTTCATTTTGTAGAATTCGGAAATATATGGGTTCTGTATTTTGGGGGTCACTCTGTGTGAACATTATGCGTTAATATAAGACACGGCAATTTCTTCTTGTATATAATATATTACCTGGTCGCATATTAAAACTGTCGTCATGAATTTTTGTGCTTCCAGGCGTTAACATTGTTCCGTTGAATCCTTCAGAAACATTCGTTGTTATTATTGTAGTTGTCATTTACTTCAGTTTTGTACATTACGTCATTATACTAGTAAGAATTAGACGTTTTTTCTCGTTAAAGCCTAAATATGTACAGCTAAACTTTCTGCAAAGTAATAATACAATTAAAAATAAAGGAGTAAAGTTGTTTAGAATCGTATTTCAACGATGACTCGGTGGTCAATACCGCGTTTGCTTATTTGTATTATTATTCTAAAACCGTTCAATAAAATTGAAAAAATATGGTTTAATATACGATTATTCATCGCTGATTATTTATAAAGTAAATGCTGACATGTTTGATGGATTCACATCGATTGTATATACGAGCTCATTGGCTGATCCATTGTTAAGTTTTTTAAATGAAACTGGTTGAAACCCGGTAAAACTGGCCAAACCTGAAAACAAATTTGTCTACATCTTCCAGGCAGCTCAAATACCTTCTTTATTGTTACGAATTGAGCAGTAGTCAATAGCCCCGTTTCTGAAAACTCCTGCAACATTTTTTTATACTGCTGGCATAGTTCGCGTTTTCTTTTATTAAAATAATACATCTTTATAAGTAGTCTGTGTCAGTAGGAACTAAAAAACGCACCCCTCGCATCAGTAACGATGAATGAGAGCGTATCGTGTAAAAACATGCCTCGCTTTTTGTTTGCTACGCTGAATAACTCTAACAATGAGGTTCTAAAATTTCAACTGTACTGTAAACATGCATGAGAATGATCGTACTCTTCGTGATCGTACGTCACAATATCAAATCCACTAGATCGCCAGGCATAAAGATATCTTATACAGTTAATCAACAAGTAAAATTCAATCTCAAAATTTTAGATATTCTGTAAATAATGCAACGATCTTGTCTGCTGATACTTGAGGCTTCAAGCTCTAATCTTGCTCGTAATATAAATAACTGAAGTTTCATTTTGAAATTGTTCATTTCCTACTTTTACAAACTATTAATTATAGTGCGTTGCAAAACTAATTGAAGCTTCGCGCTCGTATAAAACTCAACTGTAAATTGCGCGTCAGCCGTTAGCTCTTTTCTGCATACTAAAATTGATTTTCAGTACCTGACAATAACAGAAACGCTTCTACGCGCAGTGCTAATGTCGTGATATTTATAAGGTATCTAGCTGATGTGCCTAGTAAAATGTGGCCCAAATATGCAAGTTACAAAGACCATTCTAAGCCTTGTCAGTTTGTCTGGTTCTTTTGCTAACGTGTAGACTCTAAAAATTACATCGCAAACTGCGCACGAATTTGTAATTTGCACCAGTAGTAGCGATATGCCATCTTCCTACCGTACCTTTCAATTGTACTTTACGCTAGAAAGCCTCATGATGCCGACAACCTGACAATAGTCGTACTTCATAATATATTGAACAATAGTATCCAAATCTGAATATTTGACTGTAAATAAACTCGCTTCCTGGTTCATGGACTTAAATAAGCTTATTCTTAACCTCTTATTCTATTATTCTAAGTACAATGTATACCATACCGTACTACACTGCTTTGCTTCAACAAAACAATGCCAAATCGATATATTACCTCGTAGTAATGATGTGTTCATGATACAGCTTATATTCCTGACTACATAAAAAATAAATTAGCTTCCATTCTATAACGTCGTAGCTATAAATAACAGAACAGAACACGTTCCTATGACTTGGTTAGTTTTACGTTAAAACGTGTCGGCGTAATTTGCGTCAGATCTTTTAACCAAACGCTGTGATTTCGATAAAAATTAACGATATGACTGCCCCTGATTTGTAACAGATAGACATAAAATTATATGGATATCGAAATTCTTTCGCAAAACGTATTTTTACTGGTATTCTTTGCTCGGCCACCTATGGGCAAATGCTAAGCATGCTGTTAGACTTACAGACTTTTATTGTTTTCATTATCAATTTTCAGTAAAATAAGAAGTGATAATATTAAACATGAATGTAAATAATATTTTAAAAAACAATACGCATGGTAATTTGTTTGGATTATTTACGTAAATGTACATATATAACGGTAAATTTCAAGAATGCATTTCAATCACATCATATTGAATGCGGTAAAACCACGTTATGATATAAGCCCATTCCACATCCATGAAGTTTTCCCGCGTCAATTTCTGTTCAGAACGTCGAATTTGCATATTTTTACATCATCATTTTCTCTGGCTTACTAATATGGGGAATTCATACATGACGACCACAAATTTCTGTTTCGCTCTTGTATTTCACATTCTGCCTTCAAACATCCTAGACTAAAACAATACAGCATTCTAAATATTGGCGTAACATCCACGGCCTACTCGACCAAATTAGTGCGCTGGCAATGTCTTTCTGATGAAATTATTGTCATGTCTCTCATAAGATGGGCATTTCGCGGAAGCTATTTTATGAAATTAACTCATAGTAGTTATCGATCCACAGACTTCAAAATTTGACACGCTGCTCGCTTTGTGTAAACTTTACACATAGGTCTAAGTAGCTCACACCAATCTAGTCTCGTGAACTTGCGTATTATATATATGTTTACTTCTTCATTATTTGGCTAACATACGTGACCCATACTTGGCAAAGTGTTCACATATCATGAGTATGACACCCCAAATAAGAATCAGTAATAGGTTCGCTAGCTTTTTACGCATTAGTAGACTCCCTGTGGATTTGGCGTCACACCTCTCGGATCTTTCTTTGTTCACAACGTAAACACGTAAGCACCACGTTCAATAAGAATTACGTCGCCCATACCCGACGCTTATCTTGTTTGTGTAATACTCAGGTTCACCCCAACTAATGGGTACGAAAGTTACTCCATATATATATATAAATAAAATCGGGTAGTTATAGATAACATCTGAATAATGGCATTTCGGTTGAACATGTTATACATTTGATAAAAATACTTCAATCCTTCGAAGACTCAATGTTTTGACATCACACCAAGAGTTCGTACAAAATGGTTCAATTAATTTGTACCGATCACAAAACGGCCTAACCGGTAGCTGTAGTGTGATTCGCAGTTTTTGAACAAAATCGCTATCAATTTTTGTGACCACAGCTTATTTTATTATGAATCGCGCCATTCAGAGGAATTATTTATTGTCTTTCAATTTTGTGGTAGCTGAGAATTTTGGCAATTTTTCCACAAGGGTGTGCAAAACCCAACTTCAATCAATATAATTGTCCTAATAGCCTCAGTAATTTAGAAAATTGCTTAGCGGTTCGGGGCTGTCTATGTTCGCTAAGTGAAAAATACTCCCTGCCCATAGGTTTCAGTTCCTTTACACAACTTGATATAAAATAGGCGATCAAAATTAGTTACCTCCCTTCTGGAACGCCATTTTTAGTCTCTGTCTGGCTGAGATGCTAGAAAAAATAATATCTCGTAATCATTTATATAATATTGCATAATACAACCTTGCATACAAAGCTGTGGGTATAGGTACCATGTAATACCCACATGTTTCTTATATTCACGGTGTTCTGACCACTATGTATATATCCTGAATTACCTCGACTCGCCCCACGCTGTTCTGAAATTTTGTTGTTCGCTTTATAACATTTTCGCCCAGTCAGCTATTTTCAAGCCTAGTTTTCTTCCGCGAACCCTGACTATCAAAAAATGTCATCCATGAACGTCGCTATTGCTTTCTCCAATGAGATAAATCACAATATATTCACTAAACACTAAAATCGTGACTTCCAGCTCAGCATTCTCCCTTAAGTTGTATCAAAAGTAACTGTGTCCGACTGCATCACCTTCTATACACTTGTTAACCTTTCACTTGTTATGTATTCAATGTTCATATCTCTACATCCGGATTAGCCTAAACGAGCTACTTCCGTATTAAGTTCAACAGTTAAATTTAAATCCAAGCATCACATTACCACACACAAATTAATAATTCATTCCAACGTCAATGTGAACGTCTCTTTTATATAATTTGTTGTTTCCCTGCCTTGCAGTTGCATTTTAATATCTTACTTATAGTTTCCAGTGCTTGATTGTTGTTATTGATAATGATTCATATCCCACGTAGTGTGGTAGTTCATTATCTAAGTATTTAGTCTACGTCAAGTTCTTGTTTACTGTATACATCCTAATCTACATCTTCATAATCTATTCCAGCGAGGCGTCGAATCGAGCCTTAACTTCCAAACTGATTTACGTGTAATTAGTTACCTCTCGGGATTTCTCGTGCCGGAAATTTTCTGACAATTTCGCGGTGTTCCTTTCTCAGCTTGTGACAACGATATATTTTAGTAATGTATTTCGTGTCAACTCACCAACGCAAATTGTTTTTTTTTATGATGGTATGCCAGTAATGCTACGCATCAATTTTCCCATCTTTTATCAGTTATGTTGATCAGCTGTGCGGATTGTTTCCCCTGGGGGATGTCAGTCGTCTGCTTATTTTAAGGTCACGTTTATAGGCAGCTTATACATGTCACAATCATAAAAACTTTTGCTTCTAGTTTTTTAGTAACCAACTGTATGTATACGCATATTAAGTCTTAAAAAACGCTTTTAAATAGAGGGTTTTCTAGCATTCGACATTTTTTACACTTCACGCTCGAAAAGTATACTTGCTTTTAGACGAGTCGTCAGTTTATCATTCGCATCTATCAACATCGAAATTCCCAGATTCCATTCTCAATTTTGAGTCATACGTGGTTTTAATCACTGACACAAACTTTTTAAAATGATATTACAGTTTGCATTGCTTAGAATAGAATCCTGGTCAGCAATGAGGCCGCTTGAGACCAGTTATGCGACGGTCGTGAGCGATTGTGGTTTGTACTGAAAGAGAAGATGAGTCAAAGAGTTTGAGTGAGGTTCGTTGTTGTTTATTATCAATGCGCTTCACCGTTCCGCGAAGTTCTTAATGAGTTCATCTAGACCTAATTTTTTGAAGTTGAGGTTCAGTGCATATACCAATTATTTATCGTTTATACATTGTCATTTGCTCGTAATATTCCTCCTTAAAAGACATTATCTTATATAGTTTAACCTTTCGAATCGTGAAACGGTCATTGTGACATAATGTTTATACTGAAATTGTTGAATTATACTATATTTCCTGTAGTCCACAGAAAAATGGAGAATATATGCAACAAGTTTATGCTCTTACATCAGTAATACCGACTATTTATAAAATGTTTCGGTGTCAATTATAGACTGTTTTTTTTATATATAAGGCGACGACCCTATTTAAGAAATAGCTCGTAAAAAAGATGGAGGCTGATATTAATATCGATTACGATTTACGAACATGGTCGACTGTAACTTATTGAAATCAATTTGTCCCAGAACTATAACTATCAACTAATTTCTCAACAGCTCCAATAATTTTCTTTCAAACTAAACTGGCTATGGACATAGCGAGATGATTTCCGTCACCAATCAATTATACCACATGTGTATTTCATATACCGGTGCTTACTTTTCCTTTAATTACGGAAAATATCCAGACCAATAGCATGCAATTAAATCCTAAGCCAATCACCAATATCACTTAGTCCAGCATAAGGCGCCGCTACCCAAACCAAGACTTATTGACAACTTAACTTGAAAATTATTGTTATGGCATACGACAAATGACTTCTTTTCTGTCATCGTTTTCTTTTCTTCGACGAACGATTGTACATAATGGTCGCGGGTTATCGTCCAAGCGAAACAATGTATGATGTCCCGGTTCTGAATGAGCCGAATATTGTTCATAGTCCTAACTTATCTATAATTTGATTTTCAAATGTACAGTGTATGGTTATAACTATTTTCCAGTAGATTGTAAAGTCGTGTATTTCACTTATAGTTACGAGCATGGCAATTTAGAATTATCTATTTCTTCGACAAGTGTGATTCATTTAGTCGTCTTTGCTAAGTTTTGTTAGATTACCACATAATTGACTTATAAGTAGGTACATCGAACAATTATTCATAACTATATATGCCAGAACAGTATATTATTGAAATGATTCGATTGATAAAAAGTTAAGGGCAAGGCAGTATCGGATATTCAGAAAATTTTCTCCGTGAAAATTCAAACAAGAAGGCTCTTCATTCTTATGTTATAGTAAAAATGATACATTAAACATAAATTGCGACCGTTTTAAATACAAATACTTTTGGTATGAATTTTTGGGCTTTAGTCAAAGGTTTTTACTTTCGAATGGTAGACAGACAAAACTTACCTACTGTGTCTAATACTAAGGCTATAATATGGTTTTGTTTGACCCAAATTAAAATATATCATATGGAAATGTAATAAGGTTGTATTATCAAATTGTTTCATTATGATATTAACTATAAATTTGATTCGATTGTACGTGTACAAATTGTGTCCCTACTCTTTGTTCAGGACGAAACGAGCATCATCGGCTCTACTGAAAGATCCAGGATTCAGTAAAGATTCGATAGATATTCTTATGAAAGATGATCCATTCGCTCTCTCATGGTCACGTGCTAGATCGGCGGACGAACCTTCGACGTCATCAGCACCCGATGTTGTATCGGTCCCTCGCAAAATGACAACAGAAGGATTTTCATTACGGCATCGTAAGTATTCTTCTTTTATATGATCTGCAAGCCTCGTCCATATCGTGTGTTAGATGAGATAACGTGTGTTAGTGCGTAACAACGTAGCATATTGGGATTTCCTATAGTTAGCAATCATATCGCTAAATTTTGAAAATGTTTTATGCCATCGTATACCGATTTCATATCTCATTGAAGTATCATCCATTTCAGGTGAAGAAGTTTCCGAACAAGAATATGGAAATGTTGTAACCATGGTGGAAAGAATTCACAAGTGGATTGAATCTGCAGAACATGACGAGGTACGTATGCTTAGAGCAGTGGTTCCCAACCTTTTTTGGCTCGCGACCCCCTTTGGTGGTTTACACTTACCTCGCGACCCCCTGTCCCACTTTCTTTACTTATCAATAAAATAAGCGGCAAAGTGAATATTGTGCAATTTAATTTTTCATCAAGCAGCAGTTTTACTCAATGTTACGGCTGGCATTAAAACCCCGTAGCCAGCTGCGTAATTTGTGGTCTAGTTTTTGACAAATCTAATCTCATATCATCCTAGACCGGGTAAATGTGGTCGAAAAATTCTAAATTCTTCGTGGTGTATTTGGAATGCTTAGTCTCCATGACATTTCAATTTGGACGGTTTCGTGGATTCAGCACTGAGAACGACATTGCACAAGACACACTGCGGCTTCTCAATGCCACCGCTGATGACGTAGGATGTAAAACCGAACCTAAAATAGTCTTCCGCATATTGTCGTCATAATAAATATAATAAAGGGGACCTCCTGAGATGGCACACAACCTGAACTCAGGTTGTGTGTACCAGCTTAGGGTTCAGGTTATGCGACATCTTGGTGCGCATACTTCAGGAGTACCAATAAAGGAACTAAAACGTTACTGCAGGATGTATGATAATCTTCACCATAAAACGACATAAACTACAAGCCTCCCTTGGTATCGAAATCCCTGCGTTCCACAGCATTCCTTCGAAGCCCGCGTGTTTATCGCGGCGCGTGGAAATGCAGACGAGTTTGTGTGACGTCACAATGGCTAACATGCCATAAACCATCTTGCGCCGCTTGCTTGATTCTGGGGTCTCACGAGTCACAACAGCTAGTAGAAATCTCTCGGAGGCAAACGAGAGTCCATTCAAGACTTCGGATTCAATTGACAATATTTAACCTAAAGCTTTGTCTTATTTTCTTCTGTTTTGCAAGACCTTCGCGACCCCCCTAGAAACCCGCCGCGACCCCCAGGTTGAGAACCACTGGGCCTTAGAGGATTTCTATGTTGGCTTGAACAGGGTGGGTGGGAGGCTTGGACCTTCCGGCCTCCAAAGAGACAACAAACTTGACTAGGTGCTATTCCCAATGACTGCATTAATTTGCAGGCTTAGAACTTGTTTGTGCCATTCTCAACGTTTGAATTTATTATAATTAGGACGTTTATTCAAAAACTATTGATTATCAGAATAAGACTCGTGTTAAACAATTTCCCCTTACAATGAAATGAATTTTTAACTATTTTTTGCAGCCCATGGACGAGGAAAGTCTTTGCACTATTTGTTATGCTAATGAGATTTCAGTTTCTTTCAATCCCTGTGGTCATACTTCATGCAAGTAAGTATATGTTATATTGCAATAAAATTTAATTATATGAGGTAATTATGTATATAGGAGCTTATGTATGCCTTATATGCGAAAAACGGGTAAAGGTTTTTTTCCATAACTTTTCGTTATTCATTTGCCAACCAAGTCGAATATTGAAATTCCGAGAATGCTACCCCCGCGGGAAAAATGCCGTCTTTCGTCTCGTTAGTCCATAAACTGAGGAAGCTTAGTGAACTTGTTTCAATCATTATCCATATACTAACTTTCGCGCAAATATAACTACGAGATGCACAGCACTCAAAATGAACTGGCACTTTTGGTACAATTTTTTGTGCAAAACATTGCTGGCGGATTACCCTGCATTGACGGAGATCATACTGGGCGCCTGTACCGGCTTGTTTAATTATAATTTACATCTTTATTCCAGGTCCTGCATCAGCCACCAACTAATGAACGCCAAGGAATGTTTCTACTGCAAAGCAATAGTTGAAAGTTTCAAGCCAATTGAAAATAAATAAATGTAGTTTGATTTTAAAATATAGAACTTGCGCCTTACTACAACGCCTTATGACGAGGAATATTGAACCAAATTAGTACTATTTACGACTGCTTTATACTCGGATAACACTGGCTCCATTTAAAACATAGAAAACTAGTAAAAAAAACATGTATTTTCTTTTTTCTTATCCAAATCACGATAATGAAATTTCTGGTTCTGGTATTTATGACCCATGATGTAATTGTGGTTGTCTCCCACCGTGGTATTAGTGTCGACAAATTCTGATTCTTAATACGGAATTGTGAAATTGGGCTCAAAAAAAATGTTAGGCAATTATATAATAGATACAAGTTGGTTACAAATGAGCTTATTCCAATACCACAAATCCGTTTTGCTTAAAAATAGCATAAACTCGATTTTCTCTAGTGATATATTTTTAATAAATATTAATTTTCAATCTTTTTGTGTAATTTCAATTGGGCCTATTTATTTTATATTTCAATGGGTGTGAAGGGAAATTTTTAGTTCATTAGAATTTTGGCGGCTTTTACGTCAGCATGTTAAGTATCGGTGTGATCATTTCAAAAACTTTGCTCTGGATATCATTTACATTATTTACATTTTTATATTTCATACCTTTGGGGGGGGATAAGACTCTGTCCCCTTATCCAGCGTGCAAAAATTTGATGGGGGATACAACTTGTATTATAGCTCACTCCTGTGTTACTCTAGTCGCGTTAGGTCCTAGTTATGAGGGCATTGAAGTGATGTTTTGTCGACTCCAAAAAATGGCACCTTGTAGCCCTTGAAAGGCACAGGATAATGGAAAATGCTCTTAATCTATCTGTAGCTAATTAAACGGAACCTATTTTCTAATTGAACTTTATTGTTTGCCTATTATGCTAGGCTATGTTCTTATGTCGATTTGATTTTTTTTTGTAAATTTCGCACTTTGTAAAATGCATTTAATTTGCAGGCAAATTTCAATCTTCAATTCATGTTATTTTGTATTTTAACATGGTTACACCTCTCCAATCTCATGTTCTTTTGATGATCTAAGCCAGTGGTTCCCAACCTTTTTTTCAAGCAACCCAAATTTAAAAAAAAAAAAAATTGTAAACTCTTGCCACCCGAGGATATACTCTCATACTAAACGACGCGTAGTACTTTTATAGTGCTTCATGGTGGGACCGCGGGGGTTTATTTGAACGAAATAGATGCTGCCAATATTTTACAACGTGATACTTCTCGCATTTACAATTACTACTGAGCTACTCCACAATACTAAGTATAAAATAAACAAAACAATTTCCTAAAAAAACAAAAGTTTCCAAGCTTGCGGAAAAAATAAGGGACCCAAGATGAAGCTTTGAATGAGAGCCGTAGTCACAATTTAGGCCAACTGCTAGAGTTCGCATAAAATGCTTATACTAGTAATTTTTTCACAAGTTTTACACGTAACCATTTGTTATGATATAATATCGTATTCTGTGATTTGCAATCTTTATTTTGTTCATCACAAAATATGCAATAATTTTGTTAAAAAGGTATGTTTTACTCATGAATATTATTAGCCCGAATCTTCTGTACAAAGCATTATTAATAAATTTTCCGGATATCATTGTACACTTGTTATCCATAGTTTCAATCAGAATTAATATACCAGGGTTTCCTGGACTTCATGTACCGCTTCGTTTCAACTGAATTGGGAACGCAAGATCGTGTGAGAAAAAGCTGGCGCTATAAAAATTACCCGTTGTCAACTATGTTCAAAGTTAGTCTGATTTGGTCTCTCTTATTGGACACGTAGTGGACATAACGATCGTTTCAATATTATGTTGTTGTTGTTCTTGTTCTTTGACACGTTTTTAAAAAGTCGCTTTTCTCTTCGAATACTGGACCAATTGCTTTGAAATTTTCAGTGGTTAAAGATTAATTTTTTCGCTAGAAGGCTATTACTTTTGTTTATTCATAAATTTTATATGAATCCAATGAGATATGATATTTCATACAAAATTTCGCGGTATTTATTTTTACTCATGGGAACACTGTTTTACACTTATTTCAAGCGGTTTCGCGATCGATTGTCTTGCTCAGTACTACAGCTACTGTAGGTCGGTACTGGTAAGTTGCCATACAGGTACCGTAACGCAGTGAAATTGACTTATTCCTTCCGCGGTATTACTAATGCTGCAATGCAAGTTTTATAGCCTATCGTATGCGGAACGGAATATCAGACCTACAGGTTCGGTACCGGTACTGGTAGCTCAGTACGTAAGTACGATACTGGTGCCGGTACCGGTGTCTTACCACAATGAAATTACCGTAACTTATTCTTTCACGGTCCTACCAGTGCAGTAATGCAAGCGTTGTAGCACTTGTAGCCTGCTATATTTGTTTATTTTGATGAGAGTCTACTGGAAACAACATAAAATTTGAAAGGGAAGAATTGTTCTGTGATCAATTATCTGTCCTAAAGTGTAAACAACATAAAATTTGCAAGGGAACAACTGTTCTGTGATCAATTACCGTATATGGCCTACAGTGTACAGGTAAGATGCTGGCTGACTGCTAACCGGTACTGGCAGCTCAGTACGTAAGTACGATACTGGTGCCGGTACCGGTGTCTTACCACAATGAAATTACCGTAACTTATTCTTTCACGGTCCTACCAGTGCAGTAATGCAAGCGTTGTAGCACTTGTAGCCTACTATATTTGTTTATTTTGATGAGAGTCTACTGGAAACAACATAAAATTTGAAAGGGAAGAATTGTTCTGTGATCAATTATCTGTCCTAAAGTGTAAACAACATAAAATTTGCAAGGGAACAACTGTTCTGTGATCAATTACCGTATATGGCCTACAGTGTACAGGTAAGATGCTGCCTGACTGCTAACTCAGTACCGCTTGACACGTTTTTAAAAGTCGCTTTTCTCTTCGAATACTGGACCAATTGCTTTGAAATTTTTAGTGGTTAAAGATAAAAATTTTCTCCAGAAGGCTATTACTTTTTTTTGCTATGACGTCATCAAAATTATGTGACTCTACGTGTCCATATATTTGAGCATAGCTCTCTTGTTCTAGACGGGCATGTGAAATTTATGTTCTATCTGGGATTGACTACTATTTTATCTGAACTCACTTAGTGTTTGTGTAAATCAGCTTTATTGTACTGCTGGATACCGTTACCCAGGCAGTTTAAGACTTTGACCTTATCATCTTTGCCAATCATTAGCTCATTGAAACACTGATTATTGACAACCTGGAACCACGTTTACTGCTAAGCGATAAACAGTATAGGTTTCTTCAAAAACTTTTCACCAGCGATTTGTTTACGATGATAGCCGAATTCGTATGGGCTCATTAGTTCGGCACTGGGAGGTAACCTATGTTGTAACGAATTCCCGACAGGTTTAGTGTCCTCCTTGACCAGAGCTCTTTATTCGTGCTCTTTTACTTCCGGAGGTACACGGTGTTAAATTGTTGGATCTAAATAGCACTTTATATTCCTCAATGACCTCTAGCGCAGGAATGGAAAAATTGATAATACAACCGAATCACTGTTTTCGTACAGGGATTTCGTCGAGTACGATAAATCGCCTCAGTCCGTATATAAGTGCTGCATGTGTTAAGCTCGAAACCATGTCAAAGATACACAATACCAATCAACGATTATAAGACGTGTAGGGAAGATGCGACGGCAAGTTTCTCATTGATGCAGACTTCGATAGAACCCACTATGATCTATGACCGACAGTCTACTTTCCCACACGAAAAAAAAAATTTTTTTTGACTCATTCAACAAAGAAGGTTTGTCCGTTCTACTGAGTTGTGACCCGTGAGTGCGTAAATTGCCCGGTATCCCAAAAATGTCGTGTACGACTTGTTCGGAGTGTGAAAATTGGCGTATAGGTGAACCTCATTGAACTATTGTAATTAATATTTGTAAAAATATTTCTTAAATTAAAAATTTGAATCGCCTATCGACACGCCAGTGTTTCAAGAAAGCCGATATTCCGATAATAACTAATTATCATCTTGATTGTAAGAAACAGGCAAGATAAAATACTTGTTTGCAAACAGTATTTACAGTGATCATTGTTTCAGCTTGACGAACAGGTATTCCAGACAGAGCATATGAAATTATTATTTGGGATTCAAATAATGGCGTATCATTAGAATCGATGCCAACGGTTTGAAGAACTTAAATCAATTGCACAGTAAATTGCTTTAAAACGCAGTACGTATGCACAAAACTAACACTAAAGTAAGACTTTAAATCCAAATAGTGAATCATGTCTCGTCGTCGCAGCAAATTCATAACCAAGGAAGTCGCATATGGGTGTGAATTAGAGATGTACCGATGTATCGGTATCGGCAATATCGGCCATTTTTTGGTATCGGCAATGTATCGGTATCGGTTAGATTAAGGCCGATATTACCGATATATTTACCTTTTCGATATGGTCCAGAATGTTTTGAAAGATAAGTTGGAATACTACTTTTTAATTTATTTTTGTCTGGAGAGATCGTGAGCTATGAGCCATACATGTCCCCACCCCTGCGAGAGAATAGGATTCACGTGTTTTTAGCTATTTATCAGCTAAACTAGCTCAACTAATTTGGCTATTTTCGCTGTCAAATTTTTATATTGACATTTTTAATATTACATAGTTCTTATGAAGAAATATATCAACACAGCACATAACAAAAAGCAACTAGGCGCCCAGTTTTAAATCATACAGTGGAATTGGGGTTCTTCCTTATTAACGGCACATGGACTTTTGGCACGGGTATAAATTCTGACTGTTTGTCGTCAAGTACGAGTGTCATTTAGTCCGTCGACATCGATAAACTAAATTCCGACACAATTATCCCACTACACAGGTATTATTTTGATTCTGCTTAACTACACGATTTCTTTATAGATATATTGACTTGACCGCCTAGCCCTAGACTGTCTCAAAATATATGATAGCAATTGTAAAATATTATAAAATAGCGAAGTAAAAAAACATCCTAAACGGTTAACGGTGGCCCGGTGGGCTTTCTTTTTGTCGGTGCTGATTGATATTCTTTCATATTGGCTTTGACTTATTGCGTCGACGATTACGATTAGCCACTAAATTAAATATTTGTAAAATGATTTTAATTTGAACGTAGGACGGCGGCGCTAGAATGTGTGGGTGATATTCGATATTCTTTTAAACACGAATAACGATATTCGAAGCTCGCGATATTACATTCCGGCTTATGAGTTTTCTAATTGAACACCGAGATTACTAGCGTTACTGTACAATGTATCTTAATCAGTTACAGCATATGGATACCAAACATTAATTTCATATTATACGATATATATATCTTTTTTTCCGATCTGAAATAATGTGTACTATGAACAACGCTTAAAGACCATTGTTTTAACCCGTCTGCCCTACACAGCATACCTAATTAAGTAATAATTACATAGTATCGGTATCGGTAATATCGGCCTTTTTGTAGTATCGGCGTATCGGTATCGGCGTTTTTAGCTGGTATCGGTATCGGCGACAAAAGTGGTATCGGTACATCTCTAGTGTGAATGCGGTAAGAGATTACAACACCAAGTTTGCCATGCTGACAGATCGGAGTAAAAGTATGACGGATGTGGTCAAGGATAATAGATAACGTTATTAATTTTCAGCGAAATGTCGAGTCCTTTGAGAGGTACCGTAATTTGAAAAAGGACCTCCTAGCGACATCAGTCGAATTATGGTTATTTGTGACCCTTGAGCTCATTTTAGTGTTTAAATTGACTTATAAGCCAGTGAAAACTAGACCTCCTATTCCTCTTCTTCGCTTGTCTCCGACAATTGATCGCTTAGTCTCGTTTGATATTTAATCATCTGCGATTACGTATTCTCGGAACTACATGAGAAAGTTGATGCTCAGTGAAAAAAATTAATAAACCAACAAATTTGAGAAAATTCGTTGCTATCGATCGTAAGTTCAAAGGTCACAAAATTAAAATCCGTTTCCAACGGTTTTCTTGCGTTTGTTTTGATTTCGTGGGTTGATCGACGTCTGGAAGTTTTTCATATTCAACTTTGTGTTTAGCTGTCAGGCGTCGAGCCAGATTGAATATTGGTGAGTTATTTTGTTTCTAGAAGTTTAATTACTGACCTAATATGTGAAAACTTTTTGTGCAAAGTGTGTAATGTATTTTTCAACATCTCTACATTACGGTATCTGCTTGTCTGTTGTCTCTCTCTCTCGACGTTGGCGGTTGCCACCCGCAGTTTCCTGGTTTCATAGATTTGTTTTGTCTGTTATGTTAATTACCACTCTCTATGTTATATTTTGATAAAATATAATTTACCTTATGGTACCAGAGCTATGTTTTCTTGCAATCCTGTAATCACTTGTAGGCCTATAATAAGGTTTTTCTCTACCCTAGTTTACAATGACTGCAGGACTGTTTGGCCCAGTTGTTTACTGACTGTGTAACAGCATCAGTATATTGCCCAACTAGTATAGCAGTGTACAGATGCGGCTTTGTTTATTGAGGTATCCGGGATATCAGTAGATATTGATTGCAATTTTGAATGATAAACGCCACACAGCATATCATAATTCTGTGATTTAAGACAATACAATACAGAATTGACAATAATTAAACAAACCTGGCTTAGTGCAAAGAATTAGAGGTTTGCTACCCATACTTGTTACCCTAGGATAGATTTTTAATGGTCGTCTGAGAGACCAACTGGGCTCCCCATGACACCGCTGGTTGGTAACTGGTTCATTACTGGACGAGATTGTATGGTTCACCGAAAGCAGTAATGGTCGAGCAATTTAATTATGTATCATATTTAAATAATATGTACATTAGCCAACAGCCTTGTTGTTGTCTAGTGTCAGAGTGTGTAAGCATATACTTGCTTTTTAACCAAATTCAATAAACAATCTTTATATAAATATTTGAATAAACACGTTTATTCACAATATTAGGTAAAGAAACAAAATGGCAAGCAGTTACAAAAAGAACATTGGTGGACAGAAGCGTAAAGGTGGTGCAAGAGCTGAACTCACAGAAGAACAAAAACAAGAAATAAGAGAAGCATTTGATCTTTTTGATGCTGATGGTTCAGGAAATATCGATGTCAAAGAATTAAAAGTAGCAATGAGAGCTCTTGGGTTCGAACCAAAGAAAGAAGAAATTAAAAAGATGATTTCAGAGGTAGACAAAGATGGTACAGGAATGATTGATTTCAATGAGTTTTTGCAAATGATGACACAGAAAATGAGTGAAAAAGATTCGAAAGAGGAAATTTTAAAGGCTTTCCGTTTGTTTGATGATGATGAAACTGGTAAAATTTCATTTAAAAACTTGAAACGGGTTGCAAAGGAACTTGGTGAAAATTTGACCGACGAGGAATTACAGGAAATGATTGATGAGGCAGACAGAGATGGTGATGGTGAAATAAATGAAGCAGAATTTCTTCGAATAATGAAGAAGACAAGTTTATATTGATGTAATATAATTTTTAACTTCTCAATATCCATAAAATCTGCTGCCTATCATTACAGGTCGATTGTAGATGATAGGCCAGTGACACGGTCTTGTTCATTTTCATCATTACCTGTACCTGTGAAATTCAAGACATCATTTTTTGTTGAATAGTTCCATAAATTAGTTAAATACTATGGCATATCAGTAAGGTGCTATATTTAGGTTCCAAATTTCATTCCTATTACCTCTGAATATTGTATTCTCGAAATTATCACAACTGAAGAGTCCCTATTAAAGTATGATAAATGGCCTATCTGATTTTCTGGAATAAATTTGTTTAAATACCCTAAATTTTAAGACCATATTTAACTGCAACAAAATGCCCTATCACAAAATGGCTGCTTTATTAATCTCTTTTTTAGTGAAGTTGTGGGTGGTTTACATTAGTTTCACCATGCTGTTTGTCATTTCTTCCTCTGGAAGAGACTTCACTCCTGTAATATTTTTGTTTGTGGACCAATTGTTATTTTTTTACTTTGCATCATTCTTCTTCCTGTTTGTGATTTTATGAGTGTGTTTGATACAACATATATTGTTTGTAAAAATGGTTTTGTTAGAATATTTCGCACATCTGCTGTTTTCTTTATTGGGTGACTGTCAGCTCAAGCATGTATTTAAAGTTGAAGCAAGGATTTGGTATGCTTGTTGTTTTATGCAGAATTTAGGCAAAATTTGAAACATGCTGTCAAAGTATCTCATTTTTATCCAGGCTGGATGGTTTGGACGTGGATATTACACCCATATCCCATCTACCCAACTCCAATAGGTATCTTTTTTTCCACACTACAGTATAATTAATTGGTATTTGCTACTATTGGTATAGCAGATATCTGAAATGGAGATATGAAGAATTGAAACATGCTTACCGCTAAAACTAGAATAGATGATAAGCAATTGTGACTATCTATGTTTAAAGGTTCGGTGTAAAAACCTAATCAATTGGCAGACCATAGCCTCTCAAGGAGCTTTTAGCTCATGTTGGGTAAGTGAACAGTTTTCTGGCGTATTGATGACATGCCACCAAAGGTTACGTGAAAAGCCATTCATTATCTCACACAGTATCACAACAAGGACTGGGCAAAATATTCGAATAGCGAATCGAATATTAAATTATTCGAATGGCATTTTACTATTCGAATATCCGGTACCACGTGACCTGCGACACTTTGCTTGGACACAGAACTCGCGCCTCTCAAAATCGACCGTGAATCGCGCGGGAATTCACCTACAGCTCTCGCTGGCAGACAAAAGCGAGAAATCGTTGTCTTTGCGTTGTGGTGTGAGTTTGCTTTCTTTTTGCGCCTAACGAATCGTTTCAATTCCCTACTTTGGACAAACACAGACCGCGCCGGTACGTAAATTAGGTATCAGCCGTTTTATGCATGCATAGTGATTATCGAAAATTAAAAGTTGAAATTGCGTTTTCGAGAAACTATACATGACGCTTATAAGCTATGACCAGAAAAGACAAGCCAAACTCCATTTAATGTATTTTCTATGAGCTCTTCAGTTATCCCTTCAATCTGTGACCAAGTAATGTTTCGAAAAGGTGAACATTTTACTCCGTCATGCATGGCGGGTTGAGTGATAAAATCGTGAACGAAAGTAGATCGTAAAATCAATCGTGAATTTCGATGTTACAACGCATACTGTCTCGTTTGCGAATTGTTGCGCCTATTATCATCGTAAATGATCACATTCGATATATTTCTAACATTTTTGCACTAATAATTAGGACGTGACATTATCGAAATCGTCAAGTGAAATGGTGAATTTGTAACTTCCGTAAGCAAAATTGTGAATTACTCGGAAACTATTTTAGCTATAATGCTTGCCGGGAAATTGTTTTGTTAAAAAAAAAAGTTGAAACTTGAAAAAATTAATTGTAATAAGTGTCTGACCCACTTTCCGACACAAAAGCACTCGAGCGCAAAATGTTTTTAGCATTAAGTCGCATATGCTAAATAAAATATCATTCAAGAAGTGCTGTTTATTAACGTCTTCTCGTCTAATGACCACGTAGAAATTTTCTTTATTGTCGAATTATTTAATCATATTTTAAATCAACATTCAGGATCGATGCAATCGCTTTGTGAGGTTTATCTTTCTGATACGAAAATAACACAGACACCATAGAAAAGCATAAGGAAGTTAATTATCGTCATAATAAATACCTGCATCTTGGTATCGATAGTATAACCACTCGCTTAAAATTCGGACGGCAAATTTACAAAAGTTGATAAATAAGTAAGACCAAAACCAACGCAAAAAATTGGTGTAAAATTAATTTGGGTTTCGATATCAATCCTCAATACCTATAACAAATGTTGCCGACGTGAATGCACGGGTATGCCCGTAATACAAAACTTCGACGTCCGCCAACTCTAATAAATCGTTGCAAAAAAAAGTGAACGGATATCGCCATCAAAACCATCGTGGTGACAAAAACAATCAGCGATTAGGGCGAAATTAACCAGTCAAAAACGCTTTGTTGACGATTTTTCAATGTTTTATTTGATTTTCAAAGAGTATCAACCGACAAAAAAATATTTGTTATTCGACTATTCGGTATTCGTTAAAAATATTCGAATTATTCGATTCGAAAAAAAATATTCGATTTTGCCCACCCCTAATCACAACCCGTTGAGAGTTATGACAAGCGGGTCGTCAACGCTCAGGCTGAATTATGAATAGAGATATCAAGTGACCTGTCAGCTCAGCGCTCGGAACGTAGTTTCCATTACACTGCTGATTATCGTATTTTATGCACCATGGGCTCACTATAAACCCCCCCCTTTTCTCAAAAATCGATCGTGCGCCTGATGTAGGGATCAATTAGTGCTTTATTGCATGCAACCAAAACCAATACCGGCATTGCTTTTATAAAAATCGTTCCGTCATATAGCCTGATGCGCCTTACGTGGAATGAAAGCCCAATCTAAGCAATTTGTTGACTTAATACCAACATATGGGCACACACAATAACAAGAAATAAATATTTTCGTAAGTTGGGTATGTTAGTCGTTGATTGGGACAATGACATGAAGCAGTGACATGTAATTGGTTGGGATATAACGGGCCATAGCGTAAAACCACTTAAATGAATATATATATATAAATATATATATATCTGTAGCAAAAACGCATACATGGTCAACTCGGCCATTAATTTTGCGCAGGATTTTTTTTTTTTATAAATTCTTCTTAATCAGTGATGGAAAAAAATGAATGTATATAAGCGTAGTCTATATATTTACGATATAAGCGATGTATAAAAATTAAAAAACGAGAAACATCAGATACCAATTTTTAAGGCTCTGGTTTGACCAGGCCTAGAATTGAATTCGAGCCGTACACTCTTACAAACATGGCGTCTATCCTGTTAAAACCACTGAACTGGAAATACTCTCCGGTGAAAACACGCTCTCTTTTTGAACACGAAATGGACCTCTGGAACTTTTTGTTATTATGTTGTTGGTGTTACTATTCCTCTTGTTATTTTTGGACACGAAATGAAACTATGGATCGATGTTGGTATTCTTCTTTTTCGTTTACGACCGGACAATTGAATTTGAAATTTTTACTGGTTATTGTTGTCGTTAGAAGTGGGGTAATTGTATTAATTATTAAAAATTTCTGTGAGCTGTATGGATTCATTTTTCACTCTGTGTGATGTTCTCATCAAAATTAGAAATTGCGCACCGTGTGACAATCAATTAAAATATAAATTCGACAAATGAAGACGAAAAGAAGACAGGGAAGCACTGGGCTAACTAATCCCATGCCTGACATAGATTGGTAACCGGACGAGGGGCCATGGTACACTATGTGATTGAGATGATTGAGCCGTGTTATCTCTTTTCTTTCCCTGGGATAAATTTATGACCAACCTATGTTTATCTTCATCCGGTTGATAACTCACCATTAGTGGGCGTTCGAGGGCCGCAAAAGTGAAGCTTGTTGTTGGGGACATTTAATTTTGAATGCCAGATTGTGTTTGTTTAGTGGTGCCTGCTGTTTTCATACAGTGATTTAAGGTTTCGAATTGCTATGCTTTCGTATGGGATCCAACAATCTCTTCCTGTTTCTGCCAATTGAATATAGGCAGCCACTATATCTCATTAGTCAAATATTCTTGAGAATCATAAAATGAAGAAACTTTTCAGACGAAAAAAGAAATCAGCATCTGAAGCTGGAAGTGTTGGCAGTGGGCTGTCGGGTTCAGGATACAACATTTCTCCAAAAAAAGACCTAGGAAAGCTACACAAAGCAGCCTATGATGGGGATTTGACTAAATTGAAATCGATGCTCAAACGTGGAGATGTAAACCAACTTGATAAAGAAAATAGGTACGGTAGGTACTATATCAGTATTAGCGGATTTATCATAAACTAGTTAATGTTGGAATGCCTGAATGCTATTAATTGGGATTGTTGAATAGTTAGTAGTTGCTACTAAAATTTTTTTTATTTTTTTGACGTAGAATTTGAAAAATAACCCCCACAATAAAAGACATTAAAAATAACAGTGAGTGCGAACCCCTCTTTTAAGGGACATTCTCGGCTTCTGTATCAGCACTGTGGCAGGTGCAAGCCCGAGTACGCTAGTGCTCCATGAAATGCATGCGAGCGAATCGATTTTGCACTCCGAAATATAACTCACCGTTATATCTGACAGTTTGAGGGGGGGGGGAATGAAACAGCCACAGATAAACATTGCTGACGAGTTCTAGCATCACAAACTGACTTTTCGGCTTCTCAAACACGAGTCTTTTTGTTTTCTGTCGAAATTGTTTATTGCGTTCCGTTTGTGCCAATTAATTGACCTACGCAAACGCATCGCCATTTACACTTTTCATTCACATTTTTTTAAATAGGGCCATTCTGTTAAGAATTCAAGTTTTTACCTGGTTTCGGTAGACTCGCACTTCTCATTATTATTGTTGCATTTTTTTATATAGTTTTGATCTTGTTTTCTATCATTATAAGAATCTTTTAAACCATTTCAAACTGTTCCAGTGAAAATTATGGAACATAGTCATTATTTATTGCAAATGAAAAAATATTTTGACATTCTCAAAAATGCAAACCTTTTGAAATTTGAAAGTAGGTTGTATTGACATTGGATACTCTCCATTGGCATGTTACACAAATACTTCCCATTTTTTTTCTCTATACCTTCTTTAAACTTCATTAAGCAGTTGTACTCTATTTATTATCTCGTTCGGTATACAAATTGTACTTATTTTTCATCAGAACACCTCTACATCTGGCATGTGCAAATGGAAAATTTGAAGCTGTTCGAATGTTATGCGAACATCAAAATATCAATTTAAATTTATGTGACAATGATCGACAGTCAGCGTTAATGAAATGTGTGCAATGTGAACATCAAACTTGTCTGAATATATTACTACAAAAAGGTAAAATTCCTAAACTCATTTTTTAACGAAGATCGGTATTCACAAATTAGGATCCGCAACTTTTTTGGAAGTTATAACATGGATACTTTGCGACAACATGTCAAAGCACAATTTCCGAGCAGACTAACTTGATATGATTTCTAGAATGAGTTTCGACAATTTACTTTAAACTTCCAATCCCAATACAACATACAAGCACACAGGATGGAAATTCAGGAAAGTTGCCGAAATTTCAAGTGATGTTTGGGCATGCCATATAAAGTACTGCTTGGGAATTCTCACCTGGTAATAAAAACATGATAATCTGCTCTCAAATCGAGCTTGTGAACATTATGATAATATATAGCTGTGTCATAATATATGCCCTAACAGAACAGAGAAAATACAAATTTTCCAAGAAAAGTCATAAGTGGGCCCTGACACCTTGCTATTATTCTGCCTTCTTCCTGCAATGTTGATGATTTTAATGGCTGATCATGACAAAGTATTATACTTCAATACATATGTATTTGTGATAAAATACAAATATAGTTTTTCACTAAGGCAGTGTCCTTGTATAGATAGACCAGTTTACATCTAGTCCGTGTTTATGCATGAAATGTACAAAATAAGAGAACCTGTTGATTCTGGTTGACACTAGTGAGGATTTTTTTTTGTGTTTTTTCAACATGTTACTCTCTACCCGTCAGGCAGACATGTGTCAATATAGTAAAAGTAAGATGAAGATTTCAAATTATGAAAATAATGTGTACCAGTGTGAAGCAAGATTTTTGCAGTTATTAAGCTGGAATATTCTCCTACATTTATTGAAATTTAATTAAATTTGAAGCCTGAAAAAATGGTTTATTAGTGGAGTTTTTTTGTTAGTAACCTCCAGTTCCAGTTTGAAGATGTACAAAATTAATGAGATTCAGTGGATGTGTAGTAGGAATAGTATTGAGTAAATTTGAAAAAAAGAGATTGAAATTATGATAAATGTATCTATCAACAATTACGGTAGTTGAAAGTCGATTCTTAGAGGATGTTGTCATGTTGATATTACATGAATCAAAATTATGAAAAATATATGTTCCAGCGTGACGCAAAATTTTTCACTTTTGATACTTTTAAGAATTTGTACATATTTTAATTTGTCTACAAATATTTCTCATGGTCAATGAACAGGTATTTCTGTTAACCATTAATTAGCAAAAATATTTCTGATTTTTTACATATCAATATCAATCAGATAATAACCAATATAAACCATTTATTTTCCAGAGGCTGATGTTTCACTTTGTGACAACAATGGAAACACAGCACTACATGTTGCAGCAAGTATCCCCAACAGTGACATCTGTTATCTTTTGTGTGATTATAAGGCAGACCCAAGAGCAAAAAATAAAGTAAGACTGTCGTACTTTACCGTTGGTATCTATATTGCTCAAGGCAATGTCATAATTGCATAATTGTAGCATTCCTCAATTCTGACTGACTGATTGTGGTCAAAAAGATTTTTTTGACATTTTTTAAATATATTTTTAAGAATTTCTATTGAGATGTTTGGTGAAGTTGTTATACCCTATTACGCCAACACTCACAATTTGTAACAGTAGTCAATTGAAAATTACAAACAGGAATAAACTCTTAAAATTTTAAAGTGGAACTCAATTTAAATCGCTTGTAAGTCTAAGGCTGTTTAAACACTCGACTGACATTCTTCGTTTCGTTTTTTCATTATTTAAATAATTTCATTGATTCACCATTGATCAAACATGAACTGTAGATAATTCAATTTTGGCAAATCATTTTATCTATGATCACTCATGTCCAAGCAGTGTAATCTTACTCTTTAACCAAAATTAATCTATGAATTCTTTTACAGGATGGATCTACCCCTCTTCATATAGCAGCAGGACTTGGTAGTGATGAGATAGTTCGACATATGTTGGAATTAGGAGTCGACGTGAATGATGTTGATGACAATGAGAAGTATGATTTTTTTTTAATTTCTACAGAATATCGCTTCACTTTTGTTAATTTCACAATAAGATTCATTTTTCGTTTGTTAATTTAGTTATCAGTCTTTCGTTTGTACAATTCAAATATATCATACTGTTCACGTAAATGTGTAATGCAGTAATATTAATTAGATCAAGAATATTAGTAATGCCAAGTGGAATTTTCTTGCCAGAAAAATAAATTCTTCCTAATATATATCATTCAAGTTTGATTTTGATTATCATGAGTTGTTGTATATCCCAACTTCCGTGTTTATATTAATCTGAACCATTTGCCAAACTCACTCAAACACTTCACTATTCGTATAATTATGCTAAATATGTATTGAATAGCACTTGACGTAATTATCAAGTAGGTAGACTTAGTAATGAAATTGTCGCCTTCAATTTCAAATGCATATGTAAATTGAAGAAAAAGTCGACAGAGGTACATTTCAACTATTTTATTAGAATTCGGAATATTATACAAGGAAGTAAAAAATTGATACTTTTTATTTTGTCTTTTATTCCATAAATAATGGTCCTGACTTCGATGACTGCAAGTATTATAATATTTGATAACCCAGGTTCTCAGTTTGGCATACGGTAGTTCTCTCCAATTATTACAACCCATCCCAGGATTTGGTACTTCCAATATGAGATTGTTTTATCCAACTACTATTGTCCATAACGAAGGGTCTATATTTGATTGAATTATGAAATCTTCCCTACCAGAATTACACTGACAGAATATCAAATACTATTATTCAAAATAAAGTACTATTTGTAATAGTTTCGTTCCCTAGCAGCGTCCGCTCATACAGAGTCTTGTTTAGAGTAAGAGGCATATTGATATATAGTTTAAATAAATCTTGAGTGTTTATCAAGGCACATAATCCTTATGCAAATTTGAATAAGAATGCTGGGTTCAATCATAATATATTTTGTAAAAATATTTTTTAAATTTTTAAAATCGCCATTTGCCTGAATTTTCTTGATTGATATGAGTTATTTAATCTTCAACAACTGTTCTTATAGGTATTGTTGTCATTGTTGACACAACTAGAAACATTTTTGATTCTATAACATTTGTTCTATTGTATAAAATGACCATAAATCAGCCCACGACGCCTTCAATGCAAACAATAATCTTCATCTACACAATCGCTATGTTATTGAGTGATGAGGATTAACTACAAATGGGCCATTCCAAGCAATTGTTGAATTTTATCAATTTTTTAAAAGTGTAGTGAAAGTAATTGTTTTGTGATTTCATGGCAAAAGATCCTTGACTTTTATTGGACTGCATTCATTTCACCGATGAAGTGAAATTTCACCCGTTTTTTGAATGATTTACAAAACATAGTATCAGAGTTACCAGAATATAGGGTGTAATTTTTAAATTTTATATCACCACTGTGAATTTTCTTCCCTATATGCAATAAGGAACTTATTTTGTTTATTCAAATGATTGTGAACTTAATTAATAATTGAAAAAAAATATTATGAAATTTTCTTGAAAACTGATGGTAATAAAAAAAAATTATGATTTCTATGTAGTTAATTTTTTTTTTTAATGAATAGTTTATTGCAATATTCTATTAATCAACAATGTGATTTTTCATAAGTGAGCTAGCCGGATAGCAATAAATTAGATTCAATAAAGAAATCAATAGATAAAAGGATAATATCAAATGTATCTGCTTATTTATTGAACTGTTTGAGCACCTGCGTATATCCAGCTCTATCCATCTGTAAACGGTATGCAAAAAATCAATAATTAGACACAATTTTTCCATGATTTTCGGGCTATCAAATAATGTCTCAATAATCAGTTATCATTATCAACATACTCATTTATTTATTAACTGTGGCTTAGCAACACCAATAATGATTTTGGTAATTGCACTAAACCAGTGGTCCCCAAATGGCGGGCCAATTATGGCCTGCGCAACAATTTAATATGCCCCGACAAACTTTTGAACACCTCATGTTTGTTTGTGTTTTAGATACCGCCAATTGTTACATCATCATCACAGTTTGGGCTGTGTATATTCATAACAATTAAATTATACTGGTATCTTAATCATATTTACCGGTATTAGGATTACACTTGCAGGCGCTCCTCCCTTCGGCCCATGAATATCGTTCCGCTTCTAATTTTAGACCCGGGTCAATCAACTTTGGGAATCACTGCACTGAACACTTAAGTGAAAAATATGGATTAAGCATCAGAAATCGTGAAGAGTTTGTGAACAAGATTGTTCACTAGCACAATCTCGGTCATGTTATGGTCGTTTATGTGCCTGAAAGTAATTACAGAAAGTAAAAGTTTTTGCTTCCTAAGATTACTCAGAGCTGTTTCATATTTATATTTTGCAGAACAGCACTTATGCATGCTGCTCATAAAGGTCACCTGACAACAGTCAAACTTCTATTGTCAAAAAATGCAAATGCTTCACTTCGTGATATAAGTGGATGGACTGCAGATGACTACGCCAGCATGGACGGATTTCATCCGTAAGCTTTTTTTTCATTGTTTATCTGAAATGTAAAGATGTAATTAAAAATATATAGAAAGTGGAATTGGAATTTGCTCCAAATGAGTTTCAATGAATAGAATGTGAAATTTAGTTAATTTAGGGATCATATTTTGCTACATGTTTGTATTAATCACAATTATTATAGTGAACATTAAGGGAGGTGTCCATAGTTGCTCTGATTGTTGAAGGACATAGGGTTAAAAGATGATTTTCAGATTCATAAACTAGTAAGGGAGGCTAAGGGCATAAATACCTAACGAGAATATCGGTCAGAGAACGAAGACTTATCGATCGAAAGTTAGGGGATCCCCCGAAACAGAAACTGCGGTTTCGATTCAACCGCCCTTACTCCACAGCGACACCGTGTGTTCCATCACTAATTAATTAATAATTCACTAATTATACGACAGAATTCATCCAAAATCTATAGGCTTCTGGTCCGAGATATTATGAATGCACATGCAAAATTTAGAGGAGATTCAACTTCGCTTTCGTGAGATATCGTAACATATGGAAGTGTCTAACAGACAAACACACAAACAGACAAATACCTATCAACATACTTACCGATCTTAAGATCGATAATTAATTAGTGTATTTTAAATATTTGTCATCTTGATTACAAAAGCTTACATACGTATATACAAATGCTAATAACCTAAGATTTTACTTATTGACTGTGTGGATAATAGTAATATACGATCGCCTGAATAATAAAATATTTTGATGTTTGTGTTTCGATATACTAAAGTGATGTAAAAGCAAACAATGGAATTGAATAGATGTTTAATAACAAACACATAATTTCAGGATTTCCCATGTTATTGTTGAACATAACATGAAAAAGGGACAAACATCAACAAAAACAACACCCTCAAGACAGTCAACGATTTCAAGGACGCCACAAACTACTCCTCAAAAACTTGGTATTCAATCTTCTCAGCAATCTATGATGGATATCGGTGGACCAGCTTTGGATGGTGGAGGTACATACATTTTATTTGTCAGTAAACTTTGTTATCAGTATTGCAACATTCTTGTGTCATATATTATGAAATATAACTTATGTACTTGAATATTGATAAGACTTCGTTCCCAGGTGGTATGTTTGTGTACCGGGTATGTGTAGTTCGGGTACTGTTTGTGGGCTTCAGTTCCTTTAGACAACTTGATGTAGGCGATGAAGTAGGCGAACAGAATTAGTTACCTCCATATTGGTACACACACTTCTGGAGCGCTGTGATTTGTAATTTCAAAGTTGTCCTATATTGAAATATTGAACTTTTCCAAGCTTTATTTTACTGTGGGTATGGGATATTGGTATTGAAAAAAAAATATTTCTGTCTTCATCGTCCAGTTGAGGTAATTGTACATATGAAACAGTCATTTTCAGATGTTTCCACATTTGAATTCCTTCAAATGTCTTCATTTAGCTTTTTGTTTACAATTTATGCTCAAAGTAAGGTCACAAACTCTAAAACTGTTTTGTTGTCTAATTTTTCAACAGATTCACAAAGTGACGATTCACAATCTGCAAGCAGATTAACAAATGATAGAGATTCTTGGGCTTCTTCTAATTCTGAAGATGATGAACCTAAATATGCAAAAGTCAAGGTAATCATGTCAATATGAATTCGATTTCCTCTTTTATTCCTATATACGTTGCTGCTGTGCCTTATCTAACTTTGAGTTGAACAAATGTAGTTAAATATTATTAAATTTAAATTCAAGTCGCTTAAAAGTTGTCTCTGGAGAGTCTGAAACCAAAGAATCAACTATTCTGAGTACATAATAATGTTTGAAATTTGGAATGCCAACTATGTTCAAATTTAGTCATATTTAACGAAACATAGATTTCGATGTGGAAATGCAGAAAAGTGAAAATGAACAATGATTTAATTGGCTTGCTATTTTTTGTAATTGTCAGAAATTAAATGAACACCTTCCTAATCATACTCTTAGACTTCAACAACTCATTTTTTATTTCTTCAAATGAACTATTCCAAATTATTCCACAAATCGAGTAAGTGGAATATATTAGGAACGGTCTGGATAATAATTGTTGCAACATGAACAATCGTTTTGTCGAACCTAATATTGCATAAAAAGAATAAATACAGATAATATGAATTCGAAATGAATATAATACTAATATTTTGTGTCACTGAAAAATATTCCAAAAATTTTTAAACCTACAATTTTTTTGCTTCGATTTTCATTTCTCCAGCTGGAATCATATATTTCTGTGTATTAATATACTGTGCATCATAGGTTAAAAATGTATTGTTTGTTACATTAGAAAAAGAAAAGTCCTGAAAAACCGAAAATCAATTTAATGCAACTAATGAAAATGAAAAAGAAGACTCCAACTTCATCCGCAGATGCAACTGCTCCTTCACCTATATCCACCAGTCCATCTCATCAACCAATGCAATCGCCTTCTAAAACTACAACTAATTTATTCTTAACATCTAGTGGTGAGTTGTTTGCCATTTTTTATATAGTTTGATATTGTAGGATTCCATATTTCAGTTGAAAGTAATTTTGAATATTGAATTAATTTTGTCATTAGATCATTATATGAAAAATGAAAAATTCCTTGGATAAAATTGGAAATAAATCATTATTTCCCTCACTGCAAAACGAACAAATTTGAGAAAAAAAATTGAGTAAATAAAAGTTGTTTCAAAGTCCATAGTCTTGGTAATCATAGCTCTATGCTGCCTGAATTTATCTTTCTGATAAACATTTTCTTATCAGCTCGCCAGCAACTTGAACAACAAGAATCAGAAGATAAACAAGATTCTGATATTTTAGAAGAACGAGAGATGAGATCAAGGTAAGCATTTATTGTGACACTACTACCATGAGCACCACTTTCTTCTGTTGGCTAACCCCACTGACTATCTTGCAAATGGGACCTTAGACAAAAAAAGAAAACGATGTTCAAATATATGACCATTAGGTCCAAAACGAAGTACTTTTCGTACCGTACCTTTCGATATCAATGAATTTCCGAGTTTCGTATAGTGTCACGTCAAATTGAAAACAGCCATCACACTGGGTGAATTAAAAACCGTTTTTGCGTGAAAAATAAAAATATAGCGGAATTTTGGATGAAATATCAGATCTCATAGGATTCATGGAAAATACAATCTTTAACCACTGAAAATTAAGCAATTGGTCCATTAGTGAATGAGAAAAGTGATTTCTTTCATAACAACTAGGAAAAAAATACCAACAAGAATAATAACAACAACAATAACGTAATAGCAAAACCTATGCAGTTTCAGGTGTTTTCAAAGTTTAGAAATAAAATCAGTGATTCTCAAAGTGACAGGATCACCCCACAAGTGGCAAAAGGGATACAGTGGGGGCAAAAAAACAGAGAGATGTTGAAGGGTAGATAGCTCATAGTCAGAATTATCTCTTTGTGTCCATCACAACTGTATTCTATGATAAGTGAATTACTTGATATATTAACCCTCTGACTGCTGGGAAGATATTGACCCGCATCCAACACTTCGCTTACTACTGGATTAACTGGAACTGGAACGCCTGAATCAGCTGACCATTATTTCGATAGCTCATAGTCTCTTGGCAGTTTATAATCATAAACATAATAATTCTATTTAAAAGGTTATAAGTTTCCACTTCGTGAACTATTTCCCTGATTTCATTAGGAATACAGTTAAAACTTCACCTAAGAAAGACTCCCAATATGAAAATACCAAGTTACGAAACATATTTTCATAGAAGCATCGCATCGATTAACATAAAATGATTCTAAATACGAAAGGCCGAAAAACAAAATTTAAAAAAAAACACGATGCTAGTTGTTAAAGCGGATGAGCAGTTGTTCGAAAGTGCCGTGCCCGACCCGCTCCGCTGACGCGTATGTGTTAATTTTCGTACATTACGTTCTCTCTCAGTTGCTAACTGTTCGCTACCTCCAACCGTCGTCCTCCCACTCACTGCGGTCTTCGATTAGCCAATGCCAAAGGTAGGGCATTTATAGGGTAAAATTCGTTTAATTGGAGGTGAGGCCTTACTATGTGACTCAATTTTGGGATATGTCAACGATCTATATAAATCATTATGTAAGTCTTGATTGAACATTTCATTCCACAGATATGACAGTAAGTCAGCCAGAGGATTGCCAGTCTCTCCAGACAAACCACCATTACCGAAACCTCGGTCTAGCACATCGCTGGATAAAGTTGACGCCGCACCAATAACAAATGCAAAGAAACTGAATGATAGTGATGGAGATTCACCCTGGGATAGTTCTGATAATGAAGACAGTAGTGAACATGCAATGGAAGATAGAAACATAACTCCCGCAGTAAAAATTACAGATCAAAGGAAGGTGGTCAAACCCGATCCAAGTAAGGAATATATCTAAGAGGAAGGAGTTTTTATTGTGCAACAATTTCATGATATAAAAATGTGCCAAAGTCTAAAAACATAATTTTATAATAAAGTGATACAGTTCACATAAATTGTTATTATATTCTCCATTCATAAAAATCAGGTTTTTATTTAACAAAATTTTTCCCTTTTTCATTTTCTAAATTTGTACTTTTTAGACATTCCTTGTTTTATGCATTTTTGATTACCCGAGTCAAATTTTGGGGTGTGTTGAATATATTTTTACGTTTTTGTTTTAATACAAATGATTATTCATTTTAGTATCAAACCTTGACCCCTAATTTGGATAATTAAATCAGCTGCATTATCATGTACGTTTGCATTAAAATTTCAGATTTTAAGTCAATTGTAGAGAAAGGAATTTTGATTGAGTATTTATTTGACAAATCATATATTTACTTTATTATATATATATTGTGTTTGCAGGTCTTCTCAACGATCTCGGTTTTGACGCAAATGACGTAAAAAATATTTATAATAGTGATGAAGACACAGATATTTCAAGGTCTGAATCTGCAGCTACTGGTTCTCCAGCAAAATCAACAAAACCTAATGTTGCTGCTGTAACGTCACCATCTCACAAAGTTAAAGTTCAGAAAGTAAATGAAGATTCGGATTCTTGGGATGCCAGTAATTCGGAAGAGAAACCATCGCCTGCCAAACAATGTAAGTATTTATGTTAAATATAGATATCAAGATGGATGTCTGAGGAAATTTGACTTTAACAATTTAATGCCTAAATTTACTTTACAAATTTACATTTACAGTTCTTAATTTTTAATGTATTATTGCCCTGTTACAGCGATATACATCGTCATGCCCCAATATTAGTTACAAACAAATTCATTACAAATCAATTAAACAAGTATGCTAATTACATTACATGATGCTTTTCTAATGAGGTAGATAATGATCTTTGACGAATTTTCCAAATATTCGGAGACATTTTGGTCAGGTACAATCAAAAAACAAAACAAGTTTTGCGATAATTCTGACTGTGCGCTATCGACCCTCCATTATCCCTCTGATTTTTTGCCCCATTGTATCTTTTTTTCCCTTGTGGGGTGATCCTGTCCACTTTGAGAAGCACTGATTTCTATTTCTGAACTTTAAAATCACTTAAGACTGCATAAATTTAGAATTCTTATCATTTGATTTATTATAAAAAGAAGATATCAAAAAAGTTGCTATTTATCTGTATATAGATGTATAAAAAGTGAGAGAGAATTTACTATTTTGAATGCATTGTGAACTATTGTTTTGGAAAAAGCAATGATGGAAATTAATATTCAATAATTAAGAATGTTTGAGAGAAACATTTTCGAGCGCTCAAGAAGTATGTGTAACCAATATGGAGGTAACTAATTTTGTTTGGCTATTTTACATTGAGTTGTGTAAAGGGACGAGAGCATATGGGCAGGAGTCGCACTTGGCTAACACAGACAGTCCCCGAATTTGTAAAAGAACTAAAATAAGGGAAATTGGAATAAAATGATTGCCTAACCCTAACCTGGTACACATACTACATGAGTACCCATTTTTGATAACTGGTAATATTCCCTTTTTTTACAGTGTGAGAACTAAAACGAATTTTTTTTTTCATTTATCTCTTATGTTTTGGACACAATCATAATTCACTTTTTCTAATATCAATACAAAATATTTTTTACTATTTCCACAGTGCCTGCTTTCGATTTTATGAAGAAATCAACAGCTTTCAAATTTGATGACGAAACTGATTATGATTCTGATTCTGATATTTTGAAACCAGATGTTAATAAAGGTAATGTCAAATCAAATCAACTAGCAAAAGATAATGAAAATGTTGATGATGACGATGATGATTCCTCATGGAACTCAGACGTAAGTTATTTCTGTATCTAATTTTACCCCAAATTTTTTCCTGTGGAAAGAGCCACCCAGACAAAATTTAACCCTTCACCTAACCTATATATATATAGAGAAGATTTCTTAAAATTGAATATGTGGTAATGGTTACCCCAACTTAGGTCACTTTGAACATATTTTAGAGCAGTGGTTCTCAAACGGTGGGGTGAGCCGGGCGCAGACAATTTTTTGAGCGGGCGTGAGGCTGATTAAAACGAAAAGTATTGGTTCGATTTGATCTTGCCTGCCTTATTTTGGATATTTACATTTCTTTATTTTGGGTATTTACGTTCCATCCACATATTTTCAACGTGTTTTTTGAATGAAACATACTTTCGCTTTTTTATCCGTTATTTGTAGCTTATTGTTAGCTAGTTGAGGTGGAGTTTGACAAATTCTAAAAAGAGGTTGCAACAAAGTAGAGAACCATTGTTCTACCGCGAACATAATTTTTGTACAAAACTTCATAGATTACTAAAACTTCTGGGACAATCATATACAAACATATGTATTAAATAAAATTTCTCCATTTTCCTAGAAGTAGCCTACTTGAGAAATTTATGGATTCTGTTTTGTTTTTTTGGGGTCGCCCGATTCCAGGTTTTAAATATAATTGCCCATATTATACTTGAATATGTGTTTCAGTTTTACATATATATGTGCTGCTGAAAATTCGATAAAATATTACACATCATAAGTTATCTGAATTTTATTATCGCCAATATTAATTTTTCCATTCATTTTCTGTTTCATCGCATCAAAATAATTGAAGTTCAATGATATACAGTAGATATTAAACTGGCTCAATATTCCCAACCGAGTTTTCCTTTGAGCATTTAATTGCTCGACAATGAAAAAGCTGAATGTTGATCAAGTTTATTCAATTTTTATAGCTCTAGTATTTTATAAAAATAATGTCATTTTTTGACAGAATATTGTGAAACGACCAGAGCAAGCTCCAGAAGAACATAGTTATGTTTCATCATCACCTGCAGTATTACAAGATGCTGAGAAAATGGTAAATTTACTGTGAAACTAGACATAACGAAGTTGTATTATAAGGAATGAGGTTCTGTTCTTTTGTTGTCCGCTCGGTGGTGTGGCGCATCATGCTAATCGATAGGGATACGCGCGCCTCTGATTACCATGTGTGGGTTTGCAGGTTTGACTTCTTCTGCCATCAAGTCCATGCTTTCGAAAATAAATGACTGGCCAACTAATTCCATACCCGACCTGGACTGGTAACCGGGCAAGAGGCCGTGGTTCGCTATGCGAGGGATTACAGTACTGTTAGCGCAACATGCACATTCGACGTTCATTTTAGCACAAGAAACGTAAGCAGTTTTGTCGAAAGCACGCGCCACGAGTGCATCTTTCGCAGAAAACGTTGCGTACCGGTAAAGAATTTTAGCCTATTTTGTCACAGCTATTTCTAGACTAATTTTTCATTACTACTTTTAAAACTACAACTCCTAAGGAGGCAAATGATGATTGACGTATTTGATTCATACTTAAATTTCCCAAACACAACCAAAACTAACGAATAGCATTCAAAATCGCAAAAACGGGGTATTGTTTACAACCATGACTGAAAACCTGTCAGGGTGACAACACAAAAGTATCTAAGCGGATGCGAAAAGGCCTATTATTACTTCACTTTTTTGCATCTTGCTGATTGGCCAATGTTACGAAATAAACAAGGAAGTCGATAATCGAGGAAAATTTCCCTTGGAAAAAAATTTGCCATTTTTGTGTGTTATAACGGGCCTAATAAAATGACGCCGTAGGCCGTAGTTTGGTGACCCCTGCTCTAGAGACACTAATATTAGTTCCACCAAGATTGAAACTTTGTTGCTAATAATTCATTTTACAAAAACCCAGGTGTCACCTCAGCATAGATCAGCCTTTCAGTATTCACCAAATAGAAAACCCAGCACTGGTTTTAATTATGGAGCTGCTGATGACAGTAATTCATTCGATAGTGAAGAAGAATCGGAAAGTTCATGGGAGGAGCAAAATCGGTAGGTTTGGGTTTGTGCGAACCACTATTTTGGCTTGAATATAACTTTCTGAGCCTGATAATTTTTATAAAATTTTTATTTATATTAGTAGCTCCTTTTGTACCTTATAAAAATTGATATATTTGGTATAAATTAAAATTTTGTAACTCAGTCTTAAGAAATCACGAGCCCTCAACAATCAAAAAGACTTAGAAAAAGAAAATAAGAAAACTTTAGCTGAGGAAGCTGCAAGAAAAATGGAGGAAAAAAGAAAACGAGATGAAGAGGAAAGGTTACGCAAAGAAGCGGAAGAAAAGCGGATTTTGGATGAAAATAGAAAGCAAGAGGAAATGATAAGACAAAAAGAGGAAGAACATAAAAGAATTATTGAAGAAAAGAAGATACAGGAAGAAAATAGAAGAAAAGAAAAGAAACAACGAGATATAGAAGAATTAGAAAAATTAAACAGAATGAATGAGGAATTGGAGAAAAAAAGTGCTGAATTGAAAAAGAAGATTGAACTCGAAGAGGAATGGAAGAAAGAAGAAGCGAAAAAGTTAGAAACGACAACACCTCAAATGAATGAATCTCTTCGAATTGCATTAGAAAGGTATGTCATAAAATTCAAACAATTCAAAGTACTTTCTATGGTTCATATTAAATTATTGAATAGTGGGTATAAAATTCCTGAAATAAGGATATTGGTCTGATTCATTATTAAGATTTATGAATACTATAATATTTTTAAAATAGGCTTTTGCCAAATATATTGGGACCAAATCAACTGGCATCTAGTTAACCAACAACAGTGCACTAAAAATTTCAGTGTCGGATTGTTGAATGATTCAAATTATTCACAATTTTTATTAAGAGCTAGAAATGATGTAGTTAACCACCACCATGAAATATCAACTTAAATGCAGTTTTGAGGAATCTTGACTCAAAACTATGATACAAGGGTTTCAAATTTTCAATCAAAGTTTTGAATATATATTGAAAGTTATGAAAATTTATGAGCTGAAAATAGACACTAGTTTTTCTGGTAGCGCCTGCTCCAGCTTCATAGCTCTGGCTGGCCAGCCCTGGTTGAATATGATTCAAACTGCAAAATCCATTTGGAATATTTTAAATTGTGTGAATGCATCTGTATACTATTTGCATCACTATATATCTGACACTTGATTTAAACCCAAGTGTTAACAAACTCTTATGTTTCACTTTCAATCATCTGGATTAGTTGTGATTATATTGATGATTAATATACTTTATTGATATTGCTTACTCATAAAATATAATCTTTATATTCAAACTTTCTTTTCCAATCACAGTTTGCAAATATGAGTTGAAATTTTTGCTTTTCATATTTGCCTGTAGTTTAGAGTTAATTTTTTGGAATTTTGAGTTTTTTGAAAGTGATTTGTTTTGTTTTATATGGGTCGAAAAGTAAATTCGGATTCGTTGTTTTTCACAGAGCTGTAGATGTAACAAGTGAATCTGGTGATTCTGAAAGTTATAACAAAGAAGATCAGAAAATAAAAGCAAAACAACCTGCCAAGGTAACTTACATACCAGTAAATGTATTAGATCAGGGATGGGCAATTACTTCTCTGATTGGGCCAGTTACAGATAATAGACTTGGTTACTGGGCTGAAGGATCAAAACTATAACTAAGAAAAAAACAGGTTAATTTACAACAGCTAGGCTAACATTTATACAATAACAAGAAGCACAATGTAACAATGATGGTCATTATGATGTTATTTTCATTGATATTTTCAACATGAATTTATATCCATAAGAAATATAGTCGTAATTTCAGCAGACACAGATGGGCCGGATGAAACACGTTGGTGGGTCGGATTCCGCTAGCCGTAATTTGCCCACCTCTGATTTAGATTGATATATTTTCAGCCTCATAAAGCATGTTCGTGTGTGATAAGTTGTAATAATATCTCATTCCATGAAGTATAATTTTGCATGTGTGTGGTTGTCCAAAATGAAATGGAAATATTCAAATACTTTTGATATTGTTTATATCTGATAAAGCCATATTTGAATAATTTGGAATAGTTTCATCAGAAAAATTGTCATTTTGGACATTTAACATCTGATGGCCATACAAAAAATTTCAAATCAAATTGTCACATAGCCATCTTCCACTCAAGGAATTCAAGATGATTCGCGTGAATTTCATTGTTATTAAACATAGCCCAATTTAGAATATATATTTGACATTCCATGTTCTAAAATATTGTTTGAAAATGTATCCCGAATAGCATTTGATTATGGTATTAATAATAGTACAATGTCACTTAAACATCTTAATGAACAATGAACAAAATCATAGTACAAGATCTTTGGTGGTTATATTTTTTGTAATCAATGCCATTTAAATTTTATCATTCTTGTTGAATTTAAAATTATAAAATGAATAACCTTTTTTAGTCTAAATATCAAAACAGTTTCTGTTTTGATAAATATACAAAAATGAAAAGTTTCAGACAAAATCAAAAATTTTTGTATTAAGAAGTCACTGTTAATATATCATTGTAGATTTAGCGTGTTTTCAACTTTCGACTGATGATAGAACTAACATTTTTTCTGTACCCCATACTCGGCCACGAATGAATTCACAATAATATTTTGATCCGAACTTCTCAGATATTTCAAGTGTTCCAATGATACTTAGATATTGATTTTTTGAAGCAGATTCCTGCCCTGTATGAGTGGTTTAAATGTACGTTTGGAACGGATGTTACCATTCCATTCAGGCTACTGTAAATATACAGGACAGTATCTCAGCTAGTTGACGTTTGTGAAACATATGTTGTGGTATATATAAACATGTAAACTGAGGAATGAAAGAAAGCAGTTTGACGTGAAACATTCAGATTTATTCAACTTATGTGTATTAATCTAGAAAATAAAGTAGTTGGAATTTTAACTTGATATGGTCAGTGGCAAATATTTTTGTTGAATAGACGGGAGGCTCTATATTTTGTGTTAATTACTTTACATTAATTAAGCTCTGATTTAGAATTTAATCTTATTTCAAGTGGGTACTCATTACTACATATAGAACGAAGTCACATTTTGCTATTTGTCAATATATGTGTTATTCAGCTTTTGTTTCTTCACGCTAGAAAACCTATGAAACATATGGGAAATAGTGTTTATTAATGAAGCATTATAATCGTAGGCATATTCAGATTCAGTCAGCCGATGTGTTTGGATGAATGTAATGTATTGAATAGTGTTTAATACTACTATATCTGTATGTATCAATCAATTAATAACAAAGTCGTTAGTACAAAGTCGTATACCTCAGATATACAGGGTTTTTAATCAATTTCAAATTTTTTTGTAAATGCGAAGAAAGTTTAGCGATGCCATTATGTGTTGGCCCCTAAAGGTGTATATTTATTGAAAAAAAACTTGATTTGAGTAAAACAAACCTGGTTAACTTAATATCGAGAATAGTCGTCATAACAAAATTGACATTGTAATGATACTCTATTAACCCCTATTGTATTTATATTGCTCTGCTGTTGGATTTTAGTATTAGATAGTTGATCAGATTAGGCTATATATAGAAGTTGTTTAGGAATGAGACTGGCCGATCCAAATTAATATTTATGTAAATTTTTACATAGCTATATCCTTGATTTTTCCAGCCTGCAAATTAAATAATTTTGAAGATGTAGAATTCTTTTATGAATGAGTCTAAACTTGCCCATATTTAGACTGCTATATATACATCCCCTGTCCCCAAATTTAAATTTTAAATAAGTTGAACGTAGTGAATAAGTCTTTAAACCCTATGATTCTGGAACTCTATTCTCGACTGAATAATACTACAGATTTCGTTAAATTCTGTATCACGTAACGCCGTCATCAACCTATTTTTCTATTCTTAGATGGATTATCTTACTAACTCATCTATTCCTCCACTATCATCTGGTGCGGTGAAGCAACGACAGCAAATATCACCAGGAGATATTATTGGAGCAACCAATCATATAGATTTAGATACATTAACAGAAGAAACTGAAACTGATGATGATTTATCTTTATCAGAGCATCGTCAACCTCCAATAGTGCATACCTCACCACTTTCCGGTAATAAAAATGATTTTTTCAAGCTCTTCTTGTAGTCTATAATTTTGATGTTATTTTTGTAAGATATTCTGTAATCGTTGCGCTAGGCCTAGTGCTTAGATCACATGACATAACTATGATAAAAATCTCTTGTTAAAACTCCATTACGTGTCATCCAATGTGTAATAAATTGGGTGTGCAAAGCCTAATTCAAGTTTTCTTTATAAAAGTGGGTGGAGGGCCACACACGACTGGGCTGTATGTTGTTTAACGGTGTCCCGGTCAAGAGAGGTTCTGGTTATAACGAGACATGTTGAGAGCAAAGACATGAATATGCCGCATAAATATGTAAATCCTCTCTTATCCTGAAGATATCTAAAAAAGCTATATAATGTCCTAAGCTATCTATTGTCTCATTACTATACTGTGACTGTTTGGCTTCTGTTTCGGTATGAATAAACTTGAAAATTTACATTTTAAATCGAGTTTTCAAAGCAAATTGTCTGGTCAAAACATTTACTTCCTAAGAATATGATGTTGCTCTTACAAAAACAAAGCTGGATGTTACCAGATCACTTTGTAAGCTTGGTCTGTCTAAACTTACGTTCCTCGTGACATACAATGTATTAATTGAGTATGTTTCAATAATAAGTTGGCAACAATTAATTTTGTATGTTGACATATTTTCTATTTCTAGTAATTTTCAATTTTATAGCATTCTTTATTTATTCAATATTCGGGAATATAGTATTAGAACAGTTTTCATGATTACTGCCAAATCACTTTTTAAAAAAAATAAACTTGTAATTTTCTTTGCATATACCATGATTTTACTGCATAAAAGATCATTTTAAAATTTTGAATTATAACCTAACTATTTGAAAGCGGATTTTGGATACTCACGACTCACCATTTACTCATGTTTTATTTTTTAGATTCATTGAAATTGGCAGAAGAAAAACAGAATCTGAGTTTACAGTTAGCACGAGAACAAGATGTGGCTGCGTCTACCCAGGATAAACTGGAAAAAATTAAATTTGAAAACAAAGAATTAAAATCCAAAGAAAGAATGTTAACGGAAGAAAAGAAAAACTGGGAATTGGAAAAAGTTGAAATGAACGCAGAGAATCGAAAATTAAAGTAAAATCAATTTTTTTTATTATTGTTTCATTCTGATACCATTCTTGGAGGTTTGAATCAAGTCAATGTTAGAATAACTAATACTACCAAATTGATTATTTCCACCCTTTTTGTTCATGTGCTTCTGACTAAAAAAGATGAAAAAATTTGACTGGAAATATACTGTCATCAGTTATTCTGTTTTGCTAAGCATATATATGCTTGTTCAGAGCCTCGTGTGCATCAAAGATTTTAAAATGTTCTTATTTTATTTCACTTTGTAAAAAATTGCTAATTGCTTTCTAAAATTGCTTCATTTTTATATCTCGTTTCAGTTTTGAAATAAAAAATCTCCAAGAAAATCTTGAAACTTTAAATTGTAAAATGACGCAACAAAATGAAAAATTTAAAAGAATGGAAGAACAGTTACAAGTTGAAAAAGAGGAAAGAAGAGAACAGGAAATAACAGTGAGAGACTTGAGAACGGATTTAAAAACTGCTAAAGCTGCCTCGAAACAGGTGGGCACATTGTAGGGATCTGGGTTGTCCAAAACTATCCAAATATTCTAATATCAAAGTATTAGACTACTTTTCCATCTGAAGGTGAAATGAATAACTTGAAAAAAAAACTGTTGAATTTTAATAGCCAGGTTGGACACCTATTCCATTGTTTATTGTATGCAAATTTCTTCAAACACTAAGAAAAGTTTCTATTACTTGATTTTATTTTAGAATATATTCGATATCTTATATTTGAAAATGATAATTTTGAATGTATTGGAAATAGTGAATTATTCTGTATTGGCCATGCCTGCTAACCATCTATTTTGCGCAACATTTTCCTATTCAACGGTTATTACTTCTTAATTAGCCATTGATATGAACTACTATTGAGAAAGCACTGGAATTTTTCTATTTCTGCTCTGCCTACCGTTAGTAAGAAGTTGGTCATCAGATTCAAAATCAATAGCTATACCGAGTGATGCCTACATAGTTGAAGCTAATTCTCTTACCACTAGGCCATCCATTTTAGGCAAAACCGTGATCTCATTATAAAAAAAATTGCAAATTTCCACTGTGAAAGCACCAGGAGCATATGACCAGAACTGGATGAATTTCAAGGAGAAAATTATTAAAATACTTGAGAAAAGTCTACATAATTCCATACCAAGTTTTACAAACAGACAGTTTCCATAGTTCCTCTGTTTATCTTTCACTAATTCACACGTTTGATTTCCATAGAGAATAATTTTGTGCGTGGATTCTGCTGAACTCCTTGTCATCTTAGGTTGGTTCACGTTCATCAGTTCACGTTCACCCGTGACCAGTAACATCTTCCTCCGCCATCAAGTCTATGCATGTGAAATTGGTAAATGGGTGACCATTTTTATATCAAGCATGGACTGGATCTGTATAATAGGTCATACTTCACCATATTTCTGAGCCGTTCCATTGACTTTCCTTTCCCCAGGAAAATATATATGAAAATCATATCCTAATCATACTTCACTTCACAGACTGAGCTTGATTGTGAAGAATTGAAGAAGAAATTAGCGAGTGAAAAAGAAAGCCGTTCACTTGCACAAACAATGAATCAAGATAGTTTGAAACTAAGTACAACTTTACAAAATGAAGCAAAGAATGACAAGTAAGTACCAGCAATGTTTACATAGCACGTTTACTTTCTGGAATACAAATCATGACATGTTGGTAAGAAAATTTTAGTTATTAACATTTCATTATGACATTGTAAGAAAAGTTGTATAACATATAGTATGCATAACACATTGGTTTCTATGTCCTATGCAAAAAAATCATTATTCCAATAAAATAAAATTAAAATACCTTATATATATATTATTGCAAGCCTAATACTGGCAAAACAAAATGATCATTGTCATTAGTAATAATAGTGGCAATATAGGCTACATATAATAATATTGACTCTCGAATTAAAATGTATCTTTGTGACCCCTGGGCTGTACTAACGAAATTGCTGAGCATATCAATGGTTATAGTTCATAAAAAATGAAATATTCTATCCTGCCAAATATTTTTTAAAAAAATAATTTTGAATTTCTATATGAAATTGCAAAAAATTGTCCTGTGTGTGCAAAAATAAACTAAAATGCGTATATCTTGATATTTACCGATATTTATCATTGAAGCAATTGATAAAGTGGTTTTATTTTGAAATTCTTAGAAGCTAAACAGGGGAAAGCTTTTACTTCATTTTGTAATTTGTTTTGACCAATAGGAAAGTAGAATCACTGGAACAAGTTGTTCACGAGAAAAATCAAGAACTCATTAAAGTGAAAGCAGAACGAGACAGATACGAGGATGCCAGTGCAAGGTATTTAATTAATTTACTCGATCACTATTAGAATGATAATGAAAGAAATTCATAATTTTGTGGTGGTTTGCAACTCTCTCTAAATGGCTTTACACTGCAGTTACTGATATGTAGGTAGCTATAAGAGTTTGGATGTATTACTCTAAACATGGCTCCACATAAGTAGTCACTGATATGTAGCTACATGCGTTTGGATTATTTGGTGTCTTCAAATCGACATATAGTCTACCAAATTTATTACACATAAAATATTTTTAATTTGTTCATGCTTAATAAAAAAATTCAGATGAATTTGTATTTATGTGTTAACTTCTTCATGAAAGAATTTGCTGAAAAGCAGATACATTTAGAATATTCAAAATTTAAATTCATTGTAAAGAGGAGGATATGCTTGCATAAAATCACAAAATGTTGAAGTTAGAAAAAATATAAATAAACATTTTACCTTACAGATATAAAGAGGAATTGGGCAAATTGCGATCACTGGGAGCAGATCAACATGGGGATCTGGCTCAGTTCAATCAAGAACTGAATGAAAAGTATGTCTTGTTCATATAGTTTCATATTTTCTGTGAAGCGTTTTGACTACTTCACACCAAACACGGTAGGCACGCATCGACCAATTCAAGAAAGTTATTATGTTTCAAAAGACTGGAATAATTTCTATTTGCTGTTACTCATCTAATTTATAACAACTTGAAGTGACATGAATTCTAGATCTGTAGCCTACGTCGTCAACCTGGTTAACTCGAACACTTTACCCACTAAGCCCCGACAATAACAAAATGGGGTGGGATAGCTGTTAAATCCTTACGACTTGAATAGTGTTGGCATCTCAGATTACACATCTTCAGTTCAAATCCCACCATCCAGGGTGTAATTCCATTTTTTTTTCAGGAATAGAAGCTTCTCACAGGGGTTCTTATGTATTGTTAGATATCCATGGATGTTTATTTGGCCTTGTTTGGAGTGAAAAGCATAAGTGACATATGAAAACTGGTGCTACCGTATTGTGTGTACCAGGTCAGGGTTAGGCCATAATTTTATTTCGATTGTCCTTTGTGTTGAAGATGTTTAATGATTTTTGTTGCAGATTGGATGAGAAAGAAGAAGAGTTGAGAGAAAGTGAGGAAGCTCTGCAATTAACTGCATTACAATCTGTTCAATTTAAACAAGAATATGAGAAATGTGCTCAGCAACTTGCAGAGTGAGTTACAGTTTAGGGGAAAAAAAAATTTATGTTGTAAGGTTTTTCCAGAGGACTGCCCAGAGTCTTTAATTAGAAAAATGAAAATTATAAAAATGGAACAAAACCGAATAGCCACCCGGGCTGTCACACTGCAGTAACATATTGCCTTTGATTGCTTCGCGCTGACCAGCTGTTCAATCACAAGTCTAGAAATATAGCGTCTAGCTTCGCTGCGCACAAAAAGGGATTTTGCTCCATGTCTTGTCTTACCACTCATTTTTGTCGTGAAATGTTAATTTCTGTGTACTTCGGGTACCGTACAGGGCTAGGCTGGCAAGGCTGATATAAATTTACATTTGGCGCATGGAGAGTGTTATCTTTAATTTATTATGTTATTTCAAAAAGATAGTTTTAAATTTGTTATTGCAATGAATTCACCACTTTGTTCTAATAATTATAAATCTATTTTGCATAATTTAGAGAGAGAAGGGAAAAAGAAAATGCTTATAAAGATTTGAATCTTTTAAACAATCAACAAGAACAATTGAAAAAAGATCTCAATGATTCACGATCATTGTTACTACGAGAACAAGAAAGAACGAGAAAACTTGAAGATTCGAATGAAAAAATAAGAGATAAAGAAGCTAATCTTCAGGTGATTTTTAAGGTTCATATTCCACACCCACCAAATCATCCGGAGTGTAAAAAAATGGATAGGTAACGTTGAACCAGAAATTTTCACTCTTTCAAAAACAAGGTTGCTTTTCAGGAATTGATAGGGACAAACCATATACATTCCAACCTTCTGGAATTTGTTCAAAAACACTTTCTAATGAGTGGCTTGTTATTTATGATATAGCGAACTGAAAAAAAAAAAAAAACGCTCTTTTTTTCTCAAGAAAATCGTCATTTTTGACAAAGTTTGTTTTCAAATACTGATACAGAATTCAATTAATTACTTCAAACACTTTTCATTCCGTTTATAGAAAAGTTTTATTCTTTTGTTTGAAATTTCATATCTTAAAACGCTTTCAGAATGAGTAGGTCCATATTCAGTTTTGTCCATCCCTCGGCACTTAATACTTCAAATATTCTACTTATGAATATATTTCTTTTTCGCTTTTGTTTACGAAACATGTAATTATTTCTGATAATTTCAGAGCTGGTTCACTCATTAATACGGTACTGTATTTTTTCAGTCAAGTCTTCTTACCGCTGAAAGCAAAGCAAGTCGCCTTGAAAACGAGTTACAGATTGCGCAATCCTCCAACAAACAACGAGTAGAAGATACAGCAAAATGGGAAAATGAATGTGAAAAATTGCGAGAATCAGTAAAAGAAAATGAAAAGAATTCATTGAAGTTAGAAAGAGAAAATGCAGAACAATCAGGAAAAATTGAAGCTTTAAAGGTAAAGTATAGTATTATGGTTTGTGGAGATTCAATCAGTGAATGATACTAATGTTTTTCAATTGCCTCAAAAACGGTTTACAACTGACAAATCTTGTCAATTTGTCGCTGAAATTTGTGCCGATTTATCCTTGTTCATATGACTGTATTGTTATATGTGACTGTTATATACAGTTTCAATGAAGAAATGTGGTTTCTCAAACTTTCATGATTCATGGGCCAAGCATTCGGAGTACTAAAATATACGGGTTCGGCCATCCCTGGTTTAAGCACTCGAATGTAACAAAAGTAATTCATGTAACTTTTTAATATAATCATACAAGGGTTAAAAAAATGAGATTAGGTATTTGTCAACTTGTTTAAATTTTAAAAATTCTAGTTGGAATTACATCAGAGAGAAAGCGAATGTATGCAAATGAGACAAGAGAGAGAGGATTTAAGAAGTAGAAACACAATGACTACTACTGAACAACAAGAAAAATTTAATTCTAAATTAGCAGGTATGTATATTCTGTTACGTCATAAAAATACCTTCTTCCTATTGTCTGTTCTTTTATATATACTCTTATGAGGTATAAGTAAAATAATTGCTAGTTATATGATGAAATCAAACAGCATTGAAAGAAGATATTGGCTTATTATGTAAAATTATTGTGGTACTTCAACCTACGAGGCATGGGATTTAATGTTTAAAAAGGACTCAGCATATCCACAAACAACTCGTAGCTTCTCAAATTTCTATCCATCTCTCGTAATAAAAAAAAATATATTTATAAGTGAAATTATATGTTATATTAGATGCTTTTTTCGATTCATATCATATTTTTATAAGTGGCAAGATGATGAGTGTTATATTTCCAGATGCTCCCGAACCATTTGTTAAATTTTAGCCTTAGGTGGTAAATTATTTTCGCCGCTGATTTATTTTGTTCTTTGGGCAAAGTTTGTACTCTCCAGGTTTAGCTTTTACCAGTTTTATTAAGCAAAGTCTCAATGAAAGTTGGTTATAGAAACGAATAAATTCTAAATTCTGTGTCATTTAAAATTAAGATTATTTCTAGCTAGTTAGATTTTTCAAAATTTAGCTTGGGATGGTTGTTTACGTCATTGATTTAGGTAACGACTGTAACATAGCTTTATCATTCACATTAGGCAGATCGAAACCTGTGGGTGATAATAAGGTTGGTTGGGACTCGTTACTGTCATTTGGGGGGAAGGTTGGGGACTCACTCTCATAGGGGGGTTGATATAATCGCTGGTTAGTTATGGCCTTCTCCTCTCCACCATCAAGCATCTGAAACAAATAAGTGGTTAAGTAATCCCATGTCCGGCATGGACACTTGGCCAGACAAGAGACAGCAATATTCCATATGATTGAGTCATCTTATTGGCTTTTCTCATTCTGGGAAAATTATGAAAATTCGATGTGAAATTTGTATCTATGAGTATTAGTAATTACCTGAGATTTTCTTTTCTTCAACATCAGATGTTCATTTATTATTGGAAAAACAGATGAGTGAGATATTATCTAGTGATTTTACCAATGTTTCGTCACAATCACGTATGATCCACTGTTCTGATTGGTTTGATTCTTGCTTGATCAATGTATATTTATAAGTGTATTACAACAAAATGCAAGTTAAATTAAACGAGTGTTGTCACAATTTTTTTCACAATAACGAAATTTTGTCATGTATATTTTTGTCAGTGTGGAACTGGTTGTCTGTATAGTTTATAATTGTTCAAGTTAAATAAAAAAGTGATCGTGATCGTATTGCGATAACACCTTATTTGTTGTGAGAAATTCAGATCAGATACCATATATTCGCTTTGCTGTCATGGTTAAATTTAACGCTTTGATCACTAGTATATAATGTAAATATAAAAAATTCTCAAGAGAATCTGCTTAAAGCAAGGTCATGTTCTCATACTCAGAAGTAAGTAAAGTGAACTCAAATCTGAGCAAAGTTAAAGGTGACCACTAAAATGCCAAGAGTTATTAGAATAATAATTATTTAGAATAATGGTTATTCTAGTACATGTCAATTGAAACGAGAATTGAAGTCAAGTAATAATAGATATACAGCTACAAGATGGTGAAGTCCTTGGAAAAAACTCTTGTCACAAATTGATGACAAATTCAGATGCATTGTTGATTGACTGCATTATTGACTTTCATGGTGTCTAATGCAATTATCAAATTTTTGTTGCATTTGATTTCTTGTGCTACACAATGTGTGTTCGTAATTTGTGGTTGTTTAAATGGGCACTGTATAAAAAAATTGATGTTACACAGAAATATTAAAAGTATTTACTGAAGCGAGTTCCAAATGTAATAGGATCCTAATAGGTATCGTATATCCTCGCATATAAACCAAGTTTAAAATTCAAAAAGAAAAAGTCGCTAAACTAAGGGCTTATATGCGCATAACTCTGATTGCACTCAAAATTTGACTTATATGCACATGACTCTGATCGCACTAAAGGGTCGGCTTTTCGTGCATAATTCTGATCGCACTCAAACGAAATGATTAATTAACAGCTACAACTTGTTCTCATGATCAGAGCATGCATATGTTAGGGCCGTTTTTAGGAGATTGGCTTATATTCGAATTCGGCTTACGAAGTATAATAGGATATACATGTTATGGTATTTTGAAATTTCAATCCAAGAATTTTGAGCTTGCGTTATCTGAACTAACAAAATACATAATTACGGCCTCATTGATTATTATCAGAGATTATTGAAGTCAAATCTCTATATCAATTATTTCTATTATGTTTTTAGCGTTACAAAGAGATCATGAAAATGAAAGAGTTGCATTTGAGACTCGTAATGTTCAACTAACTCAACAAATTGAACATTGGAAATCGGAAGCCGACAGAATAGAAAGGGAAAAAGCTTTCAAGGTGGAATAGACATTTATTATGTATTTTTTGTGATTTGATATCTCAATACCAGAAGTAAAGAGAACTGTAATATATATAGTAGAAACTAAACTTATCTAGAAATTAGTTCGTTTTGTAAGTTGTAACTTTCGTAAGTAGACACACATTTTTACATTCACATGAGTGGGAGGAGGCGGCAAACGGTTGACAGCGGAAAGAGAACATAATGTACGAAAATGAACATACACACTAAATTCAAAACACACACAGTAAATTCAAATTTTAAAGCTCAGCCGTGCCACTTTCAAACCAAGCTGCCTATTCTCTTAAACATCCAGCAGCATGTTTTTTAAATTTTCGTTATTCGTAGCAAATTATTCCACGAAGATATGTTTTGAACTTGGAAATTTCGTATTCGGGGTCTTTCGTTAGTGGAGATTCTACTGTACTGTACAAAAGCTATTTCCATGAATTAAATATCATTAAATTTTATTTTGAGTGTATAACAGGTAGGTATATACTGTTACAGTCGGAGACAATGGACTACTATTACATAAAATTTCAAACTCATTTAATGATGCTCATCCAATATTTTTTAATTTATTAAAATCTTACGTTGGCTACTCTAATTATTAGAGCTTTATCATTAACACTTCGAAATTATCTTAAAACTATTTTGTAATATGTATGAAAAACAGTGTAAAAACATGGTTTCTCGAATAGGGATCTTGTCTCCACATAATAAATTGACTGTCATTTTTTTAATTCTCTGACTGTTATATATTTATTCTTTTTCAATCGTTTTTTGGCCTTTTTATCCAGATTGAATAGCTGGCTGTCGCTGGTTGTTTAATATGTTTGTGAGCAATAACTTAATTATCTATTTGTTTTAAGGACGAGGAGTTAGCCCAGGCGCAACAAGATCGAATCGAAGTACATAAAAAGCTGGGATACGCCGATGCATTCTCAAAATCTGCTTCTAAAGAACAAAAACAATTGATGGAAGATAATACTAAATTTAAACAAGAGAATATCAAATTACAAGTTAGTTTTCTTTAATAAATTGGTGCTTCTATTTTCTGTCATTAATCTATGACGCTTCGCACAAAAAGTCTGTTATATGTAGAATACGTTTCAAATGAACTGGTTTCTGTTTTTTTCTTGAGTCACCCTGTACTAATAAAATGATATCATGTTTATGGTTGGGGTATTATTGTTTTCTCTTACTATTAATATTAAAATCAATATAGTATATAAAAAATCAATTGAAGATCAAGTCAATTAATTTGTTAATTGATTATAATTGTTTTTTTTCGTCAATCCTATTCAAGGGGCTGATTCTTTGACCTTCTTCTGTGTAATTGTTTGAGAAGATGAAATAGATACTTATTTTAATTTTAAATACTCTTTTTTTCAGTCTCAAGTCTCTCTATTTGAGCAAAAATTAGAAGAAAAATGCGCCACAATATCGGAATTACAAAAAGATGTCGATAAATTTTATCAAACGTCAGCAAATGCAAACCGACAGATTGATTCTCTAAGTGAAAGTCAAAGATTAGTCGAAACGAATCGAGCAAAGCTTGAACAACAATTAAAAGACATTGAGCTGGAAAACATCAGGTATTTATTACCATATTGTTAACAGCCTTTTATTAAATTTAATTAATACCAAAATTTTTTACCTCAATTGATATTTCAATGGCAAAGTATGTTACCTTTTGAATCGAATGGACAATTTATAACCAACGAAGGTTAATAAACAAAATATATGATATCAGCACATATGTCGTTTGCAGTTGGCAGGTCATATTTTTTATTTCGTGTATTCGAAGCTTTTCAATATTTAAAACATAATATGCTAATTTAGTTTGTACCGCCATTTTTTGTCTTATTGTGGACCTGATAGCCTGCTGGTTGGAAAGCATTTGACATCTTGGTGCTGCAGCTTTTTCAATATATGTCGCTAACACTTGACTTTTGCTTTGAACGATGCTCGGTATATAACGCTATTTTTGGAAAAACCGAAATCTTTTTTGTTCAACATTGCCCAATGCCTACCCAATTAATTACATCCTGGGTAAATTGATGATCATGGGATTTGAACCCGAGATGTGCCAACACAGTCGATAAGTCTAATGCCCAAATCACTAGGACAGGGTGGTCCAAGGCTGTCCACTTCGCGAGCCACAAAATTATTTTTGCATTGTTCGCGGGCCACAATAGTGCCAATATTAGGTTAACAGTACAATACAAAACGAACACTTTTATTGTGCATACCTACACAATGATCATTACTTGTCATTTATCGTGCTAAAACAAGTTAGAACCACCGGAAAACTTGATGATGCCCTTATTGTTAGCACATTTTTCCGACCAAAAAGATAGAAAATCAGTTAACAATTTAGATTTGCCAAGCACATCATTCAACTTCAATAGTCATAACACTAGTGAATTCAGTAACATTAGTGATGTAACAATATGTCAAAAGATTTTTCTGGTTATTTTTACGACAAAACAACATCAAATGTTTTTTTTATTACCCTTCAGAATGTGCGACGCGGGCCACAGATATTGAGGCTACGGGCCACATGTGGCTCGCGGGCCTGGGTTTGGACCACCCTGCACTAGGACATCTTGCCCATAAGTTAAAGTTCATTGCCTACCACCTCACCTTGTATAAAGTCGAGTAGGCACCGTCGAATGGAAGTTTACAATCCAATTTAATGAATATTACAGGTTGAAATCAGAATTAGATTCAGCGAATTCGTGGAAAGATAGATTACAAGAAGGACGAGAGGAAGAAGCCCATGCTAAAGTTATGTTGGAAGAAAAATTATCCAGACTGGAGTGCGATAAAGTTCTCGTCGAAGAAAAAATGGCGGCTGAATTAGCTAATGCAAAGTAATTGAGAGTAAAATCTACTTATTTAGCTTGAAAATAGGGATTGCCAAATTCCAATTTGCTCTTTTGAATACATGTCGAAAGCTTCCTTCAACCCGAAAGGGACGAAAATTGAAAAAGGGTTTTGAGGAAATGAGAATACACTGATTTTTGAACTTCTCAAACTTTTGATTAAAATACTTCGGTGAATATGGCTTCGAACTTTGATCAGAAAACCAGCTTAAAAAGCATCTTTTTTTTTTTCCAAAAATTTTTTTTTGAACTTCCTATGTTTGCTATTTTCTCCCTTCCAGGATGTTACAATCGGAAGCGGAAGGTCACCGAAGCATGTGGGAAGCGGAGGTCAAATCAAGGTCAAAGTTGGAAGTTGAATTATCGAAAGCGAATAAAGATGTTGATGGCGAGAGAACGAAATCGGAAACATTGAAAAATAAACTTACTCGTGCATTGGAAGATAGAAAAACATATAAAACAAAATATGATCAAATGAAAAGAGATAAATTGGAAGCAGAAAGGCGAGCTGAATCTTACAGGTTAGATGAAAACGTATTTTTATGAATTTATTATAAAAAGCTTACTTATCCATTTTTGCCCTGGACAAGGCCCTTCACAAGCAGCCACTGATATCCAATGTTAGGGCTGGGCATTTCGAATCGAATAGTAATTTATTCAAAACAGTTTGGACTGGAATTTTGAATCGCCAATTTATTATACCTCTAGGGGTAAAGGGGTTGGGCATTTTAACCAGAGATTTCAACCCGCAATACCCTCATAGTTAAAGTCTATCACTTCCACCATCAGGCCACCACACCCATATATTTCAAATCAATTTCTTGAAAACGATGTCTTGTTTACATGCAAAACAAAGTTAATTTGTGATTATTTGTCACTTATTGTTCACATTAGCAGTCAACCATATCTGATGCTATTGTAAAGGCATTTCTATATCGTTTTTACACAACGAACTGACCCATTTCAATTGCTTTGTAAATTGAGTATCGCCGTTCATGATAGAAGCAGATGACTAGTCAATAGGTATGATAGCTGTTCAGCTGGAATATTATGGCTCAATGCAAATTGATTTGTGTTTTATTATTATTGTTATAGTTAAATTTGTGAGGTTATTTATTGATGAGTATAAGATATTAGTCTTTTTTTAATTTCACAATTGGAATGCTTTAAAAACGAATCATCCTTGATTTTGGGGAATTTTGTTTGGGGTATCTGCGATTCTTATTTCATGAGAGCATTATGAGGCATACCTGTATTAGAATAGTAAACCTTGCCTGAATATTAAAATGGAAAAGATTGTCAGCTCAGAATAAAAATGTGAGGTCATGTGACCCAGCTTTCCAAGCATACCTATTAATGTATAATGTGTCATCATAATTCTATATAGTTTGAGTTGGTCTTACCACTTCAGTGGTCAAGTGACGTGTTTCTCCAAAAATAAGACGAAGCCTTATTTCAATTTTCTTTCAAAAAAGAACATTAGGGCTTATTTTGGGGGGATGTCTTTTATTTTCACTTATCAAAAACAAAACAAAATAACGAGATTTTCAAACATACATACAGATCAATCGGTACTCCTGTAGTATGTGAACCAAGATGGCGGACACCGGAACGTAGTATGTGAACCAGGTTAGGGTTAGGCCATAATTTCAGGTACGAATACTACAGGCGTCACTTGACTAGGCCCCAAACCCGTAATGGAACTAAAATAAGGAAAATTGAGATAAAATTATGGCCTAACCCCAACCTGGTACACATACTATGTTCTGGTGTCCACCATCTTGGTGCACATACTACGGGAGCGTCGGATAATCATTTAAAACGTGTAGGACAGATTTCTTGTCATCGACTTAGAACTCAGAAAGCAGTGTCTTCCAATCTGAGTGAGTGTGAGAGTAAATTTTATTTCTTCTCTCTAATTCATGTTTACGAATCATGGTCCATTCAATTTTTCTACATATTTGAAATATGAATTTTAATAATGCTACTCAAGGTCGGCCATGCATGATGCTGGTCGAAAAGTTTCCGACTTGGAATCTGATTGTGAAAGTCAAATCTCATCAATGGATGAACAACATAATTCTGAAAGAAGTAAACTTGAAGCAACCATTGCTAAACTCAGGGAACAGGTTGCTGATTTGGCAATGCAAATGAGAGAAAAGAAAAAGCCTTACTTTCCTGAAGGGCCCACAGAAAATACTCATCGGTGGGTTTCAGCCAATTTGAGATTGTATTGTTATAGTAGCGTAAATGGTGAACTTTTATTTACCTCACTTGTTTTCTGTGTGTCGTCCATAATGAATTGAATATTCATTGATATGCTAAAAATTAGTTTTTTTAGATGCCGTAGGTAAATTCTTTATCTTAAGATATTTTCATTTGACAATTCATTATTTTTGAATAAATAATATTTAAGTCTCATCAAAAATAAATTAAGATTACTTGGATAAATAAATCAATTAAAACAATATTTCTTTACTAATGTCTATCTTTATAGTTTATTAATTCATACAAATTATCCTTCCAATACGATCCATTCGATTGTATTCAAAATGTTGAATTAGACGGTTTTGCAGCATCACAGCATTTCATAAAAATAAAACTGTTTAAAAATGAAAAAATAGAAATATGTTATATGTTATTTTTTGAGCCCAAAAAGTAGAGGTCACAGACGGTGTGGGATATACTTTCTATTTCAACATGACTTGCTCTATTGCATGTTTTCTCGCTGAGTAGAGAGATTTTAGATGTTTAGTGTAGTTCAGCAATGATTTTAAGAATTCGAGAGAAGTTTCAAATCCATATCATTCCACAATACATGACTTATTTGTTGGTGTTGGTTTCATTAAACAAAATTAACATTTAACAAAAATATATACAGCTGTGTTTATTTTTGTTTTCTTTTTTTATCTTTACCAATTCTGTTTTTTTAATTTAATCTACTTCCAAATCATATAGATTAGTTTCTACAAGCATATGTCAAAATAACTGTTATATCGTTTGCCTGCTGATTAAGGTGTAATATTGTACCGATGGTATAACTATCGATTATGATCGTGAAATTGCTGTTTATTCCATGTTATTGTCTCTGTATGTGCTTCTTTCACTTTTTGTACAGTGTTCGATTCTAATACATAACTAGATGAATGCAAATGATGAAAATAGAAATAGATAAAATAGTTTTAGGTATTTGTAAATTGATCGATATGTTTTTTTGTTTCAATTTATCATTGGATAACAATTATTGGAATCTTTGCAGTTTTACACATCTGTCACTCTGAACAAGGATTTGTACTATTTTCTATCATAATGATATACAGAAGTCAAACTTCACTTATTGGATTAGCACTTTGATTATAGATTTCTTTATAAAGCAGTGTTCTTAAATTATCAATTGCATGTTTAGTTTCAACAAAAAATCATTTTAGTTATGATTTTTTTCACAATGCCTTTAGTCTATTATTAACTGATATCAATTAATTTTATAGTGGGTGATGTTATACTAATGTTCTATTTTCGTATTCAAAAAATTGTGTAATAGTCAGTTGCATTTTAATGTGATTTTGATTAGAAACAACTATATTCATTTTTCAGTAATTTACTATCTCCTACAGCTGAAAAAAATTTCGATTCAGCATTGCCCACCAAATTTATTACACCTCTGGTGAGGTAGGTGGTGGGTATGGGAATATAACCCAACATATGTAATCTGCTAAAAAACACAATTGAGTCTGATGCTTTAACCACATGCCATCGTGCCCGCGTGAGAGCTAACAAATTGTCTGTGAAAATCATAACTATACTTTTTTCTCCAGATCTGATGAGACAAAAAGAGTTCAATTTGAGAACGAAAAATTGAAAGAAGAATTGAGAAGATTACGATCACATGTTGAATCAAGTTATGTTGACAAATCAGAATTAGAAGCTGCAAGACAAGAAGAAAGAATAAAAGCACAAGCAGCTCTTGCACCTACTCTTGATCAAGTTAATTCCTATCTCAAGGTAAAATACTGCAAGGTTGTAATCCATATTGTCGTTAAGAGGGCCATGTTGGGTGCTAACTGTCAATTTGATTGGCTTTATATTTAGTCCACAGTTGGATTGCACAGTATTATATACTGAATCAGGATGACCCGAAAAAAACAGAATCCAGGTCATTTGGGACATATGTTAACAAGGACTTTTGTGCAAAGCGTGCTAGATTACTGAAACTTTTGGGTAAAATCATACACAAACAGAAGTTCAAGTGTGAAATAAATTTTCTTCATTTTTTCTAGAAGTAATTTAGAAATGTGAGGGGTTCTGTTTGTTTGAGTCACAAGGTGCTCCGGAAGTGTATGTACCAATATGGAAGTAACTAATTTTGTTCGCCTCTTTTACATCTAGTTCTGTAAAGGGACTGAAACGTATGGGCAGGAGGTATATTCACTTGGCTAACACAGACAGTCTCCGAATTCATAATAGAACGAAAACAAGGAAAATCGGAATAAAATTATGGCCTAACCTGATACATACACTACGGAAGTACCCAACATTAACAATATTTTAAATGTGTGATAATTGAAATGTTATATGAACTACAGTTGCGGTTTTTCATATCCTTGCTTAATGAAGAAAAAATGGTTGAAAATTTGTTTTTGTGACGTTTCTAGGACCGACAAATGGCACAAGATATGGTTGACAATTTGAGACTGAAAAATGAAGAACATCGTTTCATGCAAGCAGCAATGAAAATAACTTCGCTTGAGGAAGAACTCGCTTCATTGAAAAGAAAAGGCGATGATTTCACCAGCAGGAGGATTCATGAAAAGGAAGCTGAATTATCGCAATTATATGATAGCGCAAAAAGACAAAACGATGTTCTTCAACAGCAACTGTCAAGGTAAATATAATTAGTGTTTTATGGTGGTTCGGGAGATTATAATTTAGGTTAATACTTTGTAACTTTTATAACAGTGTATTTACTGTCCGGAAAATTCGTCGGAGGAAATCTCGCTGCAGGAATTTTCGCCGCATGAAAAATTGCTGCAGTAGCATTTTGCTGTAGAAAAAGCATTTGTGATAAAAACAGTTAGGTTTATAGGGTTAGAGTATGCTCCTAAATAAGGAATCTTTTTTAAATAAAAAGGTTAAAAGGTAACTCAAAAATCCAACTGTTTTTATCATAAATACTTTTTTTTTCATCAAAATGCTTTTGGGGCTATTTTTCCGAGAACCTGTATTCACATGCCTGTGCTCCAAACAAGTCTCTGCACTAGCAGTCAATGCTAGATAAGGAGCTACTTTCATTGGAAAGATCGTAATCTTTTCAGTTCGGCATTGCCTACCCAATCAATTACATCCCGTGGGTGAGGTGGTGCGCATGGAATTGTAACATGTGACGCCATCATAGTTTGTCTAACACTTTAACAACTAAAACAACGAGCCGACGAAGTTTGCACTGTTACAACAAAAACATGCATAACTTAAACATGAGTTGAAATTTTAATATAGTTTATCAGGGTGTACAGCAGGATCTTATCTAACATTATTATATGCGCGACACTTTTGAAACCATGAAAAGATTGAACCATAGTCATGCATCAGTGACTGGTTGCATGCAATCAGGCTTAGAGCTAATTCGAGTTTCGAAGTGTGAAATGAAGTTTGAGACATCAAAAAACTTAATAATTGATGCTCAGATTTAAAAACATTATAGAGATACAATGTGGATTATGGGACTCATCTTTGGGTAGGAAAAAAAATCCCAAAATCTCAAATGACTGAATTCTGAATAAAAACAAATTTGATCCAATTAAACGGACTTTATGTGAATTTCAGGGCGAATAACAAAGCAGAAGAATACAAAGCAAATTGGATAAAGGAGAGGAAAAAATTTCAAAGCTTTTTTTCCAGCACTTTGGGAGGAAGTATTATACCGTCTCAGGTCGATACAAACCAGTTTTCAACCAGTAATGGGTTTCCTAGTTTTTCACAATCCAGACCAAATCTATCTGCCACCCCTCCCATGGGGGGAGCATTTTCATCAACTCCAAAAAAGGATCCATCTGCACCACTTTTAAATCAAGTAAGATTCAATTTAACCGTTTAACTCACGTTGAATATAATATCATCAGGATAAGTATGCATTCCAGGAGTGAACTAAACTGTTTTTGATGGGTCGAATGGGAGAAAAGGGGGGACACTTTTGACGATGGTGCTGAGATCTTTAGTATAATAGTCATAGGATTTATGTTTATCACAGGGAGGAAAGTTGATGGCCGACCAGCGGTTACGTCAACCAATGGCGAGGAGTCCAGCAAACCTTTTGCACATAATTATCCCTACATGGGATTTGAACCTGCAAACCAAGCAAGTTTGATCAGAGGTGTGGTGGTGAGTGGTGAGTGTTTTCCTAACGCTTAGCACGATGCGCCACATTGCCGAGCCTGTAAGAGACTAGTCTTTAAGATAAATAACCCTAATAAGTAATAACAAGTAATCGAAGACAGTATTTATTTACATAGCTGCTTTCTCACATTCATAAGTTTGTTTTTTATGAGACGTATACATCATTTCTCTGAACAAGGCACTGGACAATCTGCTACTGTTAGCTAAGGAGCTATAATATTTTGGAAGAGCCGTTTGCAGTTCAGCATTGCCTACCCAGTTTATTACACCCTAGATGAGGTGGTTGGCATGAGATTTGACCCTTGAACCCAAGATTCCATTGATTGCCATGTCATCATAGTTATGTAGGCCTGTAACGCTTAACTACCAATATTTTATGCGAGGACCAGGGTTAGTCTATGGGAAAAATTCAACATTCTGTACTAAACAACTTTTATCATCAATTCTTTTTATTTTTAGCTGAGGACCAAACTTGATGCCAGCATAGCTCAACACCTTGTAGGTACACGAGGAGATGCCCCAATGTTTCATTCGACCCCACTTGCAAATGGACACATATCCCCTCGGAGTAGTTTAGGAACTCCGAGATCTGACGGATCATCTCGTAATCACGGTGATGATATCCAAGGAACATCGGGGCACAAATCAACTAATGAATATATGTCATTTTTACTGACGTGATTTCTTGAATTTATCCATTACTTGTTGAATTATTAGAACAAATATAAGGTGTGCATTTTATGCCAGTTAAATTTTGACATTTTGCGAAAGTTACGTTTGAAATTTCATGATGCTTGCGCTATTGTCCTTCAAAAAATAACACAGTATTCTTTGTGTCACTAAGTCCTATTTCCACTGCAGTATTTTTAGTCATGGAATCCTTGTTTAGTACCAAGATAATTTTCATATTAGTAGTTTAGTTATAGTTGCCTCTGTTGAACAAAAGCCATGCACAGGTATGTTCTTCAGATTATCATTTGCCAAATTCTTTCTATACTCGTTTGATTTGCGATTCCTTTTTTTTTCATTGAATTATACTCGAGGTATATATATATTAACCTCACTTGAGCTTTTAGCCATTGGCGTTATGGACTAATTATAACACTAGAAAAGTGTTGTCTGCTAAATTCCTTGCCTCTGATGGCATTATTTCATTTAAATTTAGTTTGTTTTATATACCTAGTTATGATATTACACTTTGGCCATGGCATTTAATAATAATATATTATTTTTGTTTTTAAACCAAGTTACTTGAATGTCCGTGTTACTCTTTTTACACAGCGTTTTATTTAAATTTTTATTTATTTTTTTACTATTTTATATGTAAAGCTAATTTTTCCTTTGTTGATAAATTGAATATTTGTTATACTTGTTATTACTATGTTCCTCCCGCCATATCATTCCAGCATTCTAGTACGCTGCATAGAAATATTATAGGCTGGTATGTGCACATAGATGGGTATGTGATTTCATATGTGCATTCTATCAATTAACACATGCCATAAGTGAAATATGAACCTCCTATGTACTTGAGCTTTTTTTTTTATCTGACATTGTATTTTTCTGTATCCGCTTTTGCTAAAACCTGTTTCAATAGCATTAAATTAATAATATCAGGTGTTTTCCTGATGACAGCATCATTTTTGTATCAGCTTTTGCACCAACATGAAATTATCTTGCCATACTAGCTCTAATTCAACCTACACTGTTGAAAAATCCTGATTCAAAACTTTTTGGCCAATTCCAAAATACTCATTTGTAATTCAAATCAATTTCTACGTGTATAATTTACTTTGTTACTTCAACATGAATTGAAATCTGAATTTTTTTCACAAAAAATAACACTACTATTTTTGTTATAGGTGCTATTCATAGAATCTGCATGTGTTTTGTTTACATTGCTATTATTAATATTCGTTTTTGTTTGTTGATCCTTTTGTTTTTTAATTTTATTTACGAAAAAAAAATACCTCGCAAAATACGACTAGTATTTAATAATACTCTACAGCTTGATACAGGGTCCAATAAGTTCATTTGTGGTAATTGAATATTACGAATGCCATTTCTCAACTTCATCGGGAATCTGAAAAAATCAGTGAAACAAAATTTCGCCGTAATAACGGTTATTGTCCCAGTTTTCTAATTTGCATCACCAACGAGGGCGTGCATATAAGCAAATTTGGCAATTAATCTAGGGTTACCATATTTGAAAAAGCAAAATTCCGGACAGTGCATGGGTATTTTCATGAGACCATATATATGCGCTACCGACATGCTAAGGTTGCAAACGTTGTACGATACTCAAGCTAAAGCTCTCATGCTAACGTTGTAAGATACTCATGCTAAAGCGCCAGCTACCGAAATGAAAAGTATTGTCTTCAGTCACGAGCACAATCTCACACCAGACGGATAAGCACTCTCTGAATATAGCTACGGACCGTCACTGAAAAAAAATCTCAACTTCAGAGTGAAAAATAATAATGAGAATTAGGTTGTGCCGAAAGAGAAGAACAGCAATTACATGCTCAAAACAATTTGAAGACACGCTTGTAAGTCAAGTCACTGCAAATTTACTCTTCTGCATATTTTCCACTATTGGTGCAATTTCTTGTGACAAAATGTAGGATTAAGTATAATCTAAGACCTAAGTGGTTAATATAATTTATAAGGAAAACGCTCTGTTACATCCATACAGTTCCATACAACCTCGTAGTAAAAATATGTACACGATACAAAATAACAATGTTCTGTATCAGCAGTGTGCACAGTACAATTGCAGATGAAGTAAAATTTCGGACATTTGGGCATTTTTTCAAATTCTTCCCGGACGCAAAATTTAACCCCAAATTTCGGACATGTCCGGAATTTTCCGGACGGTATGGCAACCCTAAATTAATCACCAACGCAAAGTACAAGTGTAAGTAAAACCAACATACCAAGAAGTATTACGATTCGCGTATTTGAGAGGTAAAAGTTTGCAAATCTTCGAACAGCGACACAAATGCCTACGAGACGGACTAGAATTAAAAAACGTATAATATCACAAATAATAACGACGTGTAAATGAAAATCACAATTGGCACAAATATGGTGTACAAAGTGCCGAACACGATTGGAAAAATTCTACAAATGCTTCATTGGATTTAGGTACCAATCATTGAATGAAAAAAACGTGTTTTTCAAGTAAAGAATCCTATTATTTACACGTGAATAAACTATACCGGTACTTGTTTGAGCATTTTTTCAAGCCCGAATTACCGACCGAGTGCTAAAAATCGACTGGTCGTAGAACTCTGAATTGCTGGACTGCGTCGAACTTTGTTTTGCAAAATGGAAGGTTAAAATGCGCTTTGCTCTGCCGTCTATCGATATTGCTTGGTGCAACGCATGAGTGCGTGCACGAAATTTGACTAAGGAAGTCTATATACATTTGTTGTGGCGCTATGTTGTTCAGATATCGTTCGTCGAAGCTATGTAACATTTCCAGTAACGCTGAACAAATTTTAATTCTATTCCTCGACAACCCGTGTTATTAGGCACTAGCACAGACTTTATGCTGGAGGAGTGTGCAGGCTCAAGTTAAGAATTAGTAGATGTTTGTGTTTGGCTTTAGCTGCTCTGGCATAGCATAAAATCGATACTAAAATGAGACATTGGAGTGTTTGTTTGCACAATCCTAGCATTTGTCATTTTAGTCCTTGATAATCCACTAACACAATGTGATGTTTAAGCACCTAATTGTAAGCCGTAGGCGATTCTGTTGTCGCGTATTTGTATATCGATTTTAGCCAACGGAGAATTGTTTAGCCTAAGTCTGATTTCTTTGGGATTGAGGCCAGAAGACCAAGTAAATTTATTTCAAAAATGGTAGAGCATGCGGTCCAAGTCTGCGAGATTGCAACAGATTTGCGTCAAAATATGAAAAATAAATAGGCAACAAAATGTTCAGTTTTGTGATTAGTTTTGACTTATATATATTGTATTTGTAGAAAGGCGCCCTGTGGTTGAGAAGAATTCCACTCAGTAGATCGTAGCCCTCATTTTTTATGTTGGGGCAGTGGAGGTATAAGAACGACGAATTCGAAAACCCAAATAATGTAAAAAAAATTAACACTATTCAGTTTTATATGACTTCGCATTATATCTGTCATTTTAGTGTTGTATTAGAATTAAAATAAATTCATCATCTCAAAATGAAACACCGCCTTCTTGTATGGGGTGCAACACAAATAGTACAAGTATGTCGCTCGAAGGAAAGCATGGTTATCGGTGAGGACATGAAAAACGTTGCAACGTTAGACAAAAACGAAAATGTAGCTGACGGATGGAGTCTTGTCGTTAGCAGGTAAGTGGTTGTTATAAGGTAGTATATATATGTGTATGTCGATGTAGTTTTTAAATATATATATATATATGAAGACTACATTGACGTACCAGTACTTTTTCTTAGTGAACTATAGCCATGGCTTTGTGCTTAATGTACCTATGGATATTTAACAATGAGACTATAACCGATTTAACCTCTCGAAAACTTGGAGACCTTACATTGTCTTTAGGGAAGGAGTTATAAGTGACATCGACAATGATTCCGCTATTCAACTGAAGTACGGATTCGGCCATAAATTAGGTCCAAGAGCTGAAGATGTTTTTGATCAGATAATTGACGCCAGAGACTGTTGTGTGTTGCCAGGTTTAGTAGATGGTCATACACATCCAGTTTGGGCCGGGGATCGTGTTCATGAATTTGCAATGAAATTAGACGGCGCAACGTATATGGACGTACATAAGGTGGGTATATATGTACTACTTCATTCTCAAGAGTATTGTTTCAATATAAGTTAAAATGCTGAAATCAAATCCCGTGAATAAACACGTGATCAAAACACACCATTGTTCAATGTTGGGAGGCATGAATCAACTTTTATCATAGGATCTAATAAAAATGACTCGGACGCGTATTCGATTAACCGTTCAACCGAATAACTGGGTTTAAGTACTTTTACCCAATACTGATTTCGATCGTGGCAGCGTAGAAAACACATACAATATGTAAATCTTTGACAGGCTGGCGGAGGTATCAATTTTACAGTTCGACATACTTGCGATGCGACAGAAGACGGACTTTACAATTCGTTCAAAAAACGTTTGCGTAGGTAACACCTAATTTCAAATATTTTATTCTTGTGTGCCGTAGGATTTTATTCTTAAACTGCCCGTAGGAACAAATTTCAAATATATATATCGTTGGCGCATGGTTTAGCCATGGGGAAACCATACAAAATGTGATAAAATACTTTCTGAGATTATCATAAAAGTCCAATTATAAAGCTGATCAAGTAATAATTGCACAAAACTGTAATGTTAAGTTGACTTTAAATGATGAAAGTTATTTCGAAATTAGATGAAAAAGGTTTCATCCATTGTTTATTTCAATAATTAGTTAATAGAGTTTAGATTTCAGTTCCTTCTATGCAAAAAACGTCACAATATTTATATGCTGATTTGCAGAATGTTGCAATCTGGTACGACATTAGTGGAATGCAAGAGTGGGTATGGTTTGAATTTACGAACAGAAATGAAAATGTTAAGAGTTATTGACAGAGCCCAAAGAGATCCTGATATTCCTATCCAGATTTCAAGTACATATTGTGGAGCTCACTCTATTCCAAGGTAGAACTCATTTGACCTAACATAAATTAATTTGAAATTTTAATATTATGATGATCGTGTCATGTACAAAAATTTTATACATTATTTCGCTCAAAGTCATAGATGACGAATGCGCGCATGTTGATGAGGAAAAGCCCAACGGTGTGATTCAGGGGATTCGTTCTAATTGAATTCGCTCTAATTGAATGATCGCAAGTCTAACTTGTGGACACTTAGACTTGCTGCCTTGAGCAATGTAGTGCACAAAGTTCACAACTACGTTGTGGAACGCTATTGACGGACATTGCAGGCACTATCGTATTAATTAGTGAAATATTACAAATGTGCACTTTCAAAATATATATATACGTTTATATTGCTTCTGTCAAGATTTAATTTTAATATTTTAAAAATAATAAAGTGGCTCAACGGCAGAACAAGCGGTACACGATGTCATAAACGTACAGATCCCTGCCATAAAGAAAGAAATGTTGGAAGGAAACTTGACTGTTGATAATATTGATGTTTTCTGTGAGAAAGGAGTCTTTGATGTCGACCAATCTCGACGAATTTTAAAAGCTGGAATCGAAGCAGGATTGCTCGTGAATTTCCATGGTGATGAACTCAATCCAGTGAAAGCAGCTGAGGTGAGATTTTTAATGATTCATTTTTTTCTAGTTGTTCATATCGGATACGGGAAAATTCGCCGCAGGAAATTTCGCCGTAGGAAATCTCGCCGCTGAAACGATATCCCTAATACACAGTAACTGCGATGAGGCTTACGAATCAGCCGCAGTATCATTAAACAGTAAACACCCATGCTTATTGGAACGAAATTTTTTGCAGCAATAGCTGTGTGATGACATGTTTCAATATTAAAGCGTTTCAAATTCATATACCAGATGGGAGCGGAGCTGGGAGCGCATGCAATTAGTCATTTGGAAGAAATTTCAGACGAAGGAATACGAGCCATGGCACTAGTAAAGTCAGTAGCTGTTCTGCTACCAACTACTGCTTATATATTACGGTACGGTAACCTTTATTCAAATCAATAAATATACCTACGCAAGTATGCTCCAGAAATGAGAAAATTTTATATTTTATGTTCAACAGACTTCCTCAACCACCAGCACGAAAGATGATTGATGGTGGAGTGCCTGTCGCTCTTGGATCGGATTTCAATCCAAATGCTTTTTGCATGAGCATGGTATTTGTTGTAATTATTATATGCTTATGCAGCCTATTTGTAAGGCTGAAGTGACATTTACAGATATTCGATTTACAGCCTCTGGTTATGCACCTAGCCTGTGTTAACTTCCGCATGTCTATGACGGAAGCTCTTCATGCTGCAACCATAAATGCTGCCGCCTCTCTCGGAAAATCGTCCTCTCATGGGTCATTAGAAGTAGGTAAAAGAGGGGACCTGCTTGTTTTGAAAGCTCCGAGGTAAGTTGCAACATACATTTGCTTTTTTTCTTTCACGTAACCTCTTTTTGATACTTTTTCTAGATGGGAGCATTTAATTTATCAATTTGGAGAAGTAGGACATATTCTTATGTATGTTGTTTGCAACGGAAAGATTGTTCACGAGGGACTCACTGATTGACATATATATTTCTGTTTAACACTGTGTATAATGAATAATATAAGGTTACAGGATGAAAACTTGTGTCGCCCCTATTCTTTGTGTACCAGTTGGAGAAACACGAGATTCCATCAGATCTCACATTTTATGTCACGTCAGAACTTGGTAGTATGCGTTTTCATACCATGAATGGGTCATTATGATTTGATTCCAAAATCACAACTGATTTGAATGTTCATAGTTACAGGGGCGAGGTATAGTCTAGAAAATAAGTGGTCCTCGTGGATTTGCTACTGGTATTAGCATATTCTCTCAGTTGAAACGCAGTCAAACCCTAATTTTTCATCGATCTTATGTATATATAACACTGACAGCATCCGTCGCATATCCGTTTTGAGCAGATAAGAAAGATACCATAAAGCGTTACGTTCCATTATCTTCACGTGTGAAGTTGATAATTATCATTCAATAATGAGGTACTAAAATGCTTCGTTGTAACTATATTTTTGACTAGTTTTAAATCGTGGTTTTATGTTGACCTGCTCGAGTACTTATCTATTGCAATGAAGTCCGAATGAGGTATCTAATCGCGAGCGGTGCAATTTGAGTTCAATAATGCAGAGACAAGAGCGGACGGAGGCGTATATACTAAACGATTTTTGTTTGATGGGCAAATAAGTGAGCCATTTGTAAATATGAGTCGCTCAGAAACGCTGGTGGCTTGTCATATCAGGTGTGCGGGAACGACGTTATTATATTACAATTAGCAACCAAAATCTACATCTAGCTGGCTTGGGTTGGTTCAATAGGTTTTTGTAACATCCCACAGTACGGCGATATACGTATGCTGGTATATTCTGCTAGCGGGCCGTTGCATAAAGGTATTCGTTCGATAACAGAGAAAGCAATGTCTGTATGCTGCTTGCAAGATGATATATATATTCTCGGAATAAATAACCTTGCAATAGGATAAATTAGGCTGAAGTATCTGCAATCTGATAGTCTTTGGGGACAATGGGTAAAAATAATGAATAGTGGATGGTGTTGCTAGCTTAAACGCCAGAAAGTGTTGACAAAGCTACAACATGAGAACATGCAGTAAAGTTTTAAAAAGTAAGCAAAAAAATCATGTGCTAATTTGAGTAAATATTTTCTTAGTCTCGTAGTCAAGGCCATGGAGTAGAGGAAGGGTTTTATCCACTTACGAAACATTTAAAAGTCGACCATGGATGAAAAATATAGTAAACAGTTCGGCCATTATTGACTTATAAATGCCATGACCGAATAAATCAAATAACACGTAAGAAATTTTTTTACAGAGCACTGGTATATACTATAATACATTGTGATAATGATTGGGGAGGGAAGACTGCCGTGTGTTTTTTTCATCACAATCTCGCTGTTAGCACTTGGGAATGCTGAGCCAACTGTTGAGAATCATCATAAACTTCTACTGCTTTCAATCGACGCTTTAAGGTATAGATAAATTTAGCAAGCAATACAGTAAATTTGGTAAGTAGAAACTGTCAAATTCAAGTTCAATATTGACAAAAACTTAAAACATAATTTCCCACAATTACATTCTTCAGTGTTTTTAAAAAATATTCTAAGGTCACGTTATCCCAAGTTTTCATCAATACAAATGTGTGTGTTATTTTAACAATACAGCTGAACCGTTTTGTGAAATATATACCGGTATTTCAAGTTGTAAATATATATTTTAATAAAGTTATTCAGTTTCATACCGACTGTGTATAAACGAATTTGATTATATTATAGAATATATGTGTTATAGGTGGGATTATTTCGACCACATTAAAGACATGCCAGGCTTCAAATATCTTCGCGAAAATGGGATAAGAGCAGAGTATGTGAAGCCAGCGTTTCCATCCCATACATCTCCGACACATACAACAATGGCTACAGGTTAGGTATAAGCGGATCATTCTAATACCAAGTAATTGAATCATGTTAGACTGTGTTTACTACATGCGGAAGTAATTTGCATCGTAGTTGAATTTATTAGTTTAGAAAGTTTTTCTTTTGCCAAAGAGAACTTATGGTTACAGCACGTAATGTATGTCAGATAACCATCTAATTCACCATTATAAACATTCGTTTGTTAATGCATACTTAGCCTGGATTGACAGGTGTACCCGAGTATGGATTCAAGATGAACTGGTGTCGCAATCATTAGAATCAAACGATGCCATGTTTAAATATTTAAAATCATATAACACTTAAATATTCAACTAAGGACTCTATTCCGAAAGTCATGGCATCGTTCATAACTGTTTCTATGATCTGGAAAAAAATACAACTGGCCAAACTGATTTTCATGGAGGACTTGCAATTAACGATTGGTGGGACAACGGACAAGAACCAATTTGGATTACAGCCTCTTCTCAAGTGAATGAGCTTACATTTAAAATTTCGGTGCTCCTGAAGTATGCGCACCAAGATGTCGCATAACCTGAATCTTTACCTGGTACACAACCTGAGTTCAGGTTGTGCGCTATCTTGGTGCGCATACTTCAGGAGGTCCGAAATTTCTTATAGCTTATTCAACTAAGTTACATTCTTTGTTGAAGTGGTAAGGGTACTGGAGTGACATTTTTAAATTGTGACTTTTTGGCTTTAGGTTAGAATTAAAATATGTATCACGGAGGTTTTTATCATATTTTATTCTCTAGATAGATACAAAAGATTGAGTATAAATATTGTCTTTACTTGTTCATTATTCCACAAGGGATTGAAAAGTGGCGGTTATCTGTACCCGGGTAGCAATGCTACAATTGGCGGGAGAAGTGCCACAAGATCCATTCTTCAGAAAAAGACGACGAAATTTGACGAAACGATATGGCGAGAACGAATAGATGACGTCATGAAATGGTTCACTGGAGATGACTTCGATTTCGTCGCTTTATACTTTGAGCAGGTTATAAAATTTCTAATATATACTCTACTATGAAAATAAGGGTTTCCAGCACCAAGGTCAATTTTATTAACCTTTATTTTAGCCTGATGCATTCGGTCACAAATTCGGTCCTGACTCAGATGAAGTTGTAAAGATGATCTTGCCTGCTATTGATAGAACGTTACAGCATCTTTTCAAGCAAGTCCAGAACTACGGCCTCACAGAAAGTTTGAACATGATCGTTGCAAGGTATTTGTGTCGAACAACAAATAGTGTTTTTGTTTGTTACATGAACTAGATTCGCGCTAGACATTATTAAATTAATTCATTTGCAGTGATCATGGAATGACAAATATTAAGCTGGACATACCGGATGATGAAGTTATTGTTATTTCAAAATATATTGAACCAAGTTGGGTAACATTTCAATTTGGTTACGGACCTTTGGGACTTGTTGAGCCGGTAACAGAACATAAAACGAATGTTTATGAAGCATTGAAGGGTATGGAAAGACAATCTTCATATATTTAACCCGGACTATACGTTGAAATTAATTAATGACATGTGATTCGGATCTTAATTATTGATATACCGGAAATATTGTGAGATCTTTACGCGTATTGCCAATATTTCAACTATCGGTCATATTAAGTTCGATTTTTTTTTATTGTTAAGTCGAACGTTTTTGTACTTCGGTGTCAAACGAAATTCAGATATCTCTAAAAAACAGGACTTAGAGTCGAAAATATTCGACTAAAACGAGCAAAGGTGAAGTGTTTATCATTATGTTACTGGTTTTGCTGAAAATATTCGGACCACTATAAATGTGATTACATAAACCGATAACAACATGTCTGTGGTTTACGTGATAGAACTAGAACGCTAAATTCTGTTTGTTTTTCTCAGCTGCCAACACTCACATGGACGTTTATTATAAAGAAGATATTCCAGAGAGATTTCATTACAAAAACAATCCTCGTGTACCTTCTATCTTTATTTTAGCCCATCCAGGACACCGTGTTTATGATGTAAGTATTTGTTGCAAACTAATGAAATCTCAATAATATCCTGGGCGGCCTTAAAATGATCTATTTTCCAGAAATTTCCAGAGTCTCACGCCTATAAAGGAGATCATGGCTACGATAATGACCTGGAGAAGATGAGAGCATCCTACTATAGCATAGGACCGTCGTTCAAAGTAAGCAGCAATATGTTTTCTATAAGCAGAGTGATGATCCTAAATGAAGTAGCATTTACAAAGTTTAGAAATATCAATTTTGATATCATTTGGTTGGAACATTTATTACCTTCCAATCGAGTGTAGCGAGATAGCAACGAATGAATGTACATGTTATTCCAAGTATTTCCCACTAAACATTGCTACCTCACCAGTAAATCAGAAATAATCTTCGGAATCTTCATATTCCACAGGATACTATTATCATATGAGAAAATTGGTACTCCCGAAATATGTGAACCACGATGGCGGACACTGGAACGTAGTATGTATACCAGGTTAGGGTTAGGCAATAATTTCAGGTACAAATTCTACGGGAGCCACTTGGCTAGTCCCCGAGCTCGCGATAGAACTAAAATAAGGTAAATTTTAAGAAGATAAAGGCCTTACCCTAACCTGGTACACAGACTACGTTCCGGTGCCCGCCATCTTGGTTCACATACTTCGGGAGTACCAGAAAATTATCAGACTGCTTGCCACCACATGGTGGTTCACTTGTTCCCCGCTTCCACCATTTTAAACTTCTGGTATGATTAAAATGCTCAATTGTTATTATACCCAATCTAAACAGGTAGCCAAAAGACAAGTCTTAATTTACCACTGGAGCACATTACTCCGCCGGGATAAATGATGAAGATTAAAGATTTTTCTGGAAAAAAAAATGATTTGATCTCAATCAAAACTCAGAACGCCCAATCTTAAGTAATCACTGTAAAGCATCTCATTTCATTGTAAGCTGTTTCGTTTCACGTACCCAAGCAAAAACATGTTTTTATAAATCCGTTGACATTATTATAATCTTACCATACATTTATTAAACAGAAAGGAATAACGGTCGAAGGATTTGAATCAGTCAACATATATCCTCTCATGTGCCATCTTCTTGGTTTGGAACCTGCACCAAACAATGGTTCGCTTGATGTTTTGTTTACTACTTTGAGAGAGGTCGAAAATGAATCCGAAAACGAACAAACAATGTATTTTATACTTTCTACTACGTCTTTTGGGCTCGTTCTTACTTTTTTCGTAAGAAAAATGTCTTAGTAATGAAGTTAACAAAATTATTTGCAGGAAAAACCAGTGACACTTTTATCATGTAGTTACTACATGATAAAAGTGCCACTGGTTTTTTATTCAAATAATAATTGTACATTGATCATCATTTTATATGTAAATAATAGTATATAAGAATAATCAATAGGGTGTCCGCAAGGATGGGCGCATATAATATTAGAAATTTTAGCATGCAATTAAAACTAATATATATTATTTTCATAAATGCTTTCCCATAATTAGCATGAACTCGATGTAATAAATTTACATTGTCGTCAATTTTGTTATATATATTCACTTTTTATTCGTTGAATCAAAGTCATTAAATGGAAATGGAAATTGTTTAGCATTGCGTGGGTATAGAGACAAACATCTAAAAAGGAAAATAAAAACCTACCAACAAGGATTAATGTTTTTCAGCCTATAACTCCAAGCGGTGGCAATCATATTTTGTTATTGTATGCTTTGGTATAAAAATATTTTACTGATAACTCATTATTCATTTGTCACTACGCACAACAAAATATTTCACCTGGGTGTATCTTGACCCATCACGGGCTCTTCGTGATTCAATTGCAACGAAACGTTACCAAAAATGAATGGTCAAATATATATATTTTACAATGGAGACTTCAATGGATAGCTTACTCTTGTGGATATATACAGCTAGATACAGATTACAGCGCCAACGTGTAGGTGGTTCAATTTTAAATATTCTTCCGGAAGCCTATACCAACTTTAATGTAGCGTCCATGCTTGATAACGCGTGTAACTGTATTTGAATAATGAGTAACTTCATACGGCATATACGGTTATATAGATAGACGAACACCGCCACACTTAATTTTGAAAGAATTCCATGTAGAGTGATGCCAAGTGCATCAACTAATTTGCGCTCACAATAATGGCATGCATTTCAAAGCTTTGTAAATATTATTCTGCCTCTATGTTTGATCTCATGATTCTGCCTGGGACTGATCTCAGAGCAAAGTTACGGACGACTGCTAAAATGTCAACAGCTGCTCAGACTACAATGAATCACAGGGCAGAATTGCTCGTTAGTAAATACAGATTGACGCGAGACCCAATACGATGACGACAACAGCTATGAGATAATAAATTACACATAAGTTAGCTAAGTTCTTGGAAATAAATACTGGGCATTGAAATTATAGCCAAAATCATTTTCAATTATAAATTTCATCTGCTGCTAATAGAAAATCTTCGATTCGAGTATTTGGCGTGTAGGCCGTAGCGCTGATATATAAGGGTTTCACATGCAAATTCCTGAAATATCAAATACAATTTAAACTAATTTAGCTGTTCAAAACAGCACCATTGCATACATTAAATAAATACATAAGTACATTAGAAATTGAAAACAAATATCGAAACACTTGATTCTAGAAAATGTAAAATAAACATTTTTAATCAAGTTTTCATCTTGGCTGACTACTATTTCCAAAAAAGAATATGACAAATATTACATCAAATTGAGTAATCCTACTAAAATCTTTGATAAACCACGCCAACAAGTAACACTGTCAATCTCATCGGTGTTAAAACTGTGGAGGAAGGTATCAGGCAGTGAAAAGAATTCGAAGTCCGAACAATAAGAAAGACATGATGCGTGACATGAGTAATCAGATTGAAAAATATCATGAACATTTCTACATCACTTCCGGGTTGACTGCCTCACGACTACTAGCCGATCAGATAAATATCTTGTGCAGTGGTAAGTATTAAGCAACGAGAATATGAACTGCAATCTACATAAAAGAGTCAAGTGATAGATTTTCGTTATCTTTGTCGCGAGTTTGTAAAATTAATTAAATGCGCGTAGGAAAGTAAAATGTATTTTGATCGGAAGTCCAGTTGTCTAACGTCTATCGAACCTAATCAGTGTTAGCAGCAAGACAAGCGTTAGGTCCAACGCTTATTTCGCGCAATGACAATGTGAAACTGGTACTACTGCTGTACTGTAACGCGAGGTCTATCCCACAATATCATGAAATCCTACTGAAGCTTGTGCTAATGCGTGCGGTTTACATGTTAAATTCAGACGCATTCCACTAATCATCGCAATCATTACTAATCACGTATTTGTTTTTATCTAAACAGCAGTCTAGTATTGGTGGCACTTTGTAGGCCATCAGAACTGAAACTGAAGCAAGAGTTTCCGTGAAACCTTTTAAAGGTGTAGGAAAATGAGGGCTGTCACGCATAGAACGTGTGGAATTTTGAACAGGCAATCCTGAACTTAAGATAGAAGATTTGATAGATCTTTTGTACAGGTTGTCTCGCTTGTCACGACAGAGCAAATGTATTTTAGCATGTGGCGGTCAATGTTCAGTTTATTTCCGTCGGGGAATATGGAAGCATCATCTTTAAGGTGATTCCGGTAGGCAATATTGCTTCAATGTGAATTTGATATCTGGAATACTCAGTTGCCATTAATCAACCATTATCGTCATTGATGAATTCACAAAACAAAACAGCGTTTTTATCCTTCTGTTGAAGGTGATTTTTCTATCCTGCATGCTTAGTGTAGCCTACTTGTGGAGTTGAAGGAATCTAAAATGTATGCTGAATTTGAACTGATGTTTGTTTTTCAGTTTTCATTAGTTATGTACTTGGTTTAGGTTTTTTCTCTATTGAATTTTCATTTATGTGAAGATGGCAAAAGAAGGTGTCACTAAATGCGAAGGTAAGCGTTATAATTATTACAAAAGTAAGCGTCGCACGTTGTTGAAATATCGTCCAAAATTACTGTCGCAACAAAATCATTTCCAACATTAATTGGTGCAACAAAATCATTGCATCAGGATTCAAAAATTGCTATGTTAAGCATACATTTGTTAGAATAGGCCGCGTAACAACATAGTAAGCTTATTAGCAAAGCTCACATATTAATGATCTTTGATAACCGAATTATCATGCTAAAGCAGAATTGATCAATCAGACGTGATTTAGTTTTATAATAAACTTTTAAACGGTTATGTTTTTGGTTTGCATACGTCATTAGCGTGCTGTGACACTGCATTTTTACATACGGTATTTTGTATTAACAATATTTCGAGAACCTTCGGCTTGCTAGCAATCCACCTAGGAATAAGAGCAGTGATACGGATTGTTTTTCTAATTGCAAGATCATTAAAATTATGTATCGCACGTGGATTGAGATCAATTAATAATAATAACAAATGTAACAAGGTTGGGATAATATCCATGAATGTCCCGAAAGAAATCGTTCTTTTACTTATTCCAGCTCAAATACTTTTTATCAAGTCCATGCTTCCGAAAACAAATAACTAGTTAATCCCATACCCGACATGGAATGGTAACCGGACGAGAGGCTATGGTTCACCATATGGTTAATCCGTCATATCGGCTTTCCTCTCCCCCAGGATAAATATGTAAATCCTAATCATAACGAGAATACCATTAATTGGACAAGACTTCGAAACATGGCCTGTGAAAATTCACGCGCCTTTGACAGCTGGTACATGACAATATAAATTCTTGTATTATTTGTTTCAGTTCTTTCCTTTATCCTGAGCGGAATTCTCATTATCGGAGGAATAGCTTTGCTGGTATCTCGTTTCCCACAGAAGTTTGCAGGATGGCAGATTCAAGATAAGCTCATCATTTCTCCGAATTCGTCAATAGTAAATGCTTGGGAGAATCCTGAAGTCCCGTGTTACATGAAATTCTACGTCTATAATGTTACCAACAAAGAAGAATTCATGAACGGTGAAAAACCTATTTTGGAAGAACATGGCCCTTACACTTACCGCATGGTATCGCCTCGTTTTGATATAAAATTTTATGTGAACGATACAGTGTCTTTTCGAAGTAACCATACGTTATATTTCGAACCCGGCATGTCGAATGGCTCCGAAGATGACGTACTATTCCATATTAATCTTCCAATAGTGAAAGTAAGCGAGTCGGTACAGTCATCATCCATATCTCCGCTTTTGAGGCAATTCAAAGTTCCTGACAAACTCGTAAAGCTCGTAGGAAAAGAAGACCTCATAGTAGCACACACGGTGAAGGAGATCATCTTTGGTTACGACGAGCCAATGATGAAATTGGCCAGTAATATATTAGCCTGGTTCGGTAAAGATCTCGACCCTACTTTCGGTCCTTTTCATGAATTTAACAACACTGACGACGGACTATTCTTAGTGGGTACAGGTAGAAAAAACTTCTCCACTTTCAACGTGATTGACCGATGGAACGGGAAAAAATTGCTTTCGTATTGGACGACCAAATATGCAAACATGATAAATGGAACAGACGGTTCATTTTTACGACCAAATGTTAAACGGAACCAGACCAGATATACATACTTACCGCAAATGCAACGAGCCGCAAAGTTGGAATATGAACAGGACACAACTGTCAAAAGTGTTCGAACTTATAGATATCATTTTGCGAACGACTTATTGAGTAACATTACCGAACAGCCAGACAACGCTGGATTTTGCGTCCCAGAGGGCAATTGTTTTGATTCCGGCGTTTTGAACGTTGGAAGAGGCGATGCGCCAATATTTCTGTCTCTTCCTCATTTTTATTTGGGGTCGGAAAACTTACAAAATGGAGTCGTAGGGCTATCACCAAACAAGACATTGCACGACTCCTTCTTTCACACCGAACCGCTCACTGGAGCCGTAATGCGTTCGCAGGAGAGGTTGCAAATCAATGCTCACGTTACGAAGTCGGATTATTTTGAACAACTGAGAAAAGTTCAACCTGTGTTTTTTCCATATTTTTGGATTTCCGCAGAAGAATTGGTCAATGATGACATCGCCCTGAATCTGCTACATGTTATGAAAGTTGTCGATTTTGCTTGCTACCTGGGTTACATAATAATATTTATTGGACTTGTCATTCTGGGAGCAACATTGGCTAAGTTGTACGTGCGACGTAGGTCTACGTTATCCCGCGATGAAGAACCGCTCATTTCCGATGATCATGCCGAAAACGCTTAGCATTGTTTTTTAATAATTTGTGTTGAGTATCTTTGAACACGTTTTGCATCAATTTATCATTTTCTCTTGAAATGAAAATATATACCTATTGAACCTTCGAGTACTATCTTGCTTCACCAGCGATAAGTGTCAGAATTTTTCTTGTTACAATAGTTTAATGATTTGCCAAAGAAAGGGTCAGTGATATATATACAAGTAGTAGGGCCTGGATTTTTTCGAAACATTGGTGTTTCGAAGTCGAAATGAAATTAAAACATGGCAACGTTACCACATGTCGAATTCAGTGTATAATACTCGTGATGCGAGTTAAGCTTTACACAAAGGTTAGTGCTTGATGACAAAACAGTGACCAAATTAAGCTCGAATAATACGAATACAGATTTTACACGCTTCCATAATAGTTAAGTCACCATTTCCTTCAAAAACACAAGGGTTTCTATCTGTTTGCCTCTTAGGCTAGACCTCAATCTTTAGCAGTATGGCTTGGAATCGAGGGCGTTCAGGTAACTGGAACTGGCAGGAAATTTTTAATGGCAAGCTGTGACAAATTAGGAAACATTTTATTATCACGACATCAAGTACGTATATCAATATTACTAGCGCCCCACCTCCACTCTGAATGACAATTTTGGATTACAGATGTCAATTCATGGTTCGTTGTGATATTATACATGAGATGCAGTGCAGTGTAGCTCTTTTCGTGGCCATAATTTAGTGTTTGTATGTGTAGATTGAGAATTGGGAGATAGGGCCAGCACAAGGCATCACGGAGTTCGATTAGCTCATTCCGGCGGTACCAACAACAATTATAGCAGATCATAATAAATGACGTTAATTAATATCCCATAGTAGATATGGTTGCATTTTCTATATAAAAGTACATTGCAACAAATCAGTTTATATTTTCGTTTATTCATTTAATTGTGTTATTCATTGCCATGTCGATCCATCGTAATATCGTCACGCTAATAACCGAATTTTTTTATAAAATAGGTATTTATGTAATGCTGCGCACCTGTCTGTTAACTCAGATTTTATTTTAAGAATTCCGAAACCCATAAAAATGGAGATTTAGTATGACATGAACATTTGTGAGATTGTTTCGTCATAATGAATTATCATTGTTACCGCAGGACTATTGTGACGTCACAAAGGCAAAATAACCCCGGCGAAGTATTTTCGAATTTTTGCATCTCGGATTCTAGCTTAGCGCGTATTAATTTGAATTTATACTACAGTATAGGAAGGCGTGCACTTGCGATATTCACTGTCCAATTCATCTTGGTTGCATTTTATATTGGGTGCATTGCTGTTTAATTCGTTATATTTAATCTTAGTCTTATTTCGATGGGTGTGCAGAACGTGTTATATTGATGAAATATATATTTTTAAACATAAAAAATAATGTAATTGAAACTGATTAGCTATTTTGGGGATTAGACATTGTAGATAATGAGAATTACATTCGTTTTTGGAATGTTTAGTTTTCAGGACTGGTGCATATAGTAAAGTTGCAAAATTGCGTATGTCCCCAAGTCATAGACACATTTCTGCCTAAGTCACAGTGCGCCATTATGACGTCACTTAACTGCGTCATACAAATTAACTTGAATCCGGCTACGACCAAAAAATTGAACCATGGCAAATTATTGACTCTCAATGGCATAACAATATCATTAGGAAGTTTTTTACGTTTTTCTCAAAACTGCTGAAAATGACTTACGCAATTCGGTTATTAGCGTGACGATATATATATATATGTCGTGACGCTAATGCTTTTAAAAAGTTTCAATCAACATTCTCACATTTGCGTACACGAGTCAATTTTACGATGGTTTGCTCGGTTGTCTACTTAGCCCAATAACTTATTCTTCTCAATTCATCCTTTTTTACGATCCAAACCGATTCATTGTAAGGATGAAAACTAAAATGAGGTCAACGCTCCCAGAACAATAGGGAAGTCGAGTTAAAATGTAAATCAATGAATATCCCGCAGTTCAGTTGGAAGCAATAAAAAAGGAAATTAAACAATTTCATCCCGGTTTTTCTGCTGAACTATCACAACAAATAGCGCACGAATGTCAGCAAATGTCAACTCAATCAAACCCCTTGTCGTTCTGTTAAATGACTAATAATTGTTTAATGTACTTCTCAATTGTTCTTCACTAAACTGCGGGATATTTAATTGACTTTACTTCTCTATTTGTATTGGAGTGTCCATAATACTCTTTCTCTCTATCGGGAACATTTAACAATGTATAATCATTATATATATATGTGCATTCTATCGCTTATCTTGTCATACTGTACTTGGATTATGTAGGTCTGAAGAAATCTGGCACCGGTCAGATGAAACAGAAGTACAGACGTTTCAGAGATACATTAGTGTTAGTGTGCAGCAATACTCTTGAATCGAATAGAACTGGGAGTACCTCTTTTAAGCGCCAGCCTAAATAGACATATGCTAAAATAATCATAAGATGTGTTACATGCAATATAAAAAAATTTAAGTTTTGTTTCGAATAAATTAAATGAAGGATGTCTGCAAAATGACAATGGCAGTTGCAGCGTAAAGGTCTAAAAAGCACGTTAAATAAGACATTCCCTGATGTTTACGCTGAGGCGAGATTGAGGAATATCATGTCACTACACTATATGAAGAGTCCTGGCATTTCGAAGTAATGCTTTGTTTCAACGATCTTTTCAAAGCTCTTTACTGTACAAATTGTCAATAACAGTAATTCTTGCGAGCATGCTCCTGTGTGGTCACTTTTCAAATTCGAAGAATGAATTAAGCTGTAATTACTTATACCGGTATTAGTAGGAGGAGGATGTTGAACAATGTTTCTAGGAAATATTTAATGATCAGATTTCGTTTACTGAGAAAGGCAAGCTGAATATTCAGATCTCAAAACTTTGTTGCATTTTTTAAACAGTATATGTCACCGCACTCATCTTACCTTTTTTTATTTATATTTTCATTATAAATAATTTTAGAAATTCACTTGAAATTTTTAAAATACTCTGTTAACAATGTCAGTTTTAATATTGGAGTTGAACCAGAGTAATTTTACGCACTTAGACAATCTTACCAACAACAATTATAGCAGATCATAATAAATTACGTTAATATCCTATCGTAGATATGGTTGCATTTTCTATATAAAAGTACATCTTGCAACAAATCAGTCTATATTTTGATTATTTCATTTAATTGTGTTATTCATTGCCAGTTGATCTATCGTAATATATATATGTCGTGACGCTAATTCTTTTAAAAACATTTTCACATTTGCCCAGACGAGTTGATTTTACGATGGTTTGCTCGGTTGCCTACTTAGCCCAATTACTTATTCTTCTTAATTCATTCTTTTTTACGATTCAAACCAATTCATTGTAAGAACGAAAGCTAAAACGAGGTCAACACTCACAGAACAATAGGGAAGTCAAGTTAAAATGTAAATCAATGAATATCCCGCAGTTCAGTGGGGAATAATTAAAAAGGAAATTAAACTATTACATCCCGGTTTTTCTACTGAACTATGACAACAAATAGGGCATGAATGACAGCAAATGTGAACTCAATCAAACCCTCTTTTCGTTAATTTACTTCTTAATTGTTCCTCACTGAACTGCGGGATATTCATTAACTTTACTTCTCTATTTGTATTGGAGTATCCATAATACTCTTTCTCTCTATCGGGAACAAACTTAACAATGGATAACCCTTATATATGTGCATGCTATCGCTTATCTTCTCAAACTGTACTTGAAATATGTTGGTCTGGAGAAATCTGGCACGGGTCAGATGAAACAGAAGAACAGACGTTACAGAGATACATTAGTGTTAGTGTGCAGCAATACTCTTGAATCGAATAGAACCGGGAGTACCTCTGTTAAACGCCAGCCTAAATAGTCATATGCTAAAATAATCATAAGATGAGTTAATTGCAATATAAAGGAAATTGACGGCTTCCGGTTTTGGTCCGAATAAATTAAATGAAGGATATCTGCAATATGACGATGGCAGTTGCAGCGTAAAGGTCTAATTAACGTTAAATAAGACATATACCTGATGTTTACGCTGAGGCGAGTTTACGCTGAGGCGAGATTAAGGAATATCCTATGAAGAGTTCTGGCATGTCAAAGTAATGCTTTGTTTCAACGATCTTTTCAAAGCTCTTTACTGTACAAGTCGCCAATAACAGCAATTCCTGCGCGCATGCTACTGTGTGGTCGCTTTTCAAATTCGAGGAATAAATGAGGCTATAATTACTTATACCGGTATTAGTAGGAGGATGAGGTTAAACAATGTTTCTAGAAAATATTTAATGATCAGTTTTCGTCTACTGAAAAAGGCGAGCTGAATATTCAGATCTCAAAACTTTGTTGCATTTTTTAAACAGAAATATCTATAAATTAATACGTATAAACCAATGTCCATAACTGTATAATTTAACGCAATTATTATATGTCACCGCACTCATCTTAACTTTTTTCTAATTTATATTTTTATTGTAAAAAATTCTATTTAGAAATTTAACTTGAAATTTTTAAAATACTCCTCTAGCTATGTCAGTTTTAATATTGGAGTTGAACCAGAATAATTTTACGCACTTGGACAATCTTGTTCGAAATGAATATGCCGAAAAATCGATTGACGAAATTTTGATGAGCGATGAGTCGATGGAGGAAGGCTTCAAAGTGACAGGACAACTGCTGCATTTCAAGAAACCCAATAAGACATCGTCAACAACTATTCAGCTTAAAAACGTGAACACTGGTCGTACCCATATACTGGTCGATTGTGCCCGCATGATGTACTTGAGATTTGGCATGACGATGGCGGTTGTTATGGTCAAAACTGACATGATCCCTATTGTACTCCGATTGGAAGACATGCTAGAAATAGGCCAAAACGTAGTCGTGATAGACCCTTCATACAACTACAATTGGCGAGGTTTGCCGGTTCTCAAAACAATACATCCCGTTTTGCCTGCATCACAACCCCCAGTCCCTCTTGTTTTTCACAATCTGCCAGTCGATCAATTGCCAACCAATATGTCATCATTTTGTTTCGAAGTTGATCATATTCGAGTA